ATCCATCGGAGACCCTACCGTGTTTCCCATGCAGAGCGGCGCATCATCCAACAGGAGGTCGACAAAATGCTTTCTCGGAATATCATCGAGCCTTCATGCAGTCCCTGGGCGTCCCCTGTTGTACTTGTAAAGAAGAAGGACAACAGCTGGAGATTTTGCGTCGATTATCGCCATTTAAACAAAATAACGAAGAAGGACGTCTACCCTTTACCACGCATAGACGATGCCCTGGATTGCCTTCACGGCGCAAAATATTTTTCCTCCATTGACCTCCGCTCTGGGTACTGGCAGATTGCCGTTGATGACATGGACCGTGAGAAGACGGCGTTTATCACTCCCGACGGCCTTTACGAGTTTAAAGTGATGCCATTCGGTTTATGTAATGCGCCCGCCACATTCGAACGTATGATGGACGCTCTGTTGCACGGCTTCAAGTGGTCCATCTGCCTGTGCTACCTGGACGACGTTATCGTTTTTTCGCCTTCTTTTGCGACGCACCTTGAAAGGCTATCGAAAATCTTATCTGTCTTTCGTAAGGCGGGCCTGCAACTCAATTCGGCAAAGTGCCACTTCGGCCGTCGTGAAATTTCTGTCCTCGGACACCTCGTTGATTCCGTGGGGGTTCGCCCTGATCAAGATAAAATACGCGCAGTAAGAGATTTCCCTGTACCAACCTGTACCAAAGACGTTCGCAGTTTCGTTGGCCTCTGTTCTTACTTCCGCCGCTTTGTTAAAAACTTCGCCGACGTAGCACGCCCTCTCACTCAACTTCTCAAAAAAGACGCTGGCTTCATCTGGGGCCCTGAGCAAGCAGATGCGTTTCAAAATCTAGTGTGTCTGCTTACGTCTCCGCCTATCCTCGCCCACTTTGATATTTCATCTCCAACAGAAGTTCGTACAGACGCAAGTGGCTATGGCATCGGTGCAGTCCTCGCCCAGAAACAACAAGGACGAGACCGTGTTGTTGCTTATGCCAGCCGCCTTCTTTCGCCTGCTGAAAGAAAATATTCAATAACCGAACGGGAATGTTTGGCACTTGTTTGGGCAGTCGGTAAATTTCGTCCCTATTTGTACGGCCGGCCATTCACAGTAATCACAGATCACCACGCCTTGTGCTGGCTTTCGTCCCTTAAAGACCCTTCAGGCCGTCTTGGCCGTTGGGCGCTGCGCCTTCAAGAATTTGATTACTCAGTCCTGTATAAACCGGCCGCCTGCATCAAGATGCGGACTGCTTGTCCCGGTATCCTGTCGACCCTCCAGACGGCGACTCCTCTAAAACCACCCTTCCTATCGACGTTTTCTCTCTATCCGCGTTTCATGACATTGGAATCGAGCAGCGACGAGATACTTTCTTGGACGGTATTATCCGAAGGCTCACATCGGTGAGGCCCGACCCTTCCCTTCGAATGTTTGAAATACATGATGGTGTATTGTACCGTTGCAATATGCGTCCTGACGGCCCCGAAAGACTACTCGTCGTTCCCATTCAATTGCGTCACACTGTTCTCGCCCAGCTTCATGATGCACCTACAGCGGGTCACCTCGGCGTGTCACGGACCTACGACAGAGTTCGCCGGCGCTTCTTCTGGCCTGGCATGTACCGCGACGTCTGCCGTTATATTGCAGCCTGCGACCCTTGTCAACGACGGAAAAAACCAAATGCCCCTCCGGCCGGACGTCTTCAGCCACTGCACATCCCACAAGACCCATTCTACCGTGTTGGCGTGGACCTGCTTGGCCCTTTTCCTACGTCAGCTGCGGGTAATCGGTGGATTGCAGTAGCAACCGATTATGCTACCCGATACGCGATCACACGGGCCCTTCCAACCAGCTGTGCAACTGACGTGGCCGATTTCCTTCTGGAGGACGTCATCTTACATCATGGCGCCCCTCGACAACTCCTTACCGACCGAGGCAGCTACTTCCTTTCCAAAGTGGTTGATGACCTCCTCCGCTCCTGCGCCACTAAACACAAGCTCTCGACTGCTTACCATCCACAAACAAATGGTCTAACGGAGCGCCTCAATCGCACTCTCACGGACATGCTCTCCATGTATGTCTCCGCCGATCACCGCGACTGGGACACTACGTTACCGTTTGTAACATTCGCGTACAATTCTTCCAGACACGACACCGCTGGGTTCTCTCCTTTTTTTCTGTTGTTCGGCCGTGACCCTGCGCTACCTTTCGACACCCTCCTGCCGGCCGGACTAAATGACAAGTCTCAGTACGCTCGTGATGCAATAATGAAGGCCCAAGCGGCACGCCAAGTTGCTCGACGACGCTTACTGGACTCCCAGGACAATCAGAAGAGCGTATACGACGCCCGCCATCGTGACGTCCACTTCACACCCGGAGATCTCGTTCTGTTATGGTTCCCCTCGCGCCGCGTTGGACTTTCGGAGAAGTTACTCCCACGCTATTCAGGTCCCTACCGTATCTTACGCCAAGTAACTGACGTCACATACGAAATCACCCCTACGGACCCTGCCATCCTTCACCCTCACACTGACGTAGTGCATGTTACGCGACTCAAACCGTATTACTCCAGTGCCTCCTGATTAGCACCGGGTCGGTGCTCCAGCCGCCGGGGAAATCATGTAACGGTAGGATGAGAACGACGAAGAAGACAAAGAGGAGGACGATGTTGTCAGATCTGTGAGCCAACTGGGCGCCATCTTGTCCACCACCGAGTTTATTCCTCGTTTTATAAAGTAAAGTTATTCTCCCGTAACAATATTTTAAAATATTGAATATCAAATTGATTCTGTTTTTTTTCTGGGAATAATCGCTACTAAGAAGAATATTCCTCTAATTATCTTTGAATACTTGTCATCATAACTCTACGTAAAGAAAGATGTAGTTGAAGCAAAAGTGTGATGTTTCATCCCGTTTGACACTCCACAGCGTGCGGTGTCACTTGGGCAGCCATGCTTTTTTTTTTTTTTTACTGATTATGATTGCATTCAATAAAAAGTTAGGCATGCTATATTTAGAAGTGAAAATTGTTAGGTTCCGCTATATATTGACACAGAATCTGTGTTTTTTTGTCGGATTAAATATAAAAACATGTCTTTACAGCATACATTGTGCAATAGTGGTGCCATCAATCTCTGCTCATTCAATAAATTTTTTTTTTCTTGTCCTCCCTTCCTCACTACAGGTGGCACACATTTCTCATTTAATTTCAAAGGTATACACAGATATTATTCTGCCCACAAGGCTGCTTTTCAAAGCCTTGTAAAGTAAAGCATGTACACATAGTTTGAAGTGCTGGGTTTATGAGTGAATGCCTTGTGTGCTCTGAAGGATGCCCCAGCTATTCTTAATATTCTTCAGAGATTTGAATTTAGCAGCTGTCTAATTAAACATCACTTATTAGGTGATTAAGCAGAAAACAAAATAGTATGGCTTACTCCATGCAGTATTCAGCAACATGCATTTGGTCGTGTTGTTACAAAGTGCATCAGGATATTTTTAAATTTTGGTGAAAGATATCTGGGGCACCTTGTATAAGACCCTCTTCATATTTTTAACAAAACATGTTTTACATTATGAGAAATGTAATACTAATAGAAACATTGCTATGTGTTGAGTACCTGAATGTGAATATTTATATGTACACTTGGAAGGCTGAACATTACATCAAACGTTTGGGAATATGCTCTTTATATTCACTATAACGTAACAGCACAGAAACACAACCAAAGACAAGACACGGACATTTTCATTGAAAAATGGCTTTTATTTGCTACTGCATAGGGTGGCAAAGTTCTTGAAGGTCGTACTATTGGCACAACAGGCACCATTCTCAGTAACCACCCTGTGTGATATCGACACGAAAATTACAAAAATTTGATATTGAACTGTGATATCGAGACGTGGTCGTGACTGAAATGAACACGCACTCAAGCTGGTGAAGATGAAATACTTTATTGGGGGAACTTGTGCCCAGAAAAAAAAAAAGAACATAAGAGCACATGGTAATATTTTTGCACCTCAGCTATCTCTCGATGAATGGTTAGTGTAGAACTCTCTCCTACACCACCTTAAAAAATTCAAAATTGCGAAATTGCTAGAAAGTTATGTACTTACTCGACTCATGCAGTCTGCCCCATCGCTATGAGTGGCATGCTGACTTCAGCTAATGAAGTATAATGACAAAATCAGCTGACTTCGGCTAGTAAAGTGACCTTGGCTTAGAGTAAGAGCATGGGGTAATGTTTGGCAGGTCAAGTGATGCAAAAGTACATGTAACTGAACATTTTTGGACTGATGAAGTGGATGCAAGGGAAAGGGGGAACCAGAGGGTTAATGTAGAATCATTAATTTTGCCAACATGTGGGAGAGTGTAAAGGGTCGCAAATACTGGGGCAACTTGGTACTGCATGTTCTACATTGTAATAGTGCAGAAACACAATAAAGAACAAAACAATGTCATTTCTTTTTCTTTATTGTGTTTCTGCACTACTATTACTCTATAGATCACAGAGTGTGACACACGGCTTGGATAGCTAAAGATCACCGGTAGGAGCCTTCGATCTGCATTAGACTTCTTTGTTGTGATCATTACAATTGCAGCTATTATACTTGTATAATATTACATCTCATGAGCCCTGTTTACTCATTGCCAAGAAGTAATGATGGAGAAATATGTAATCATTTGTAGACATGCTTCAGCAGAAGACTTGGAGTACTTTAATATCGTGAGATCAGATATTTATCTTTTGTAGTTAAATAATAGAAACCTATTAGTACAACATGATGCACCATTGAAATTCCTGTTAGTGTTGTTTACTAGCACCTAAACGTTGCCTGAACTATTTGATTAGCTATGCTTGTCACACCTAAAAATTTAATCAAGCTGCGATGATAGTATTTGACGCTAAGTGTGTGTTCAATATGATAGTATACACCATTGTGCATAGCTGGTTTTAGATTGTGAATATCGTTCAAAGTAATCAAGGCTCTAATGTGAATTACTCTGTCTTTAATTGCAGACCATAAATACTGTGACATTCACATGCAATTTATTGTGATGAAAAACTTGGAGAGGGACCAAGCCTCGGCAGACGTGCCTCGTATCTTGGTGTGCTTCATTTTTGCCAAATTTCATCGCAACTACACTGCAGGAGTCTTACCTGAATGGACCATTACGAAATTGTCTCTCTTGCGAACATCTTCGATTTCGTGATGGTGCTGATGTAGCCTTTAATGTGTGTTTGTATTAAGTTATGTCATATGCTTGGTAGCTAGCACCAGGTGTATGTTGTGTACCAGCATAGCACTGACATGCCTCACATGGAGAGTGAAATATGAAGCAGTACAAAGACAACTGACGTGCATTTGTACAGATTTCTCTCAACAAGCACCTTCCCAAACCCAATTCCTTATAGTAATTGCTATCCAGACCTCTACTCGGACAAATGTAAATGCTGCATTCAGCTGGCGGACCTCAAACACACTATCTGGGCTTGCCCTGACCTTGTAAAGAGGCCAAACACCAAATGTGTCTGAACACACAGCAGTTTCGTGATCGATAAGTGATCGGGCAAGCTGGAAATGCCGCTAGGGCCCAAGGACTCCTAGCTGCCTTATCCTCTTATACTTGCTGTTTCGATTAAAGCTGTTTCTCGCTCTCTCTCTCGATTATTAAAAGAAATTATGCCACTGGTCAACTACCGTAAATTTATGTTTGTATGTGGGTGTGTTTAGATCCACATATAAAAATCGAAAATTTCTCGATGTGCTTGAACCTTCTCTCCAGCTACGTCAATGTTGCCAAGCATCTCGAAGCGACACCTTCCAAATAAAAAAGTTGTGCACTGAGGTGATTGCATCGTATTCACCTGTTCAAATGTCACAATATTAATTTTATGAGTTACAGCAACCCTACAGCCAAGTGAAAATTAATAATAATTCACATTAAAATGAATTTGTCACATTCGGCAAGCAATTCTCAAATCGTGAATGGTAATCTACCACTAACCCTCAGGAGGAAGGTATACAACAGCATTATCTTGCTGGAACTTACCTACAGGGCAGAAACTTTGAGACTTACAAAGAGGGCTCAGCTAAAGTTGAGTATGATGCAGCGAGCGATAGAAAGGAAAATGATAGGTGTAACCTTAAGAGACAAGAAGAGAGCACAGTGGGTCAGGGAAGAAAGCAGGGTTAAGGATATCATAGTTGAAATCAAGAAGAAGAAATGGACATGGGCCGGGCACGTAGCACGTAGGCAGGATAACTGCTGGTCATTGAAGGGTAATTGACTGGATTCCCAGAGAAGACGAATGCATAAAGGGGCGACAGAGAGTTAGGTGTGTGTTGGAGGGTATTGTCTCTGCACCAGGTAATGCCAATTCATTGTTCAGATCGTTAATTGGATTACTCATCAAACGACATCATCGTTACGCCACGTGTTGATAAAGTTTGTGACGTCACATAACGTGACATCTGGCGATGACGTCATCGCACGACAATAGTCGCTTGGTCAAAGCTGACTGATCTCGGGGGCAGCGCTGCAAAACCGCGTGACGTTCATGAAAGTTGCGATGCCTCCAGTCTTGAAGGCAGTGCTAAACCACGTTAAGCGCAGAAGGTTTTCAAAGGAGGGACGAAAGAGGATGAATATAATCTACTGAGAAAAAGAATCTCTCGTAATGGGTACGAGCCACAACATAGGTAGAAGCAAGCAAGCAAGTCGCTTTAGGCGAATGCATAAGAAACAGTGTGTTTTTTGTAAAGGCGTTCTGGGGCATCACTTCTGACTGTGCGTATGGCTGGGGTTAGGCTAAATGCCGACTCTGCCCAAGAGTCCGGTTCGTGCCGGCACCTTTGCCGAAGAGGAAGAAGTGGCAAGAAGCAGGCGCTTGCGATCGAGCGTAGCACGCGCCAGGCATTCGAGAACGTCTGTTAACAATCGCCCGACGGAGCCTTCCGCTGCCATCTCTAGAGGACTGCCCGCCCATAAGAACCTTTGAAAGGTGAGTGTGAGCAAACCAGAAACGATTCCCGCAGAACTCTGTCGCACACACGTTGTATCAGATTGCAGCTTATCAGTGTGACTGTACGTCACACTTATTCTGTCCTTCCTTTGTTCCCTTTCTCTCTTTCATATCGTTTGCTTTAGAAGGGCTCGAAATAAACCGCCAGGGGCTTTTTTGGGTGGCGCAGCTCTAGCCAACATGACAGCCTGTTTCTTTTAGAGACACAATACATGGTGTCAGAATTGGGATACGAACCCACGCCCACATACGTGGACCAGTAGCCTGCTTCAATTAGAGACACAATACACACGTTAAGCGGTGTAATGCAGCCCCGCTAGCGTCCAATCTCAGAACTTGCAGCAGTGTCCCACGTTTATTCGCCGGACAGTCGCCGACTCGAAGCCGTAAGCAATCTTGTCTTGCTATTGATTCTCTGAACCTTACGTGGTTTCGCACTGCCTCCGAGATTATTGCTCGGGAGTTCTGCGGTGCTTCCTGGTGCGCCGCATTCAACGTCGCGATGACGTCACACGATTTGTGATGTCCGACTTCACATGGTGACGTAATTATATGATTATTACTTGTGCCACTGATTGTGACGCCGATGGCCACTATTCGCGTTTGATGAGGCACCTAAGGCTTTTTTTCTTTCACCTAATATGATGTTTAATCAAAGTAGAGGCGGGATTTTCGAGCTTCAGAATTTCTGCGAGGACTCGGTTGTAGGTTCCAGCGACGGCTCATAATCGAATCAAAAAGTTAGCCCTGACAGTTTTATGAACTGCATTCTCGGCAAAATCGGAATTATGAATACACCTTCGAATGTAAATGGGGGAAATTCGGGGACGGGCGCTGCAGAGCCTGCCGTTTCGTTTGTGTGCATGTGTGTGTGCGATTTTGCTTCTGAAGTCGCAGAGTTACCGGACTATTTTCTGTATGCTATAGACATTGAAGCGGGGGACACGGTAAGGCTCGTGAGGACAAGGGCTGTACTCACCTTCGAGAAATTTGAAAGCCATCCATTTTCCCCCACAAGGGCGAGCTGATAAGGCTAACCCATACGAAATCAACCGTTGTGATAAATATGTGCGGTTCACTTAAGCAGTGTACTGTCTAAAAAAATTCTACCGGCAACTGCTAACACAAAGGTTCTCAGCAGGTCGGCCATAACTGTAATCTTTCCGCATAAGCGTGAGCCTCCTTTAAGTATAGTCACACGTGCAGTAGGAACTCTTTCCTCTGTTTTTTTTTTATTTTTGCTATTCGTTCGATATAATATAATCTGTCTTACTGTGACCAAGTTTCTACGTGTAGGAGACCACTGCACTGGGAATCGTGCATTTTTCGTAATCGCTGAGATTTCGCACATGATTCAGCAATACTCTTTCGCTCATGTGCTCGCTTAGTTCGTGGGCGTTCGCGCTTTCTTGATAGACGGCTTCAATTCGCTGACGGAGCTTCTGGTGCAAGCGCTGCGTTGACCCAGTCATCGACCACCATGATCGTGGAGGGCGTACCCAAGGAACTGCAGCGCGGCATGCCGCCCATCGCGATCGTGACGCTGGGTTACGCGGAGCCACGTTGGAACTTGTACCTGGCAGTGGCCGTGGTCGGGGCAATGCTCGCCATCTCGGGGACATTCCTGGCGCCCGCCGGACTCCGGTACGTATAACTTAACGAGCTGCCGGTTTACGAACATAATATTTGCTGAAAAATTTTCTGTAAGCGCTGAAATGTAGACGACGCAATTATAAGGAGCTACCATGTAGCGCTCTAGTTGTCCTGATTAGCGCCTACACGTTGCAGTCCGGAAACGCTCAGCAGTGTATACACTTCAGGGAATGTATACATTATGGCGCAGTGCAGTACGACACAACCACGATGAAATAAATAAAAATGCAGTCATTTCCACACCGTGACGACGGTCGTACAGTGAAGCTGTGTCCCCTTTCTTCAGGCGTATTACTGCGCCGCGCAGAGTGTGGCGAGGCGCAGCCTTTTCTCCGGGCCTCACTCTCGCCTTTCGTGTCACGTGACCTTCGCCTCGCCAATCTCGGCCAGGCGCAACCCTTTCCACCGAGCTTCTGTCTCGCACCGCGGGTCACGTGACGTGCGTGACGCCTGCTACTACGACGACTTCGCAAGCTAAACTGAGACAGCTTTCCTGTAGAATAGGTCACAGGAGTTTGTGGCGTGCGCATGCACACGTAGTAGCTTCATTTTACCGCACTGCTGTCGTTGTGTTGCAATGCCCTAGCAGACAAGCAGCCTTAGTCCATGCATATGTTCTCCTCACAATGTGGGAGTAAAAGAGTGCACCTTTCTTGCTCTCCGTGGAGTGGCTGTAATACATTGAGGTTTACCATATATAACTGCTGTACCCCCCCCCCCCCCCATTCCCGTAGGGGAAACACGTACGCATAAGCGCGTAGAGGGTTCCCCCCTTTTTTTTGGGGGGGGGGGGGTAGTCTGTCTAATAAGTCAATGTATCGGGCAGTTGAACTGGCATAGCGCATTACGGTAAAGAAGAAATGGCTGAACAGGCCGACACAAGAGGACTGTCCTCTTTCCCTTTCATAGGTGACTAGGGGTGCTCGCACCCCTGCCCCCCCCCCCCCCCCCGCGCGCACGCCTGTGGATGTAGGTGAAGCAACCCGCAGGTGCGTGCTTAACTATTCAGCGGAACTTGTTCCAAGTTATATTATGTCGTGCAAACTGCACCAGCCTTAGCTTCTCGCTCACCATGCATGTTTGGTTGTGGTCCATGTGCAATACTGTCTAAATTCTGCCCGTTTCTTTTGTGAAAAGTCAAGGCTACACTGTGCTACCAGTCCCTCTATAGTACTGTATAGTTAGGTGGTGATAAAAGGTGAGGGTAAGGGGAAGGGAGAGCAAGAAATAGTTAGAAAGAAAGCGAATGAGAGAAATAGAAAAAGACAAAAAGTCAAGGAGAGTGGGAGAACTAAAGAAAGATGGATAGAAAGAGGAAGCTAGAAATAGGCTGGGAAAATAAATAATCAAAGAAAGAGGAAGGAATATAAAGAGGGGTATAGAAAGAAAGGGAAAGCTAAAAATTTGTAGAGAGGAAGAGGCAAGAAAGAGAATAATTAAGAGATAGAGAAAAAGAAAGAGAAATTAATATAAATAAATGTAGACAAAGACATAGAACAGAGATAATAGAAAAAGAAAGAAACATAGAAGGCTGCCCAGCTCCGCACTTCCATGGCACCGTCACTGGGCGAAGCTGTCTTAACTTCATTAGGAATACTTGTTTCACTGAAAGAACGATTCATTTTGCCCTGACGACATGACGCCTTGATGCGCTTATTGTAGATATCGTCGACCTCATCTGTGTAAACTCCGGTATACAGTTGCCGTCGTACTTAACGAGGGCATGCCTCTGGCACTATCGTGCTGCTTCTGCGAAGTGCGTTCGAGACTGTATGGTCAGGGTGCATGCCATGAATATGCCGCATTTTTAATACGTCCAGCCTGTCTTCGGTAAAGATATCAATAAACGGGTTTGCAATTTCTCGGGTATCATGTGTTACAGTTGCTTCACCTGTCTGGGTCCTTGTGTGTTTGATGCAGGTATGTGATTGGCTGCCAGTCCCCCCAATGCGGCGACTGGTTCGAGGATCTCACTATGTCCATCAGCCCGCGACGCAAGCCTTGCGACGACTTTTACGAGTTCGTGTGCGCAAACAGGAACACCACGCAGGTAGACCACAGCGTGCGCTATACAAACGCGTTTTTACAAGCACGCTGCGGTCGAAAAAAAAAATGTAGATGTGTATTTGCACGAGCAAGATGAGCACGATTGTTTTAAGAGGCCTTGCTGATCGAAATGTTCAGTCAGTTATGCTAACGTTCGTATATGGAACTTGTGCCCTAGCTCAAGCACCTGTAACTTAATATCTCTGCAGAGTGTTGCTTCTATATGACATACTTGACTCTTAAGAAAACGAAAGTGACTCTCTACAGAAATAAGAGTTCCTATAGGCGGTTGGTTGGGTCATAAAAATGATGGAAGAACAGCAAAATATGTGGCAGTGAAACGCAGGCTCAAAAATGAATGCTTATTGATAGACAGCGTTTTGTCATGTTCGTTTCCTTGTCCCGTATTTTGTGCTGCTGTTCCTTAAATGTCCCTACAAGGAGTTAAGATAGCACTTAATCACTATCTGCAATTTCATTATTTAACCAAATTGTGGCAGCAGTGGCCAACGTTATCCCTGCAGCAGCACTGACTGACAGGAGCGTAGCCAGAAGATTTTCCGGGGTTGGGGGGGGGGGGGGGGGCACTCCCTTGAAATCGTCATTTTTAGCACTCTTTATGCCTTAAGACACCGTCTATTTCTGTGGGCTGTAACACGTTACGGACGGACGGACGTTTTTCCGAGGGAACTTGCCGCAGGATGCTAACGTGTTAAGAGACTTTGAAATGACATGCACAGCTCACTCCACAGACTTCCAAGCTAGGCATATGTGGTGTGGTAGACTGGTATACAATAAGCTTTGCATTGTATTCACCGTGGCTATACACAGTCCCGCGATGCGATAACCGCGGCCACAGTTAGGCCTAACTCGCATCACGCAGGGTGCCACCGTGAACGCGTTCCTGAAGCTTCAGATCCGCGTGGCGCTGTCGTTCTTCAAGCGGCTTCTGCTTGTCGACACCGACCTGCCGGACGCCAGCCTGGTCAGCGCGCACGTGAAGACGGCGCGTTTCATGCAGCGCTGCATGCAAGAGGCCATCAATGCCGCTGACGATATAGGTGAGCACGCGTCCGTTGTTGCTGGAGTGGAAATGATTGCGCAGAATTGAAGTCGTTCCTCTGGCAAGATGGCGGCTGTGGCTGCCATCTTACTAGGGGCATGACTGAGTATCATCTTTGGGCAGGCACCATGAGAATTACGAGTATAGTACGCAGCATATTTGTCGTTTGTGCTTGCGGCTTCTAACGCACTTTACTTGTGGCCTGGTTTACGGCTACGTTTTGGATTTTGTTTTGGATAACAGAACGGCTCTTTGTGAACCTCGCTAAACAAGTTGAATTAGTCGGCTAAATCTTACAAAGTGGTTACAGGCCACATGGAGCCGAAAGAAAGAAGCTTAAGCAAATCCACGCGCTATCCGTCGTTCTCACGCTAACCAAAACGTCATGCGCTGCATCTCCCATGGAAACTAATGCCAAATTTCCCTCTAGTGTACTGGGCTGAAACTATATGGTATGGTACGGAGCCGATGATGCGTGATTCGCATTGTGTATATAGAATACGCCTCACAACGTAAAAGTTTGGGGCAAGATGAGAGACGTGAAGCGATCCAGATACGTTGAATGAGGAACGTCTCTGGGTTCGCCTCTAATTTGGTTTTTTTTTTCAAGGCTGCAATTCAGTTGCAGCTTTTTGCAGCTTTGAAAAAAAAAATCAAGCTCACTTGTTGAAAACGTCTGCTCGAGCAAAATACCTCCGTTTACGAATTTCTCATTTGAAGCTTCCATATTCTTCTTCCTGCCTTTATTTTGAATTCCTTACTGTGTGCGGTCTTCAAATGATCATTGATAAAAAAAATTTGAGTGGAGTGCAAAAGTTAAGTACAGGCTGTTTCACACTTACGGGAAAAGTCGCAGAGCGTTGCAACGCGCGCTGAGAATTTCGCAAAGTGCGAGACAGCCTGTAGATTGTCCTCTGGGGAAGACGGACGTAACGTGAGAAGTTTTCAGGAAATTTCGTCGCGGTCGAAGTACGAAAGAAGAAAAAAAAACACTCTGAGATAATTGACAAGACAGTCTGAGGTTTCTGCTGTAAATTTATGGTTGATACTTTTCACAATGATTTTTTTCATCAATTAATAAACTTATACTTGTGGAACTGGCACTGTAGTTTTATAGTACAATTTGTTGGTCTAAACTAATTTATTATTCCTAATGAGTAAAAAATTGGGGTTACTCGTCTCGAAACCACGGTGTGATTATGACAGGTGCCGTAGTGGAGCACTCCGGTATTTTCGACAACCAGGTGTCTTTTAAAGGTGCGCCTAAATCTCAGGCACGCGGGCCTCGAGAATTTTCGACTTTATTGAAAATATGGCCGCCGGGCTTCGATCATCTGCGGGTCCATCGCCGGTGGAGCGCCACAACCACTAACCGTGGCTGGTTCATTTAGTATTCATCATCATCACCATCATCATCATCATCATCAGTCTGACTACGTCCACTGCAGGACAAAGGCCTCTCCCATGTTTCGCCAGTTAACCCGGTCCTGTGCTTGCTGCTGCCAATTTATACCCGCAAACTTCTTAATCTCATCTGCCCACCTAACCTTCTGTCTCCCCCTAACCCGCTTCCCTTAGTATTCTTACCGAGCCTTAACCCACGGGGCCAATCAGCGGCGGCGTGTCTATACGACGCAGCCTACGTGTCCAACTTCCTGGCGCAGTACAACCTGTCCTGGCCCCCGCCCCAGGATCCCGTCGCGCGCTCGGCTCAGGTCGAGCGCTCCGTGGTCGACCTGCTGGTCGAGCTAAGCCTCGTGCGCGGCGTGCACCCGCTCCTGCGCATCGTGCCCGACGTGTACTTCAAGCGACGCGGCTACTACTCGCTCCACGTCGAGTTCAACCTGGCCTTCATGTACGAGTGGGCCGCCGTGCGCAAGCTGCTGCTGGCCACCGGTCGGCTCGGCGCCTTCTTCGACGTCACCGCCCTGCTCCTCTCCGGAAGGTGCGCGCTCGAACGCTTTTCACCCAGAGAAGGCTCCGGTCATAGTTTCCTTTAATAGAGTGAACTCTGGCGCTATATAGTGTCAATGCCATGGCAAAAATAAATGCTGGGGGAGGGGGGAGAGGCGGTGTGCCACCTCCTGGTCACGCCAATGACCGTCATCTAGCACAGACCCGTGCCCTTCTAAGGGAAGTAAGCGTATACCCGACGGACATCTTTCTTTAGTCTGTATTGGCCGTAGTGTCGATAAAGTTTCGCCAATAGATACATACTTTAAAAGCGTACGAAATCGACCTTGTTGATACGCGATTGTAGTCAGGAAAGACGAGCGTGATTGAAACATGGCAAAAAGGATTAAAAAGGACCGCTTATTTCAAAGGCGAAGCTCCTTACGCCGTCGGCTGTTCGTCCCGTGTAAGTAGTTGTAGCCACCTCTAGTTTAGTCGTTAGACTTGTATATGAAGAATATATCATGAAAATATGCGAGATGGCGGTACTTGGAGTGTTCACTGGGTAGACGGACGGACAGACGTACGGACGAACAGACAGACAGACAGACAGACAAACGTACAGACAGACAGAAAGACAGACAGACAGACAGACAGACAGACAGAAAGGCAGACAGACAGACAGACGGACGGACGCACAGACGCACGAACGGACGCTTCGCTCGCTCCACACATCATCATGCACTCCGTGGATATTGTCACGTTACAATGTAACTGTAAGCTGCAGATAATGGCACACAAGGACGTCAAACTGATTCGAACAACGGGAGTATGACTATTGTTTTTCTCTGCACGCGCATCTTTCTCCTCTTCTGAACAGCGGCACATACAAGCATGCCAGCATCTGTGGAAATAATACTTTCAGAACTTGTGCTAGTGGAATTACCCCCCTTCCCAAAGGACGTCGTCCCGATGTCGTAATTGCCAGATGAAAACACAGTACACAAGGGGGTGTTCACAATCGCTGTAAGTCTACTCAAGGGAGTGTGACGAATAGTCAGCGTTGGTAAAATGGTTTCATCCTCGAAACATGGACGACGTGTGGCTGTTGTGAACGGCGGGATTGACGAGTCGTGTCCTCGTCAAGAACCTCGTAGTTCACTTCGCTGAGACGACGGAGAACTCTATAGGGACCAAAATAGCGGCGTAACAACTTTTCCGACCGGCCCCGTTGTCGAATGGGAGTCCACAACCATACTCGTTCTCCGGATTGGTAAGAGACATCGCGACGACGAGCGTTGTACCGCAGTGATTCGATGCATTGTTGCTTATGGATTCGTTCGACTGCAAGCTTACGAGCCGCGTCTGCCAGTCTGATAAATTTGTTCGTCTTGACACTAATCTGGTGTCTGTCTGATAGAAGCATGGCATCCAGCATTGCAGTGACCTCCCTGTCGTCAAGCAACCGGAATGGTGTGAATCCAGTTGTTTCTTGCACAGCAGTATTGTAAGTGAACGTGACGTAAGGGAGGATGTCATCCCAGTTTTTTGTGGTCTTGGTCAACGTACATGGATAGCATGTCGGCGATCGTCTTGTTTAGTCGCTCTGTAAGGCCGTTGCTTTGTGGCTGGTATGCAGTAGCTTTTCGATGTACTGTGCCGCTAAGCTGCATGACGTCTTGTATCATCCGGGCGGTAAAAGCTGTGCCACGATCAGTTATGACAACTGCTGGTGCTCCATGTTGGAGGATGATGTTTTTTCATAAAAAAGTGGGCAGTCTCAATGGCGGTGCCACCGTTGTAATGCCTTCGTTTCGGAGTAGCGCGTCATGTAATCAGTAGCTGCTACAATCCAGCGGTTGCCGTCACGAGACTTGGGAAAAGGTCCGAGTAGATCCATGCCAATTTGTTGGAATGGTTGTGTCGGAGGAGCGACGGGCTTCAAAAAGCCGGCTGGGCACTGATGTGGTGCTTTACGGCGCTGGCACTCGTGACACGTCTTCACGTAATGCTTCACGTCTCGACTGAGCTTAGGCCAGTAGTAGTGTTGGCGAATCCGGGCCAAGGTACTTGTGAATCCCAAGTTGCCTGAGGAAGGCTGATCGTGACAGGCGGACAAGACATCGGCTCGTAACGTTGGCGGGACAACGAGCAGGTACTCAGTCGCGTAAGGGTCGAAGTTTCTTTTATAGAGGATATTTCTACGACGCAGAACGATGATGACGAGCGGGCGAATGCTGGTGGTGGATGCGGCGTACGGCCTTCGAGATATTCGATGAATTGTCGAAGCTTGGAATCATTCTTCTGCTGTTCCGAGTCGGATACACTAACGGCGCAGAGAAAACGGCCGTCGAGATCGTGATCACCTTACGCTGTCTTAAGAGGAGCTCGGGAAAGGCAGTCCGCGTCAGTATGCTTCCGGCCAGACTTGTACATGACTGCCAAATCGAACTCCTGAAGGCGTAAGCTCCACCTGGCCAGACGTCCGGAAGGGTCTTTAAGGTTCGCCAGCCAGCAGAGCGCATGATGATCGGTAACAACTCTGAACGGGCGCACGGGCGACCATACAGGTACGGTCTGAATTTAGCTATTGCCCAGACAACAGCTAGGCACTCCTTTTCAGTTGTTGTGTAATTCGCCTCCGCAGATGATAAAATCCGACTCGCATAAGCAATAGGGCGTTCGACGCCGCCTTGCCACTGGACGAGGACTGTACCAAGGCCGATGTTACTGGCGTCTGTGTGTAGTTCAGTGTCGGCATATTCGTCGTAGTGTCCGAGTAAGGGTTCAGACTAGTTACGCTGCTGGAGCTCGGAGAAAGCGCGTGTTTGCTCAAGGCCCCACACGAAGGGAACGTCGTCTTTTGTCAGACGAGTGAGGGGTTCGGCAATGTTTGCGAAAGTTTGCACAAAGCGTCTGTAGTATGCGCAGAGGCCTAAAAATCGACGCACATCACGTTTGTTGGTAGGTGGTGGAAAATCTGCGACAGCCAATGTTTTGTCTGGGTCCGGCCGAATACCGTCAGGGCTAACAAGGTGACCGAGGAACTTTAATTCGTTGTAACCAAAATGACATTTCTCTGGTTTCAGGGATAGGCCTGCCGTGCGAATTGCAGCAAACGTATGGTCGCTCAGCATGGTCAGTGACAATGCGGTGCTTTACGGTTGGCGTTTGTTTTATCTTAGACGTAGACGCGAAACAGTCGCTAAACATGCGGAGGATACAGCGGATTTGCTGTTTCTGCGCACAATATGCTGTGATTTTTTTTCTTCACAAATATGTACGCACCCTAGAAATAGAAAGACAGGGTGACAGAAAAAAGGTGAGTGCCCTAAGTTATACAGCAGACATACAGCTTCGCTTCACAGTGTCATTGTTGCATGTAAAGGATACAGCCAAGAACGTCGCCATCACACTGCTGACATCAGCGGTACTTACTTGCTTAACAAACGCCAAGAAGTCGTCATTTCAGAATTTGCAGTTACATGTTGAGCTTAAAATCAAAGCTCTGAATGTTTGTATTTCTACATTAGACGATAGAGGCTCGGTCGTGATGCCAATCAGTTTGTATTGGCAACTGTGAACGCCACTTGATGGTGCCGTTTGCTTGTAAAGGGTGCTTCACTGTGTTAAGACACGTAATGCGGGGATGCTACTTTGCCTTTGGCAGAGAAGTGACTTTCGCAGAGAAGTGTGCCTCTGTCTCGCAGTTTTCAACCCAATAGTTGCGGCAGCACAACCTTAACCGCACGTACACCAGCTTACACCACAGATTTACTGGCTTCGAAAATAAAGGGCATTGAGATTTAGTGTCGACGCTCACATGGTAAGTTGGCTTGAGTTCGTGGTGCGTTCAAGAGCACATTTCCTATACGTTCTAAAGGTCTACTTCATGCACCAAGACATTTATTAGTGTGAAATTTCGAAGCTTTCGGGCGGTCACTACATTTGATAAATAATGCCGAACAATGACATCGCACGCCACCTTTTGACATGACGTTAGCCTGCCTATTTTTTATATTTTTTGTGCATAGGCCGAATGATAAGGCGCGGATAGAGAGATCATGTGCATCATCGTCACTGTTGTCTTGCATCATCATCATTTTGCTCCATTTATTTCTTAATTCACTCCCCCTTATGACCACGTAGCCTGCGGGACGCCTACAAATACTGGTAGTAGTACTACTGCTGATATAGCCAAGAAACCTAACAATTTTAGTCGAGGTTCCTGGATATCGCCAGTACTTAACCAACCAAGACCTGATCAACAGTGTTAAACTCTACTACAACTACTAAACCACTGTCAGTATACTGCTACTACAACCACCACCATCGCCAAACCAGTTCTGTTGCTACAACTGTACCGGCGTTCTCTTGAGTGCGTGTCAAATCGTTTCCGATTGCGCACTGATACCCCAATACAACTGCAGGCGTCCTCACCCTCAGCTGGTGGAACGCCTGATGGCGCTGGACAACATGCTGCTGACGGCGGCGCTGCCACCGATGGGCGACCGGCCCAACATGACTACGTCCTACGTGCGCTTCGGCGACCTGAGCAACTTGACGAGCCCGTCGTTTCCCGGACACATGCTGCTGGACGCCGTCAACAACGTGCTGCCGCCGAGTAGACGCCTGACGGAGGACGACGAGTTGGTCGTCACCAACGGCCCTTACCTGCGCGTCATCGGACAGTTGCTGGGGCCCAGTCCTGCTTCCGAGACGCTGCGCTCATACGTCAGCCTTATGCTGGTAAGGGGCCCCAGATCATGCCTGGAACGTGAGCAGCGAACGCGCTGCTCTACACTGTGATTTTACTCTCCTCCTTCGGTACGAAGGCAAGCGTCTCCCCTCCTTACTGTCCTCCTCCGGTACGAAGGCATTACGGCTGCTCGGCATGACGATAGTTATAGCGCAAGAACAAAACGACGACACAGAGACAAGAAGGTCACGAGCGCTCGTGTCTTTCGTGTCCTTCTTTTCTCTGTGTCGTCGTTTTGTTCTCGCGCTATAACTATCGTCATGCCATACCAACTAGCCCAAGCTGCCACACTGCTCGGCAAGGCCGAGCAGCCATAATGTCACGTGACAGGGCGGTACGGTTATGTCACGTGACAGAGCGGTACGGAGGCGAGCGGTCTCATGCGGCGGCCGGTCACAACACAAGGCAGGAGGCATGGCCTCCGAGATTAAGTGCTGGCAGAAGGCTCTCAATTGAAAAGAGAGCGACGTTCCAGGCATAGTTTTTTCTAGGAGGCGTTGCCCAGACATTCGTAGCTGAACGCGTTTCTGAGGGAAAGATAGCGTCTCTTTTACGCTACCTGTAAGCGAATAAACGAATGCATGCGCAGCTATTTCTGCACCGCTTTCTTGGGAGGTACGCCTTTATTGAAAGTGAAACGAATAAAAAAACTGATTTTTCTCCCATTAGTAAATTGCTCTCTCGTAAAACAAGCTTGGTAAGCGAGAAAACGTGCTAAATAAAAATGAGAGTGGCGATGCCTCGTTGAAGTTCCCGCATCGATCGCCACGACGTCAAGGATTTTGGCGGCGTCTGCAAGGGCTTACGTAGTTAATCATCGGGAAAAATGAAATGCATTGTACTCTACGAGAAATACGTCACGCGCGAAGATTTCAGCGCGAAGCTTGAAAACGATTTTTCGATGTTGATTTTCTCCTCTATTATTAAAGCTATCGGTGTGGCGGTGCAATTTGTAGACTTCAGAGTAATATTTATTAATCTCTACACATTCGTTGTTTCGCTTTAGAGTCCCTTTAAGCATTCCTGGGGGCAACATGGCAGCGCGCAGGAAGCTGCTTGAACTGTCGTACTATGTGAAAAAATTAATGGGGCAAGTCGATGCGCAGGTCCGCTACCTGGCACCGTCGACGTCGTCTCGCCTGGTGAGCAGCCAGCTGCCGGCCGAAGGGAACGCGCTGAACGCGGTGCTGTTCCGGCTGGCCCACTGCGTGGCCGACGCCATCCAGCTGGTGCCGTACGTGATGGGCGACCTGTTCGTGCGCTGGCACCTGGACGAGCAGGAGCTGGACGGCGCCCGCGACATCGTCGGTCGGGTGCGCAACGCCACGCGCTCGGGCTTCCTGGCGCTGCGCTGGATCGACGAAGAGACGCGACGCGGGGCGCTGCGCCGCATCGACAACCTGGCCTCGCTCGTCGGGCACCCCGACAACGTGTCCAGGTGAGTGGCTGATGATGAACGACCGTTTTCAAAAGCTGCCCCGCCGCGGTGGTTTAGTGGCTAAGGTACTCGGCTGCTGACCCGCATGTCGCGGGATGGAATCCCGGCTGCGGTGGCTGCATTTTCGATGGAGGCGGAAATGTTGTAGGCCCGTGTTCTCAGATTTGGGGGCACATTAAAGAACCCCAGGTGGTCGAAATTTCCGGAGTCCTCCACTATGGCGTCTCTCATAATTATATGTGGTTTTGGCACGTTAAACCACACATATCAATCAAATCAATCGTTTTCAAAAGCTCTATTATTGCGATATTGCTTATATGGATACGATGATTTGCGGATTTAGAGAAAGGGAGAATGGACAACCGCCCGTTTGTGTAGCACGAAGCCACAAGGGTAAAGTCGTACGGATTTTTCAGAGGGAGAAACTTAGTTGCCGCAAAATTCGTCCTCGCCTGGGGTTCGGCCTGCTTCAAACCAGGGCGAATTTTTTAGGCAACTAAGAAGATTTTCTGAGGAATTCGTGCGAATTTTCTTGTGGCTTTGGGCTACAAACGGATGGTTGTCCAAACCCTCCCGCCGTCTTGCATGTTTCTGCAGAACTTGTTTGCACTTCTTTACAGAATTTTGCCTTTATACATTTCAGTGGCAAACCAAGAAGTTTCAACCTTAATTTTCGCCGTCGTTATGTTGTTCTCTGCGCGCGACGGGAGATTCGAAACTTCCGACTCCTCATGTCACGGCCCGACGCGCTGAACTGTAATTTATATAGCGCGTCGATACGCAGATACCTATCCTCCTGCATTCAATAGGGGCGAGATGTTTAGCTATTTCTACGCACCATTTGCCGTGAGTGGTGTCCATGTTTTTGAGGTGACTCAGTGTGGCAGAGCACTATTACTATCACTATGCTGTTTGATTGATTGATTTATTGATTGATTGATATGTGGGGTTTAACGTCCCAAAACCACCACATGACTACATGACTATGAGAGACTCTCATCAAACTCGCGCGCTCATCTCTTGATGGGGTTCAACAGATGGCTCATAGCTTTGTACTTGCTGTGCTCTAATCGGTACGATTGCGTTGAAGCCATGGATTGCAGAAAGGTCACTATGCTCACCACTGCTGCCTCGTTTGCGAAAGCAGTGAGCTGCTATATAGGCTTTCATCGTATGACATTCCAACTTGTTTATATCTCATTCATTGCTTCGTACCTGAGGCGAGACTGCTTTATTTATTGTTAATATTGTAGTGATATGTTTTTAATAAGAATAGAAAAGTTAAAATATAAAGAGCAAAAAAAAAAACTTACGGCCACCATTGGGAGCACCGGCTCGTCAGGATGATGTTGCTAATCCCACTCTACTTTTCCAAGAAGCTTGCCGCAAACTAACGATCCCTCTAAGCGTAATACCCGTTTCTGTCGAAGTGGCGCCTTTTTCTTACTTCGTCCTTCTTCCTGTCCCTTAATTAGGATGGACGAGCTGAACCGGCACTACGCGTTCCTGCCAGCCATGCGGGGCAGCTACGTGCAGATGCTGACCGCAAGCCGGGACGCGGACGCCCGCCGCCTGCTGCGCCGGCTGCGCGCCAGCGACCCCTACTTCCCGGCCGTGGACGTGGAGCTGCCCATGATCCTGGTGAACGCGTTCTACCTGCCCATCTACCACGTGATGGTCATCCCGCCGGCCATCATGTTCGCGCCCTTCTACCGGCGCGCGCTGCCCGCCGCGCTCAACTACGGCTCGCTGGGCCACGTCGTGGGTCACGAGATCACGCACGGCTTCGACCCGGAGCTGAGCCTGTACAACGAGTCCGGCCTGCGCGAGGACTGGTGGTCGGCGCGCTCGCGCGCCAACTTCGAACAGCGCGTCAAGTGCCTGCGCCGCCTCTACAACGAGGCGCCCTGGTCGCGCGGCGTCAACTACGGGGACACGGCGCTGTCCGAGAACTTCGCCGACTGCGGGGGCCTCGACAAGGTATACAGGTGAGAAGTCTGTTTATAGACCCTTTCACAGAAGACTGCTCCCTGGGCACCGCCGCGACAATCCTCTTTGGGCTGCGCTAAATGGGCTTGATCCCGCCTCCCGAAAAATGCACTGCCGAGGCTGTGACGTCAGCCCACAACCCAGCGTGTTTTTTTTTTTTTATCCTGTGAAAAGGCCTATACTTTATATCGTTTCTGGCCAGCAAGAGTCGCACCTCCTCACCGCCAATGGGAGAAGTTAATCTGCGTCTTCGCCCCTGGTTAAGAGCATGAAGAAGACCTGGTGTTAACTGCACTGCCTTATAGACTCTGTAGGACATCTGGCCGCCGTCATCTTCGGCTGTTAAAGCCGATGTTTTCTTTCGCGTGTCTCGACGTAAATTAGAAAGGCCATGAAACGTCGTAAAACACCAACCCAACCGTTTTCATGCGTGTGCGTCTACCGCAGCACTGTTCCTTCAGTATAGTTAAGGATGCAAAACACAAAAGGTTAACAGCCCAATCACGGCCGCACTGACACCAACCCGTGGACTATTCTACACACGGCGGTTTCGGCGGGGCGTGCAGGTCGTTCAAGTCTCTCGGTCCGCAGCCCTCTCAGCGGCTGGGCGACCGGAACTACACGGCCGACCAGCTGTTCTTCATCAGCAGCTGCTTCAAGTGGTGCACCGTGGAGGGCGCCATGCGCGGCCGCTCGCCGAGCGCCGACGAGTCCGAGGCGATCAAGTTCTACTCGCCCATGCACATGCGCTGCAACGTGCCGCTCATGAACATGCCCGAGTTTGCGCAGCACTTCGGCTGCAAGCCGGGCACCGTCATGAATCCGCGCGCGCGCTGCGAGACATTCTAGCGACGCGATTCGTTTGGAGAACGTCGCATAAACGACGCGAAAATTTACGCCTTTTTTTATTTTTCCTTCTTGTAATGTTCGCGAGCTTTGACAAGTTGGGCGACGCGATTCGTATCGACAAACATCCCGGACCGCTCGAAGCCACGTCGTCGTAGATGTGGGGGTCGAGATAACGGCCGTTGAAGATTGTGATTCTCGTAGCTGCCTCTTAATCGACCATTGCCCGAGTGATCTTTTTTTTTTCATTTGTCACTAAGTTGCGAGTGCGTGAAGTTCGCTCAGAGCGTCCTTGCGAAATTGGCGCGCTCGAAGTCATGTATCGTAGCACTCGCTCGCATCTTTTGTACTTCGTGTTATATGATGCCATATACCGCCACCGGGTGTCTGAAGCGCCTGCATGATTCAATGTATGTAGTGTATACTTATATTGCGTATATGTTTCGTATGTAATATAAACTATGCAGTTTTCTGGAACTTGTGTGCGTTAAAGTTTACACTGATCACGACATCTTTGAAAAAGAGCGCGAAGCGCAGACGAATACTGCGGAGAGACTGAGCAGAGATGACGTTTCTTCAAAAAAAAAAAAAAAAGACTGCACCAACTTGCCAACTTCCTTTGATGACGCTGAGATATACAAAACTTCATTTTTCTCCTTGCTGGGACGGCCGGTTGATGCAGATGCCAGAGTTCCCTCAGTGCATTCTGTGAAGCTGGCTTCACAGCAGTATGACTTATAGTGTGGAGAAGTGACTCTGCTTAAGAGGCGATAAACTGCAATCGCCATGTCAAGTTAAGCCTCGGGTAAGCGTCATATAATGGATGGATGAGTATTCAGACGCGTACAAATGATTAGGTTTTTTTTTTTTTTCAATGAGCTAAAGTGGAGTACAACAGCCACACTCTTGGGTTGCATCCTACACTGTCTCAATGCATGAAGGGGAATTTCCAGGGCTCGATTTTCTTCGTAAAGCACAACATTAACGTGAACTTCACATTGACGTTGGAAACTATCGAACAGTAGTGTTCCGATACTTCCCTTGTCTGGCAGACGAGGGAAGTATCGAAAACGTGCACTGAGCCGGTGGCGCCGCGCTGCGGGAGTGAACGAAAGGAACTGGCGTGCTCCACACAGCAGTTACATCTAAGAGCGGGGCCGTTTCAGGTTTCTAGCGGTGCTTCGCAATGTCGCGTATGATTGCTGCATCATAAAATGTGCCAATAATCATGATAACTATTCACCTGGAACAAAATCTTCAGTTTTCCTTTGTGATTATACTTGAGAAACCGGCGGGAACACTGGATTGTTGTATGCCGCGTGAAGCGAATGATCCTGCGGGTGCATTTATGCCGGTGCATTTATGCGGGTGCATTTATGCTAGAACATAGCTAGTTCACAGTTAATTTTCTCTTCACGCTAGTTAAAGGATCGGACAGTCGGCGAAGTCCTCTCCAGTCTGCAGTCTACAAGTCTCTGCTGGCTGCCCGATACGTTTATCACAGATTATGTCTGAAGCAATGATAATGCAAATGGGAAGAATACTACTAAAGTGGACAAAAAATTAAGTTGCCGTGGGCAGGGACTAACGCGTCCAATGCTCTATCAACTAGGCCACAGTGGCATTAATCGTCCCGTCCACTTTATGTGGTACATGCCAGGATTTAGGCGTGGGAGTGAAAGGTCAGCGCCGCTAGTTGTCATGCCGGCGAGTGCGGAACGCCTTTTCTGTTCCGTGCTGGCATCACGAAGCACGTGATCATCTTTTTATAAGCTGAAAGCTGAGTGATCCCTTGTACAATATCTGGAGGCATCCAGTGCTATTTAAGGAAACGGGAAAATTAAAGGTCTTAAACAACAGTGAAATTTCAATCTTATCAGGACTGTAGTTTCCATAACAAAAATTGCAGCCTCTGGCAACTGGTGTACCAAGAAAAAAAAAGTGAGGCTGCTTCGCACTAAAAACACTTGGAATAGCTTTTGAACTTGCCTTAAGCAGGTATGATGTAATTTCGTTAATACGAGTAATGCATAGCTTTATAACATCAAAGGAACAACGTTGTGCGAATCGTGTAACAAGTGGGTCGTCCAATGCTCCAACCCATTACTGTTCTTGATCACCTATTGACTGTGGCGCATACCCACTTCAGGCATAATTCATCGTCAGCCACTGCATAGGTAAATTGCACGAAATTCCTGGCAAGTGTGCAGCGGATATTACGCTTCACTGAAGAATGACAAAGGATAGCATAGTGAACGCTGGCTTACTGCACATAAATGATTATTTATGGCGCAGTGGGTACCCAGCAAGCGTGCTTGTAGCAGTTGACCAAAGATCTAGAGTTCCAATACTCACCGTGGACAGCTATATAAACAGCTAAATGGACGGTGACCATCTTAAGTCCCATTCCAATTATCACGTAGCCGCCAAAATAGACAGCTCCGAGAAGACCGCTTCGTAGACAAATACTAGAGAGGCTGGAACTTTTAAGCGTTCTAGCCTCTGTACAAATACGATGCAGGCTAGTTTGCTGTCTAAACAAGATGGCGGCTCAGCGAATTGCTCAGATAACTGAAATCTCACCGGAATGGTAGTCTGCACACAAGCAGACGCTTTCCCAGACGCTCAACGTAAGCATTATTCGATTTTGATTTCAACACGAAATAAGCCAAAAAATATAACTGTTGTGTTTGTTTATTTTAGCTCTCTCTTTTTGATGCGAGGTGAGGCATGGTTAAAGCCATCCAGAAGTGTTCAGATTCTCGGACAGCATGGGCTCGGCACTGTCTTCTAAGCAGTCTGCGTAGATGTCCACGTGCTGTCTAAGGATTGGAACACGGCTCATGAAAACCTGCTTTTCTAGCTTTCGCTGTGACTGTGCTGCACATTCCACACAGGCCAGGCATTTTTTTTCCTCACTATTTCTCTTTCTTTTTATTTCTGTCCGTCCATGCGAGTGCATGTGTGCGTGTGTGTGTGTGTGTGTGCGCATGTGCATTTCCGTGCTGTTTTTCTCTTTTGTCTGTGCAATAAGTTCTCTTTAGTTTGCTGGTTCTCTCAGCACTCTTCTCTCCTTTATGCGGGATTCTCAATAAAGTTGTTTTACTCACTCACTCTTTCTTCCCTTCTGTTCTACTTTTTTGTTTCTGTTTTTCTACACATCCAGTTATTTCAACCCACACTGGACAAATCGGCAGAGCGGGAGAGCTTGCACTGGGCTAACATGTTCTGGTAGCGAAGCAGACAATGGAAAAGGGAACAAAAAAAATTGCATTTCTATTATATTTACACGAAATAACAAGTTTTCACTTTTCCTTTTTCCTGCATTTTACTCATTGTTTGCATTTAAATTAATGGCTGGCTTCTTGGCCGGCGATTATTCACTAAGGGGAATTCGATCCTCCGTAGAGGGTACAAGCCAGAAATAATGAAAAGCAGGCAGGCGAGCATACACTTATAAGGTAGAGGTCATTCATGATGGCAATTTTTGCAAACGCTTAACGGAATAGCAAAAAGCATAAAAGCTTCACCGTAACAAGTGACATGAACATCTGAGATCATATGGTTACACTGCATAAATTGGCCATTCACCAATGAGCAGGCAAGCTGAGTGCAAACAAGAATTGAAGTTCTACATACGCTAAAATATATTGCAGGTTTAGAAATGTCTAGCTCCACCGTGGTGGTCTAGTGGCTATTGTATTCGGCTGCAGGCCCGTAAGTTGCGAGATCGAATCCCGGTTGCGTCGGCTGCATTTTCAATGGAGGTGTAGATTCTGTAGGCCTGTGTGCTCAGATTTCGGTGCACGTTAAAGAAACCCAGCTGGTCGAAATATTCAGAGCCCTCCACTACGGCATCTCTCAATCGTATGGTGACTTTGGGACATTAAACCCCACATATCAATCAATGAAATAGACATGTCTATATGAAGTCAACAGGCTCTTAGCCATACTCTAAAAATATGTATTAGAGCAGTACATTGAAGTAGCTCTTCAAATCACACTGTAGATTGACACGTTTATACTGCTTTCGCTGATTTATTGGATGCAGCGACAGTGCAAAATCACTCTTAGCACTTTTGAGCAGAAGGCACAGCAAATCATAAATTCCAGTTACTCGTAAATATTCTCATTTACATAATGTGAAAATGTTACTCTAAATTGGTGCTCAGGAATATCTTTATTTCTTTGTTTGCAAAAATACAGTTCATATACACGTTATAGCCCTTGAAAGAATTTCCTAGATAAACCAGCCCCCACACGGAATCTCATATGTAAACCCAACGTGTGGGACACCCTAGAGCAATGTGAAATAAACAAATCAACAGTAAACACAGCAAATTTGCATATGAACAATAAATGTGCTCCAAGAGTCTCCATTCACTTTCAACAGCACGACTAGGAAGAAGGGCAAGTGCCAGCCAATTCTCTCTGTACAACACTAGCGCATGCAATAAAAAATAATTTCCCAAATGTCAGTAGAAACTTTGCACTTTGCTTATTAAATATACTGCGATTCCTAAAATGGTGTGTAAATAAATCTTGAAGGGCCCCAAGCCGCCTTGAATAACTTTTTTTTAATATTTCAAGTAAATGTGCACATAAGAGTCCAGAATCCTGTCACGATCAACAATGCAAAACGTAGCGTTGCTACGTGCCATGGGTACCCCACAAATTCCAAAAATTGTGCCCTCATTTCGGCTCTTCTCCGCAGTCCAAGGCACTCGAAGTGACATCAACATTCACGTCTGCTCATCGTCATCAAAAATAACCTGTTTGCACGCAGGTACGTGAGCTTGCCACTCTTCCTTTTTGCATGGTGGAGACGAGCGCTTGGCCAGGAGGAATCACGAGCCAATGAACGGAGCATGGCGAAGGAAAGAGCGAAACAAACAAGGGCCTCATCAATTGCGTGCAACTCTGCTATTATAGCACCATTCCGTAAAATTTTGACGACTCTGTGTTCGTCATAGACTCATTTACGTCTGCAACACCACAACTAATCTCAGACCTCGGGGTGGTTTGGGGCCCTTTAACGTCATGGCAAGTTCTAAGGCTTCAAGAAATTACAAAGCAAAGATTCTGTATGGTACCCACAAGAGCACAGCCTCATGGAATATTACACATGTGTCGTCTCCAAACAATGTCAACATTGCATTCTCATCATATAGTGGGATGTCATATTGAAGACGCAACAGGCTTAAGGCACAAGTAGGTAACACCGGCATCACACGGGCACTTTCTATTGCGATCAGCTCCATCCAGATCGGATTTTTGATCTCGATAAAAGATGGTCCCTGCTACACAGTACAACCCAATTCAAATTGAGTTTAGTGCAGACATCAGCCAAATCGCGATCACAGAGTCAGATTGCAATCATCTTAATTTCGATCGGGCCCGATCGCGATCAAATGCAACCGTGTAGCAGCACCTCATCCGGATTTAGCCTGATCCCGATAGGCACTGATTGAGATCTAAAGATCCTGCATGATGCCGGGATAAAATTCAACATGCAGACATATCTTGCAGAGCCTCGCATGCTCTTATAAAATAAAAAATTTCATGCAGACTGTACATCAATAATAGATAATAATACTAATAGTGAAGTGCACCTCTGATTAAAAACAGGAACGAGTATTTAGCATCCTATACCACACAAAAGGTAACATGAGTAAAACTACTTAATTACTAAAATGATTAAAACTATGTAATTATTAGACATAAAACTATTTAATGTAGCAATAAAACGCCTAAAGTGATGTACATGACAGCTGCCTCAGTATAGTGGTACAGGATTTACAGGAGTATTGATCCTTATTAACAAATTGCATATAATTATACAGGCAGAAATACTGCGAGATGGCAGCAATGTGGATAACCAGTACGCAGTGACTAAATCCATGCTCAGCGAAATCAACAAGATGGCTGCTTGTGTGGCCTTTTGTTCGGTTGTTATACTATCATTATTACACTAAGCACCGACAGGCTTAAAAGGTCGTGCCCGATTGATACTGCGCAGTATTTTTTTTCCTTTAAAAAAACATAATAAACAAGGCGTAAGTGAATGAGCGTGAAGTTTTTAGCAATCCGGCGATATATGACTTTTTTTTTACTTACTCAATCTCAAGAATATATAAAACTATGGAAAAAATTTAAAAAACATTACATACACATTTACATTACTTCTTGATGATGAGTACATATTCTTCAAGGCATTTAGCCTACAACAGTATAAAAGACTTCGGTGGTGTTAGAAGAAACCTAATAACACTTAATAAGCATAAACGCTATAACTTTTATAATGCCACAGGGATGATTCAAATGAAAAGAGACAACGATATGTGACCAACACTGAATAAATTTTTGCATGCATATTGTTTACCCACAGCCAATGTGTAAAACAACCTAGGAGTCATTCGTAGAGTTAATTTTCAAAGTTAGGTGTAGTAACAGTACTTTTTGTGGGCCTGCAATTTGCGTACTTTGAAATCGCCAGAAAGGTCGCAATAAGTAAATATGTATCAAATGCAAAAAGGTGTGAAATGTTTTTTTTTTTTTCTTTCTTAGGCATACAACTGTAACCACTAGGAACCTGTTTGTGGGTTTTTGTAAAAGCAGTGTGTTCATAAATGTTTAACTACGGCCTAAATAGCCGAAATTCCTGCATAATATTTCTACGTACCAGTGACTTAGTGCAACAATATTGTGATGACGGCTTCACCGTCGCTCTGTAGTCCAACTGCGTCGCACAAGGCAGTGCACTGGTACATGTCTACATCTAGCAGGCTTGTACAAAACCAGAGCGTTGGTCTTTCGTAACAACCCATCACGCTCAATTCTATACTAGCGTTACGACCCACCACTCGCAGCTGGCTGACGCCATTAGTAACGTAGGCAGACCATCGCTCCGACCACTGTTATAACGTGAAAAGACGTTATAAATCACACGACGCATTACTACAAAAATACCAATCCAGCATAACTGAAAGGGTAGTGCAAACAGGCACGAAACTGAAGAAAGTGATAGCAACAGGTCTGATAGCATGCCCATGGCCTATAAATATGCATACATTTTTCACATTGCTTAAGACTATACAACGGTAAATATGTCCTATGGCTTTCTGTTTGAGAGCTTACACGTCCTGCTTACTTTCAGTGAGCACTTGCTGCTTCGGCCAGCATGGCCCGACCTTCTCTGCAGGTGAGCTAAAATCATAATGAGCCAACGCCTATCCCTCTATATTGTTTCATAAGTTAGTTATGCACAAACAAACAAGCTTGGCAATGTACTCATCTGAGACAAATCACCAAACATGCATTACAACACATGGCGAAAATGTTACCTGTACAATACCCTGTGCCTATTCGAAGTACTGCAGCAAGAACTGCGAGATAAAATTTGCTACACCCATTAAAATAATGAACCCATGTACCAGGACCGTGCCAGGGGTCAGCTTGTAACACCACCGCAGTGCAACCATGTAAATAATGCAGGGCAGAGAAAATATGTACACCAGACCAGACAGGGCGCCACAGTACCTGAAACATAAACAGCGTCCTGCTTAGACTATTTCGAGAAAGGCAGCACAATAACAATTTTAATGAGGTCTTGAAATGAGGAGATTGTAGTAGTCAGTATAGCAAGATAATTGTTATTTTACTGTTAAATAAAAATCCTATTCCTAAATACTGTTCAAGACGCTGCTGAGCCTCTGAGCTGCCTGAACAATTATGACAGCTTTTCTACAGCCAGTCTCGGTTCCACTTCAAATAGTTATACTGCACTGTGACGTCATGGCCCAGCACTATCTGACCATTGCACCCTTGTCACTCTTTAGCATTATGGATCAATAACACAAACTTAACCTGTTAGCCAACTACCAATGCAAATGCCAGTTTGACAGTGTTTCGTAATCAGTAAATGTCACTTTTTAAATGTGATCAGAAAATTTCACAACTCATGCACCCGTTATTATAAGATATCCATGCATGGTATCATTGAATAACTATATAGAAGGTCAGATGACTTACCTTAAAATGGTGCCGATTTGAGGCAAAAATATGGCAAAAAGAACACACATTGTCACCACCACTGCATTGACGGTAACCACCTGCTTAAACCTGAAATGAAAGCGTTCAGCATGTTAGCTCCTTTCACATAGGCACTATGGCCAACTGTGCTGTGGCCGGAACATATGCACAAAAGGCATTTCTAAGACATTGCAGAACAACGTTGATGCAGCCCGCTGCTACAGTCACCAGAGGCATAGCTAGTAGTAAAGCAGCAGCTTTTGAATGACAATTATAAAAAAATTGTCTATAAAGCTTATTAAAGCCAGATGGGTTTTTTTTTTGTCATAATGCAATGCTGTGGATGCACTGTTAGGATGTAATTCTTTCATGTATATGCTTAAAAATAAATTTACAGCATAAATTCAAATAAGGTGTTTAAATTATCTCTAATTGACTTCTTTGTCAAATATGACTTGTTCTGTATTATGATGATCTAGGTGCAAGTTCAAGTTGAAGTTCTTTAATGCTTTATAAAGGACCTCAAAGCAAGTTACTACTTCCAAGTTGTGCAAATAAATGACCAACCAAACATTGACCTTCTAGTGTCATTTAACCGGTATTTCTGTTTTAGTGAATTTTGTTCACCCATAATCCATTTGTAATTTCATTTAATTTTGGTTTACCTTAAGTCACCAGCAGAATGACTATGTAAGCAAAAGAAAAAAAGATAAGCCAGCCATGGGGTGAACAACATAACTTCAGTATTACAGCATTGGCAAGATAGTAATACCTTTAATATAAATGAGGCAGACGTTCAAGCAAAAGTTGTATGGACTAAGGCAGCGGGCTTCAGAAATGCCTCATGTTCAAAAATTTTTCATCTCTTGCACGCAAAGAGAAACGCGTGCAAGAACACGCACACTAATCATACTTACCCTGGATACACAGTACGGTAGACCCAGTGCATAAACTGCACTCTCAGGAGATACGTAATCATGGGGAACAACGTTATGTATTGCACCAGGAGAAAAATACGTGTCACGAATGCCATCACGTCATGGTTGGCAAAGTTATTGAGCAAGTTCTGTGCGGAGAAACAGAAACAGGGTCAGTGAACAGCAAGACTTCACATTGTTCCAAGAAACGCATATGCAACACACTTACATCTTCGATGCAGCTTTTTGCCATTGGAAAGGTGATGTAAAAGGGAATGCCCACAAGCAGGTACGTAGTTATGACAAGGCCAAAGGCAATCGACAGGTCCCTTTTCTATACAATGCACATAGACAAAAGACTTCTTTAGGAGTAGGCTCTAATAACAGCTCGTTTAAGATGTCTTCATGTATGCATGCATGGTGCAACTTCATATCTAGATTGCTTGAAGCTTGTCGCACCAAAAACGAGCAGTAACCAGAAAGTTATTTCTTTACGTTCAACTTTTCAATGTACACATGAAGGCACCAAAGAGAGCTGATATAGTTAAAGCATTTGAAACAATGCTGCTGCGATAATCTACACATAAGATCAACATGAAAATCAGATGTTCGGTCATGATATCTATGTAGCTTCATTGTCATGAAATGATGGTTTAAATAAAGCTTTCCTCCCCACCCTTGTCCCAAAAAAAACGTGGACACCTAAAATAACAGCTGAAATGATTTCAGATAAGTTTTGATAACAACAATGATTTATTTTGCCTTCATTCCTCAATTCACTACTACATTAGATTGCACGGCATTTCACCTCCCCCCCCCCCCCCCCCCCTCTACTCCCATAAAAATGAGAAAGCCATGCCTCTGTCAGGAATGTCTTGTTTGAAACATTGTTTGGTTCTGAGAGCTAGCTGAAGCGGTGCAAAATGGAAATATGGCCTTACAGAAAAATAGTGATATGCTTAGAACACACAGATATCGTATACAGATGGCACATCTATGACAAGCCATGGAACAAATAGCAGCAATATTCTCACATTGTTTTCTGGCCTCTTCTGGTTACGCATCATGGAGATGATGCAGTTGTGTATAAAAAAGGAAAGGCACAGGACTCCAGTCAGTGCTGGAAATGTGGTTTTGAACACTAGAAGAGAAAAACAGACAATTTGCTCGATGATTCTTGTAGTAGTCTTATACTATTATATAAACTATATGAGACTAAAACGTTTTTAACAGCTTACATGGAGTGTAGAAGAGGTTTGTCTTGTCCACAAAGTTTATGTTGACTCCCCAGTTGGCAGACTTGATAAAAATGTAGATCAGTAAGTAGAACACAGATATTGTTCCTGTAGAAAGGATCTCATCAAGAGCCATATACAACAAGTTCCGAGCTGCAGCCAAGCACAAATGAAGGTAATATTCTTAACTTGAGTCTCTTTGCGAGTGAATCAAATAGTCGCGGCACTGGCCACAAAATAAATATACCACAACTTCTTTCACACAGAGTAAAACAGGCAGAAGATTAGAAAAAGATGAAAGCTTGAAGTTTAAGGAGCGAAAAACTCTTTAACACAGGGTGTCGCTGAAGCCAACATTCAACCAGCGAATTTGTTTTCTTCAAACTGCAACACCGAGTTGCAGCTCTGAAGAAGAGAAGTCTGCTAACTGAACGTTGGCTCCAGCAATGCTTTGTGTTGATGAATTCGGAAGCATAGCATAGCTATTCTAGTTCTCTTACCTACGACTGTCAGTTGGAAACTTCCGTATAGATCCTTACTTTTTCATGCCTTTTACTACTAGGTTACTGTACAACCTATCATGACTACTCTGCTGGTCTATCTGTGGCTTGGAATGGCCTTCTAAAATGCCTGTCCATTGATTTCTGGAATCGCTGATAGTCCGTTATGTGAAGTCTACAGGTGCAGCTAGACAATCGTGCACCTTCTCGGTGAGTGCACCCACTTTTAACTCTGAAAGAGCAGCTCTCTCAGCTGTGCTAGGCCACCTAGACAACCAGCCTCTCACAGCGAACAAAATTCCAGGGCAGTAGCCGCTCAGAGAGCATTATTGCTGTCTCTTTGAGAAACGGGACTGTACGACAAATTGTAAGTGTTTGCAGACAATGATGCTAATAGTGCTTAGACAGTGTTGTAGTCATGACTTGGTTGTGTATTCACAGACTCTCTTTCTTCTTTTTCATTCTTTTACAACCCCTTTCCCCTTCTCAAGTACAAGCTAGTAAACTGGAAACTTCCTCGGTTAAACACTGTCTTTCCAATCTCTCTCTAGTAATATCCTGCTCTGAGCTACTGCTGAGAAGGAGATTGCCTTGTTAGCCTACGGGCACTTACCTAAGGAGGTAAACTTGAAGAAGAAAGATGGAGATTTCAAATTGATGACTGGAAACATCAGGAAGACCAGAACAATGGGCATTGTGTACTTGCTCTCCAGAACGTCAAGAATCTTGTCATTTGTGGTGTTTGTTGCGTTCGAGAACAGTGAGACGTCAAATTCATAAGGGTCACTAAAGCTTTTGGCACACAGTAGGGATGCTTCACGGAACCCCGAAAAGAAACAAGAAAAATATGCTGTAATTAAAATCCAGTGTATTTCTTTACTCTAAACAACATGTATTTAGCTTGCTAAGGTTTTTAAGGGCACTGCACAACAGGCAAAGTGAGCAAGCGAGTTTGATTCAATGTTTGTAGCTACTTTAAAAAAAGAAAAGTTGGATCAGAAAACAGTGTACCACAATATGGCAGATCATCAACAAATAGAGCTAGAAAAAATTATTTATGAAGTTATTCAGCAGCAAATAAACTCAACCAAAGATGCGATGTTACTGCAGTACCACAAGTACAAATTAATAAAAAGTAGTACCTTGCAGACAACAGGAAGAAACAATTTAGACAAGCATGGTACGAAGAAATTACTGCCCCGATTTATACAGATAACTGCTGTGAAAATAACTGTTTGGTGCATGCTACACAACCTGAGGACATAATAAACATTACCAGCGGCTTAGGACATGGTGCTGGTGAATGCTACAAGGTACATATATAAAATGATAAAAGAAGGGTATATGTAGTATTCAGCGTGTAAGTATACAGTAAAAGAATACCGCCGTACAAAAATAAATTCACATTAAACACTTGCTGGGTGCTAATTGCAATGCACTTGTCAACACATCAAAATGTCATAAAAGCTAGGATGACCTCTGTTCACCTCTTTATCAATCGAATCTGCTACAATGAATTTATAATAAAATATACAAGGAACATAGCCTCACCTAATGTTTTAACCATTGATCTGTCACCGATATGTGCAAGAGGGGAATTTCATATCGGAATACTGCTGTGGACTCTCAGTAAACAGAACACTCTGAAAAATAACTGCTTTTTTCATGGAACAGCTGCCTCTTACATGTTTCGTTCAATTCTTGAATCCTAGCTGGACCCCTGTTCATTTCTCAGTAATAGAACTCCTGTTAAGCAAAACATATTTTCCTCGTCCTTTGAGATATTTTTTAATGAAAGACTGTTGTATTAGTGTGCTTTTTGAAGATTCTCCTCAAACACCCAAAAATAAATAAAAGAAAACAAACAGCTGAGACCTACCGCTTTGGTCATCAGGTCCAATAATCCCAGCAATGTGGTCTGTGAAAAAAAAAAGTAGCACTGTCACAACTACCACTTCAGAAAGTTTTCGTTGTGCAAGCCTCAATTCACCATATTGTCATTTATTACTCGGATATAAAATGAAAGACCACAGGCTATTGCGAAATGTGCAAATGAACAACTAATTTGATTATATCAGCCACTTTTTCCAACTGCATAAACAGGTTAATTATGTTGGCCTTAGTACTATTAGCCAAGAGTTCACTTTAATGGTGGACTGTCCTGCACATCAGGTAAGCGTCAGAGAAGTGAATGCAGTGTGATAGCAAAAGGGAATTCATGAAGGAAAGAAGGGCAAATTCAAGGACTGGTTTTCTCTGTTAAGCACATTGTTAATTAGAACTGGCAGAAATTTATGCCAAGGAAAGCACGGGGGAGTTTATTAGAAGTAATTGTAATTTAATTGTTAGAAATGAAAAGTGAATGAAAAGATGACTTGCCCTGGGCAGAAACCGAACCTGCGACCTTTGAGTAACGCGTCCGTCACATGTTCGGTTTCTGCCCACGGCAAGTTATCGTTTCGTCCACTTTTTTTTCTTCACAATTACATTACAATTGGTACTTCTAATAAACTCCCCTATGCTTTCCTTGGCATAATTGCCAGTCAGTTCTCATTAAAATTGTTTCTGAAGTGATTGAACGCTCAGATAAGAGGAGGCAAGATGACAAAGAAGAATATGCTTTTCAACATGAGGAAGCAATATTGTTACTAGTTCACAAATTCACACATCTCTTAAAACAGGGGCAGGCACTGATGATGAGTTCCTATAAACACTCTACATACCATGTAAGGTTAGCGGTGAATACAGTATGGTGACTGTTCGATGGTCGGGGTATTATTCATTCCATTCCAGAAACTCATTTTCTGCAATGGCCACAGAAGCATACGGTGATAATTGTTTGCACGAAGTTTACGTGGAAATGTAGTGCACTGTTTACAGTACACTGCATAGACGTAATTTTATTAATGCGTAATGAGAATTATGCTGTGCTAATGCCCCTTTTCCCAATTTGAGTTTCCAGGAAGCAAGCAATAGGACCATGCTACCTTTCAATTCAACATAGCTAGGCCTGAAGTTTAGCCTGGTTTTTTTGCCTTTAACTGCCTTTAACTAGCCTGTCGAACCTGCATATATTGATCTTGCTAAAACAAGGGAATCAGTGTGGTATATTGCTCAATTTGATATAAAGCTTTTAAAAGAAATTTCTGTATTTTCAATGTTAATTTTAGTGGGCAAGTTGGCTTCACAAAGCTGCTTTGAAATAATGCAAGGAAGGCGACCAAAAGCCGCACATGCAGTTTTTTTTGGGTTTTGTTTTTGCAGAGATTGTAGTTGGTGGCAGGTGTTATAGGCAGAAGTGGGTAGTAGGTGAGAAAAATCAGTATCAATACGGCCTTTCTAAACCCCCGCCTCCACGCCCACTTTCCCTAATTCATGCAAGAAAGTTGTCTTCCATGAAAAAGAGCCATTTCTTCAGAGGGTCAGTTAAGTTCTTGGGATGTAAACTTGGCTTGTATTAGCGCGATACATGTTCATGGATGATCATCTCGCCCAAGCTACGACACTTTTACGGCCATTTTGTGCTGTCTGATGTTCGGTATATCACTGCACATTTTTCTTCAACGTAGCTGTAAACTTTCCTGTGCGTCCACATAGAAGCATTGTCGTGTTTGAAAATCACTCGATGAAAAGGATATTTCGTTATAGCAAAGTTCGATGTAATTGGGTTTGATTGTACACACAAGTCACTCTTTGTCACACTAGAAAGCAATCATATTGTCCACATTCATGCCTCAAGTGGTCCCTTCAGTGTTCGCATGAGAGCACTGACCATAAACGAACACGCTGGTGTTGGACAGGAAAGTAGACATGAGGACCCAGAAGACAACAGTGGCCCCAACGAGAGGCAGCATGGAGAACACAATGGCAAGCCGCTCGCCCCACTCGCCCAAAAAGTGGCGGCACACGTCCGAGAACTCCAGCGGTTCGCCTTTGAGGCCTGGAAAAGAAAATGACACAGCACATTAGACGCAGTCCTATTTAATAGCTGACCTCATCATTAATGAGAACAGGCAATTATTGTTGGTTCATTCTCATTAGTATTGTGTCTAACAAAAAACAACAAGCCCTTCAATGTTGACTTGTGACTTAATAGTTGTCATTTCAAATAGTGTAAACAATACATAGGCGAGCCCTAGGCTTGGAAAGTCACGACTGAACTTAGCCGTTCGGTGAAGATAGGAACTACGTTTACATGTAGGTGACAGCCCATTTTTACTGGGGACCACTAGGCAACTCGTGGAACAAATGGTGGAGACGGCACAGAGCTTGTTTCTCTTTCCTGATTATTAGTGTTGTTCGTTTGTTGCGTCATCATAACTGAAGTGTTAACACGGGCAATACTAAGCAACTTTAAACACAGGTGCAGAAATTAAAAAGCTTTGGTCTATAGCAATTCAACAACATCATCAATGTTTATTAAAAAAATATAGTACACTCAAATTTGGATATAAGGACCATAGATACAATAAAGCAATCATTAAGGAGCCCTCAACTACCACTGTTAAATGTTTTAACATTTCAAGTAAATGTGCACATCGAATTCAGAATTCTGTCACCATCAACAATGCCAAACGGGGCAGGGCCATGTTCCACAGGCAATTTGCAAATTACAAGAAACACACCATTCTCCTCTTTGGACCTTCAGTAATCCCCTGTGTTGGCCATGATGTAAATATTCATGTCTGGTCATCTACAAAAAGAGCCTGTTTGTCTTCCAGCAGGTACATGTGTTTGCTGCTCTAACAAAAAACCTCATTATAACAAAGTTGCATTTTACACAAAAAAAACAAGTTCGTTATATCCAAAAATTCGTTATGAACATTTATTCTTAACACTTTATTTATTGAGACTACTTTTAATTTACTTTGTTCTAACCGGTTATATCGAGGTTTAAGTGTAGTTCCTTGCATGGCGAGGAAGAGCACTCGCCCGGGAAGAGAGATGAGCCAACGAATGGAGGACAGCATACGAAAAAGTGAAACGAGTGCGGGCCTCTTTTTCATCATCGAGCACGTGTAGCTCTACTTTTACAGCCCCATTTTGAAAAATTGAAAACAGCTATGCATTTGTCGAAGATTCGTGCACAACTGCAACACCATAACTAATAAACGGGAAAGAAGGATGCAGCGCCATGGTCTGTGTCCATTCTTGTCCTGTCTTTCTAACGCTGTTTTTCCACTCATAACCACTACTAAATTTCAACCACTGGGCGGTTTAGGAGCGCTTCAAGCTTATCTTGCTACTGTCTGGGTGTAATGAGTAATCTTATGGAACACAGTAAAAAATTTCTCCTGCAAAAGGCATTACTTATAACGAGGTGCAACTCTAATAGCTTTATATTTTGAAATAGCAAACAATGTGAGAAAACATATGTGTTGATACTGTGGTTGATATCTGTAGCACTGTGCTTTACAACCTAGGCAGCGCAAATAGTGTGAAGTGATGAACAAATAGTGTGAAGCAAGTGCGTGTTACAGACACAAAGCGAACATGAGGAGGAAGATAAACAGTCGGCAACAGTGGAGTACCAGGGCAGAGTGATAAGATATGCAAAGTGACACAAATAGGGCAGGTGTGACTGGCAAGCAACAATGCAACAGGTCAAGTGGATAGTCTTACGCAGTATCATTATTGTGAAGATTACCCAGTAATAGTGGTAATAATGCTCAACGCGGTAGTCAGATGCACCCAAAATGGAGTCTCACCTGTGAGGCTAGGACTACTGAGTATCCTGTATGCAGTGTACAAACAGAGGAGTCCTATGGCTAGAATGAGCATGATGCCTCCGGCAAAGCCAGCCTGCACAAAAGAACACTTTGTGTTGTTATAACGACTACTGATGTACAAGCAATACTGCAACACTGCGGCGTTATTAGGTTTTAGAGCCCCCGCAACGGTGGTCTAGGGGCTAAGGTACTCGGCTGCTGACCCACAGGTCGCGGGATCGAATCCCGGCTGGGGCGGCTGCATTTCCGATTTAAACGGAAATGTTGTAGGCCCGTGTACTCAGATTCGAGTGCACGTTAAAGAACCCCAGGTGGTCTAAATTTTTGGAGCCCTCCACTACGGTGCCTCTCATAATCATATGGTGGTTTTGGGACGTTGAACCCCACATATCAATCAATTATTAGGTTTTAGAGTTCATATGATCGTTCAAACTTTTGATCATGTCAAAGGTGTTTTATTATTAAAGAACTACTAATTGGGAGAATACAACTCGAGAAGCATTCATATGAGTGCATAGCAGTAATTGATTTTTATAAGACTTCTAATAATAATATAATTTCTGGGCTTTTATGTGTCAACACCGCTATACAACAATGAGGCATGCCAAGCAATTTCACCCACCTGGTATGGGGTTTTTTAACATGCACTGACATCGCATTGTACAATAGCCTCAAGCATTTCACCTTCATTGAAGCGAAACTACCGTGGCTGGGATCAGACCCGAGTCTTTCAGGTCAGCAGCCAGTCATGACCATTGGGCTACCCCAACTATGAATGAGCATAGGGCTAGACTACAAGATGATTTAATTGTCGACTGCACAAAAATTTCACCTTACCTCATAAACGTATGGCACATACCATGTATTCTATTCAAGCAATTTCTGCAAAGCTTTAGGACTGCTATCGCAACTTCTAGCTGCCATGGCAGGTGAGTCGCAGGCCTAGAACAGCTAGGTGCAAGAAGGAAGGTGTACCTGCGACATAGCCCATGGCATGCTGAGCAGCGAAGTACCCATCATGGTGTTCCATATGGCAAAGCTGCAATGAAAGCACCGCGTCAGCAGGCTGCTCTTTCACACAGATTGATAGCACCAACATTGTCACAAAGCTGCTCTGTTCACCCTCTGCAGATGGCTTGAAGAAAGGTAACGACAAGTACGCTGGGACCACGTGGTCGGGTATGCACTGCACGAAAGAAAGGGGCAAGATCATCCAAACGTCAGCAGCAGTAAACAAGCGGAATAAAAAAAGAAACAATCTGTTAAGTTTAAGGTATGGCCTAAACATGCACAAGCACTACCTACTGCGTCACAGCCTCCAAAACATTGATGGAGCATGGGGAAGAAATGCACAATTATGCATAATCTACCATCAAGTACCAGAATGTCTAGAATTACATCCTGTAAAAGTGCTACTGGGTGTACTTTTTGTCGAATATACACAATTACATTACGATTACTTCTAATGACATCTCCTATACTTCCCTTGGCATGTTTGCCCATCAGTTCTCATTAATATTGTGTCTAACAAAGAAAACAAGACCTTAAATTTGCCCTTTGTTCCTACACTATTAAAACAAGTGGTTGAACAACAGAAGCCAATGCTATGGTTATTGCAATATACTATGTGTTAGTACATCCATATGCGTAATGTAAAGAGTAACATGGCATGAGACATAACGAGCTTCAAGGTGCTACGGAGGATCAAGGACTGACTGGTAACCGTGGTTCAATACTTGACACTTTGGAGTTATGACAGATGCTGTAGCAGAAAGACTGAGTTTGGCCCCTTCGAGTTTACAGGCTTGCAATTCACACTGGTGTTTAACAATCTGTCCATCAGCATGTAGCCACTGTGACATGGAATCGATATCGCAGCATCATATGTCAAGAAATAGAAAGCTATAGCGACAACAACCTAAGTAGATATGGTGGTTCATGATTGAAGAGCAATACAAGACACAAAGCACAGAAAAAAAATACACAGAACAAATGATACTGCAGACAAAGGTTAAGTTGATGAAGACAATGGGCAAATTAGAGGCACGTGTTCTGAAATATATCTATACACACATTTGTTATGTTTGCTACATGTAGTACAACGTCCGGTTTTAACTATACTAACATATTTTCTTTCAATGTTCAGACACTGAAATGTCTGCTTTTGTGTCATATCAGAGCAGTGTATAATATGAAAATGTGATGATATCTGCACTAGCTAACAAACACTTATCTGCTGACGAAAGAATTCATTATTGTGAAACACATGATAAAGATAGTTACGTAGGGCTTAGTGTTGCAAGAGCAACTAATGCTATCGCCAGCAGCATTGTGATAAGCTGATAAAGAACAACCTTTACGCGATCTACCTGTGTTGTTTCTGTCAAGTTGCAGTGAGATATCATTTTGGGTGCTTTCACCTAATCTGATTGTTTAAACCAATAAGTGACAGGTGGGACTTGGCAGCTGGCTCTGCTTGTTCCAATGTTTTCCGCTTATATATATATGCTGCTTTGGCTACAATTCTCAGCATACTAATCCACTAACTACTAACTAGCAGTAGGTATTACCAGCATCTGTAGTGATGGATCCACCAGCTTGTTGTAGTAGCGGTACCGGCTGTAAGTTGCTGCCATGTTTGCATCAGAGTCGTGTACTATGTGACCATGTTCGCCGACGGGGTAGTGGAATGGCTTCCTTAAAGAGAAACAGTAGCAGCAGAGATGTTCTCATCAAAACAACATGCTTCTCGCTCTTGACTGAACAACTGTGCAGTACGCTGTCATACCACATTTTCTAAGCAGCAGCAAAGCCAGAAACTGCATGTGCTGTATTAGGATGACCATAAAAGATGTAGTTATGTTTTTTCATTACTCTCAAGGCCCTTAATTTCCTGCATTTCACACGCCCAGGATCATGGGATTATATTAACTGAAAGTTGCACTAAAATAGATAGCCACAAAAATATGTCACCCATTTCACACGGATAAGTTTTCTCTCAATTTTTCTTGATCATCTTTTTTTTTTTCATTTTGAAGAAAAATAAAGACCTTATTTCTTCAGTAACATTCCAGAAACAGTGGCAGGAGCTAAAGGCACCAAGGCGACACTGATTCCAAATATGAGATGCATCTACATGGACTAGATGTATATCATGTAAGAGAAATAGCTCAATTATTGTTATTTCGTATTAAGAAAAGCTCCTATAAGTTTACAAGGCGGACGTACATCTGCAGAGCCAGACTATAATACTAAGATTAACTTTCAACATGCGCATACGAGAACATTGTGAAGGACACACCGTGTTAGAGATCTGGCACACACTGACGAAGATAAGGCCTGTTTCGCCACATGGACACTCGCTCAGTTATTTTCCGAACTCGAACAAAGGAGTTTATCTTACGCAAATCATCTGGAATGCGACGCGCACAGCGATATATAGATCACACGGTCAGCGCTTTCATCCAAGCTTAACTGTATTCGTGCTGGCCTATCAACTGTGACGCGCACCCATTGGGAAGAAATGATCGAGAATCCCGCGCATAAACGTCTCTTTCTTTCGTTTGCCTCGTGAACGATGCGATGACAGAGATGTTCTGGCACTCGATCGGCGATCGCTGCCAGCAACCACGTCGTAGCCGAAACTTGCGTACGCCAGCGCATGAACAAACAAATTGCTAACATAGGCAAATGCGAGAAACAGCACAAGCGAAAGAACACGCACGACAAGCGCTGGTTCTGTGTGAGCACTCGTCGTGCGTGTTCTTTCGCTTGCGCTGCGTCTCCTTCTGCGCAGTTTTTTTTTTTTTTTTCGCATTGACAAATGCGTGATCAACTATATCCCAACGAATCACACGTCCGAAAAATCACAAACACATGGTGAGGCTGACCTAGAGGATTGACTGGAGAAGCTCTCGCTCACAGCGGCCGAACTGCAACCCAATTCACTTTCATTCCTGTTGATCGCACTCGACAGCAGCGGGGACTTCTCACTAGGCTCCATAGTTCACCGTAGTCGCTCGTCACAGGTTCCCGTAGTCGACGCACAAGCACCGACGGTGTGACATGGCGTGCCAGTACACGGCCGAGGTTGATTCATACGCCTCCCGCGCGGCGAGCGCCTCGTTTCAGCAGAAGCGAAACCCGAGATGAGCGTCGCGAGGCGATAGCGCGGGATTTCGAGACAACGGCGGCCGATGGAGCCGATACGAACACAAAAGTTTTTTCAGCGAATGACGTCACTTTGATGACGATAAGGAACGACCGTAGAGTTCCACTTTCGCTTTCTGATAAGAGGCCTGCTACAAGGGCGCTCCCCGTGTTTAGCAACGATTCAATTACCTCGAAACGAGAACTTCGACATACCTTGTTTAAAGTTTTGAACATACTGTCGTAAAAGAATTTACCAAGCATTTATTTGCTCGAATGGTTAAGTCAGTGCAAGTATTTAGATATGTAGAGAGATAAAGCCAAAATAAGCAACTGGATAAATAGGCTAGTGGTCTTGTTTCATAGGTTAGTTGCTTCGTTATCAACTGTTGTCGCTCTTGTTCAAACCTGTGTGCTTTCACAGACGCTTTAAGTAACTTTGACGCATTTATATTTGCACATGTGACTAGCTAAAGGCCTCGGGCTGCTCAGGCATTGTACTCTCGGCCTCCTGAGTGCGGTATTTTTCCCCTGTCAACTTGAGCGCTGAACATTTGCATTTGCATCTAGGTTTTCTGTAATTAGACCTGCCTTTCGCTCACCATATTTGTGGGCAGCCATGGAGCTTCATGTTTAGAACTCTATGTGGGCAGCTGTTCAAGAGTAGCCGGTAATTAGCTGCTGATAAAAGCACACACACACTACAGTTCTCGTTTCGGTGGTAAGGAAGGACACCTGGCGGTTTCCGGTTCTCCTCGCGCGCCTCGCGCGATTGGAAGAGCTCGTGTCTGTGTGGTTTGCCGTGGTATCTCATCGTTGCCACGAGCAGACCCAGCGATCGCCATGTCTGGCTCGTCGTAATCTCGGTAATCTGTCGTTTTGCGTGTGCAGCGCCTTCCAGAGACCTTGTATCCCCGCCAAGCTTGAAGTGCCCTTAGGCGGCCCCATCCGCCGGCCGGTGTGCACACAAACGCCCACGCCCCCCTTCACGTTACGTTTGTCAACCATGACATCGTACATGGACGTTGACGTTCCACGCATTGAGGACCTACTGGGACACGATCCTTACCTCAAGAATCACGAAAACGAGATCAGGCGAAGGTAAGTGAACGACCTTGCAATTGACATTGACGTCGCCGACGGACGAGTGCCTTGTGGTGCGCGGTTGTTGACATCGTATACTGGTTTCGTTGTGCTGCTGAATTCATAATTTCTCTTGAGATTAACCGGTAGTTGTCATCGAACAGTGACCCTATCTCAGTGCGTGACAGTCGTTGCTGAAGCAATTAACGCAAGGTGTTTCCCGAAACGTTCGAAAATATCGGATGTCTCGTTCGTGCGCACCATGATCTGTAATTTATCCAGAACTGATTAATCAAAGTTAGCCGTGTCACCTTAAAGATCGAATGCGTTGGAATTTCTCACCCACGCATGATATGTAATACACCAATCGTGGAGTGTTTTGTGCTTCATTTCATTTGTACCGCACAGGTTGATTCACGAGTACCGTTTTTGATTCAGCTAAGCAATGAAGTTGATGTAACGCTTGAGAAGCGTGCCAATTGCAGGCGTGGTGTTGCTAATTGCCTTAAGGTAATGGCTTTATTTTTTTATTTATTTGTTCAGGTATTTATTATTGCTACATAACATTAATTATATAGAATGAATTCATGGGAACGTACATATTCGTATATGAAGTTTATCTCTGTAATGAACATTTCTTTTTTTAAAAGCGTATTTGTGTAATGATTAGAAAACATACTTAATGTCACTACGTATGTGCATCATCTAGTTTGAACATTGGTTCATGCGTTTTCTTACATAATAGTAAACATTGTAATTTCTACATTGGTTCTAGGTATAAGTGCTTTCAAGAGCAGCTGCTGAAGATAGAGAACACTGAAGGGCTGCTGCAGTTTTGTAAAAGTTATGAAAAGTATGGAGTGCATCGCCTGCCAGACAACTCAGTACATTTTCTCGAATGGGCGCCAGGTGCCGAATCCGTATTCCTACGTGGAGACTTCAGTAAGTGGCGTGACATGCTCAATTTAGCACGTGAACTATGTACAAAGAAAATGAAATATGGTTTAGGGGATCTATTGTTACTGCAAGTGGCAAAGATAAGGAGTGAAGTACCATGAATAGCTGTTAGCAAACTTTGTCGTTCGCATATTTTGTATATGTGGATCTTTAAAGCTGCATCAATACAAAGTATTCTTCCTTGTGCTAAGATGTAGGCCCGTGTACTCAGATTTGGGTGCACGTTAAAGAACCCCAGGTGGTCAAAATTTCTGGAGCCCTCCACTACGGCGCCTCTCATAATCAAATGGTGGTTTTGGGACGGTAAACCCCACAAATCAATCAATCAATCATTCCTTGTGCTAAGAGCTCTTATTGCTGGGTCATAAAATATGGCGATTTCTGTAGTTTTCTTGTTGCATAAATGACTTATAAAAGTAAATGGCTCTATATTTCTTGTTGTGCAGAATAAACACCACAGTGCTCTATATTACACTGTAAAAGCTCTGTGAATGTTGTACAGACCACACGTAATTTGTGTGCTTGCTACATATCGGATATTTTATGATTGCTTCATACACACAACTATAAATTATAGTCATTGATTTCTTACATGGGCTCACCTGGTGAAAATTTAACTTGTATGGACGGTTATCTGTGGTAAGGCTTTTGGTATTGTCTAAAATAAGTACGCACTTGAACATCAATAAAACAACCACGTTCAACCCAAGGAAGTACTTTATGAGATCTTGTATGTTTGCGTAGCCACATATTCACCACGTATCGGTGAGAAGCATCTTAAATTTGCTGTTACGGAAAAAGCTTGTTAATTCCATCCCAAAGGGGATTATAAAACTGTTACAATTAAGCAGAGTTTGAATTAGAGAGTGGACACTAGAATAAATGAACACTACGACACAGCGTGTGGGCAGAACCCGAAGGAGCCATCTCTGGACTTGACGGGAATGAGGGGCTTCTACAGTTTCATGGTGGGATTTTATAAATTAGGTTCGTGGAGCTCTAACAGCAAAGAGAAATTAATTGATCAGTCAGTCATAAGGCATAAAAAAGCACCAAAGCACACTCATGGGAGTAATGGGCCATAATCTCAAAATATGATGCTATTTATGCTCCAAAACAGGTTTATTAACATGGCAGGGATAACAGAAACCAAAATGAAAAGTAATCAGTAATTTTCATTAGCTTGCTTTTCTTCTGTCACGACTCTAGGAGCATTGCTTGCAGCTTTCCTAAGAGCTCTAGCGCGGCGTCCTAATTCTAATATGCTGAGAAATGGTGCTGTTTTTGGTTCTGTTTTTTTTTTTCGCAGAACACAGTGTGGTCCCTTGGGGCAGACTTCTGCGAAAAGCGATGAAAACCAGTGGCTCACAGTTAGAACCATTGTGGATACTGACGCATTTAAATTATCGGGGAGTTCCCCCACTGTAGAACCACACGGGACTGTGCTGGGACCAGGGCATCAGTTCGAAATAACCAAGTTTGAATTAACAAAGTTTTCCTGGATTATAATGCTATCATTTTGAAGCATTGATTGCATCAATAAAGATAATGTAGTGGAATTTGCTTTTTATAATGTTTATGCAAATCGGTCTGTCTCAGGAGGAGTGTGAGACTCCGTGTAATGCAAAACTCACGCATTAGTATGATTGTAATAGAACCAAAAGCTGTGTAGCAGGATACCTGATGCCACGGGTAAGTTGTAAACTAATCTTTGCCACAGTGCTTTGCATAATGTCAGCTGCTCTTGCATTTTTTTTTGTGTGTATGAATGTAGCAACCAGGACTGAGGTTCGATCCTGATATGTCATGGTTCCGGAGCAATTTTATGCTTAGCGTCCTGGTATTTTGTGTGTTGTCTAGATGCATGGGAGAGGCTGACACATCCCTTCAAGAAGCTTCCCTATGGCAAATGGGAACTGACCTTGCCCCCAAATCCCGATGGCTCCTGCCAAGTCGCCCACCTTGACAGAATCAAGGCAGGCAACCATTCCTTCATATGCTCTGCATGTTCTTGTTTTCTTCATTTATTCCCGAGCGTACTGTGTTATTGATAATTGGTTGCTTAGTTACACTAAAGTAAGCTTAGTCTTTTTCTATCCCTTATTGCACCCATTAAAAACTAAAAGTTTCTGAACACAAAAGGACATGTTCTCTACTTGTGAAACATATCTGCCCTGTATGTTGATCTTAATGCAACATAAAGTATCCAACATGTGGTACTAACATGGAGTGCTTAATTTGTACATGCAGTGATACTTTCAGGAATATTTTAACGTTTTTAAACATCTTCTTGGACAATCTGGGTTCATAACTTTTACAGTGTAAGATTGTTGTTACAAAATCACATCTTACTCTAAAGTAGTTTTGCTATATCTGAATATTCTTTATAAGTGAGTGCCTGTTACACCATATTTATGTCATGACATTTTTATTTGTGTACTAGTTATAACCCACAATCTGTGAGTATATTGAGGTTTCATTGTAGACCGCTCCAGTTACGACAGTTAAAAACATATAAACACTTTATAAACATTGCAGTTTATTCAAAAGCAAGTGTCACCAATATTGTCACCAAAAACAGTTCATTTTTTAATTCATATTTATATTGATAATATGGTGAAAGCTCTGACTGCATGCACCTTGCTGATTGAATAATAATAGAAAAAAATTATTCCCGGGTTTTTTTGGGAATTTCCTCTTTGGGATATCCCACAGAAACACCATTTGACACCTTGTTTAAAACTTTCAAATATTCACACACACCCCTACTCTGGGCTAAGGCAAACTGGCTTACTTAGCATAACAACCACTGTTATTTGAGGACCATTATGTGGCAAAATTTTACAGTGGAATTACCATTCGGTTGCACTTGTGTAGTAGAACTTGTTCCCATGTCAAACAGGATTTTGTTTAGAGTGAACATGCTTTGTCGGAAGAGAGAAATGTGTCTGTTAGCAGATCTGAAATTCAGCCATTAAAGCATATTGTAATAGCTTAGACTGGATTATAGACAGGAACACTTCCCTTAATAATGTGTTTACATCATTTTGTTAATATGTTGTAACATACCCTTGGTTTGACATTTTAAAAAAGGGGCATAATTTGCCTCAGAGTTTCCACTGTTCAAACAAATACAAATTCTGAACTAGCTGCAAACGTACATGTTCAGGAATGTGTGGGAAAATGAAAATGGCTCTGTGAAAGACATTGAAACAATGCAATGACATACGAGTACACATCACTGCACAAGCAAACAGCTACAAAAAAACACTGAGCACTTCTAGTAACTGTCCTGTTTTGTACTACAAATATTTGTATACAGTGATAAGATTACGTGTGAACCAGGATAGAGAAGCAGGGTTGGAAATGCCATGCCATTTGCGCCACACTGCTCCCGTCCACTTCTGCTGTGTCAACCTGCTTCAAAAGACATAATTGTGTCAAAATTGCTCACAAGCAGTCTTTGGTGTTTTCTTGTGCTGCTGTCATCTGCTACAAGATATGCCCATGCGAGTTCCTATCATCATCGCCACCTGGGGCACTCTTCGTAACATTAATGGCTACGCAAACAAAATCAGTTTTGTCGAAAGGGTGAAGCAATGAATGATTCATCAAGAAATAGTAATGTTATGCGAAGTAAGGCTAGCATCTAACTCTTTAGTGCCTGATTTTCTGTAACTCTACAAAACACTGGCTTAAGGAAATATGGCTGCTACATAAAACACAGTGGTTTTTGTGCTGCCTGCTTTCTCAGTGCAAAATAAGCAGGCCACTTGCTCATGTCTGCTGTGAAAGCATGTACATCAGTGCTAGCAACCGCGCTATTATGATCAAAGTTGCCATCGCTGCTTGGGCAATGCAGCCCTCTCTTCCCCAGCTCTCTTCATGCTCCCTTGCTCGGCCATCAACGGTAGATCTCATATGTGGAGCGATGTTATCGCATGCATCTTTCATACAAGAGAGATAGCCGGCTCGTTTCGTCTCTGCTTCTGCCGCATTCGTCCCCAGTGCATGCGTCCTTTTATTTGCACATAAAACATACAAACAACATGCGGAGCAACGCTTTTGATTTAGACTTATAAGGAAAATGGTGGCTATGGCTAAGATCCACCGAGAGCGAATTGCCATTGCAATAAAAGTAGATATTTCACTCCTCTAGTCTTCTCGTTGGCTATATGTCGGCAGTTGTGTTTTGTCAGCATGAGAAGCATTATTTCTGATGTGTGGTCAGGTTTAGCTACCCTCTCTGTTCTCATTGGCTGTGGTGCTTTAACGAGAGCATAAGCTTTCTTTAAATCCTTTTAATAGAATCTCAGTGGGTTTCAAATAAAGTTAGAATTTACTAACTTATCTCTAGTGTTCAGTGGTTATTCGTTCATGTCAGCTTCGTTGTTTTATTAACATGAACATTTTTCATTCACCTGAAGTCTGGTCAGGTGTAGCTATCCAAAATATAGCTTATCTCGTTTTCTCCTAGTTTTTACTCAATCAGCTATGATGTTTGAAAGAAGGTGACACAGACACACTTATATGTTGATATTTATTTATTTATTTGTTAGTGCAACTTTTAGCCATTTCATCAGTTTTGAATGTTTAATAACAACTGCTGAAGTTTTTCGTTCACCAGAAATAAACTGTTTCAGTTAACAGTGATGTTTGACTTATGGAGTATGCTCCAAAGCTTACTTTCATTGCTCCAAAGTGCGTCGTTTCATGTTCCTTAAGCTGCTCCAAAAGACTGAAGCCCGACTGCACCCCTGAAGTATCACCATTTAACCAAGAGCTCATCTAGTCAGGTAGCATGTTACAAATGATGGTAATTACATTCACTGAATTAGTAGAAAAACAGAAACAGTTTCTGGAATTTCAGAACCTGTACATAATCCCTCTTCACGATTCAGTGAACATAGTCTTACTGTACAGTTTTATCAAAGACTGTTTCACTTGGTCGGTTACCATATTTTATATTATGCGCAAGAAGTACTACCATGTTGTGCACAAGAATGGTTGAAAATAGGAATGGTAACAAATGGTTTGGTATGAACAACTAAAATGGTAAAAAATGTCTGCTGACTGGCTTGATGAAATATTTGTAGAAGTTACAGCACTGCACAGCCCTCATGCTCAACTACAGTTCTCACGAAGACCGAGTAAAACCGAAGGGACACGGACAAGTGCTGTACTTAACTAAACATGCCACCATTACAAACTAGCCTATCTTTCACTACTGTGCACTTATGCTTTATAGCTAGCAAAAAAAAAAAGAAGCTGCCAGACCTGTGTGCAATCTGCAACACAGTCACAAAAAAACCTGGAAGAGCAGCCTTACAGTGCCTTTTTTATACACCTTTTGGGTAACTGCTGCAAGCGTGTTTGAAGGGTACCCACTAAGCTATAAATCATCCTAACTTTTGTGTAGTAGGTCCTTATGCCATCCTTCATCATTCTTCGAAGAAGTGTGCTACCGCTACACACTCGCAAGGAATTTTGTGAAATTTTTCGATGCTGTGGTTAAGAATTATGAAGAATTACGCCTGAACCTTTGGTAATGGGTCGGGGCATTCGACGACCCACTCAGTACACAATTTGCATTATTCGACGCCGGAGTATTCCTTGGCTTTTTTAGAATGCTTTATTACTCACATTAACGCAATTCCTTTCCCGACATCGTCTGCCTAGGGTCAGTTTGCAACGAAGTTTCAAGCACTGGCATGGCTTAGTGGCAGAACACTGAGCTGTCACACAGGGGACCTGGGCTCAAATCTCATCGTGACATAGCTGTTTTTTATTCGCTTAGTTTCTCATTTCCCGCAATAGTGGTTACGGACACCGGCGATTGCGGACAACTACGGCACATGCGACCCTTTTTGTGATCTTCATAACAGTTCTCGCTGTAAAACAAAAATGTGTGAAGGTAGACATAACATTTCAAGACAGGGTATTTTTTTGCTCAAGATTTGGTTTATTTGCAGATTGTCATTCTCAACAAAGCTACAGGGGAGCTTGCAGATAGGAACAGCCCGTGGGCCACTTACGTTGCTCGTGATCAAAATGCCCCCTTATATGGGCAGCGCTTCTGGGACCCCCCGGAGGAAGAGGTAAGCATTGCAGTTGGAAGAATTAATAATAATTTATGAATTGATGCTACTGAATAAATACATAAGTGAACAGCACGTAGAAAGCTATGCGGCATCTTTAAAAAAAGGCGTTAGTTTGGCAGCAACCTTAAATTTTCCGCTGACTATCTAAAATGAACACTTAAATTATACTAGCTTTCGGAAACAATTTCGACATGGTTGTTCATGCCTAAAATAGTCAGAGAAATTGGTGAATAAAGGTAAAGAATCATTAATAACAACATAACATAAGTATACATGAATTTTATTTGTTGGATTGTGTTCTTTTAAAATAGTAATAGACGCTCTTGATACAAAAAATATTTTGTTTGAATGAGTTTTGAAGAAGCTATGTTAAATAATTAGTGGTATAATATAGAGCAGCACATATCTCTGCATGTATATGTTAGTTATAGATTAGCAATATCACATAATTTGCTGAGGTATAAGCCTAACCTATGAAAGATAACTTACAAAGAATAAGTTGTCATTTTGTGGGCAGAGCAGTAACAAAACACATATTTGACATTGCTGTACATTTTTATCCAAGATATTGCGAGGGCACATTATTAATTACGTTACTTTCTTGGTTTTCTGCTTGTTTTTCTGATGCAACTGTTTTACCCTGACCCTTGCTTTACAGCGCTACAAGTTCAAGCATCCCAAGGTTCCACTGCCCAAGAGCCTCCGCATTTATGAATGCCACATTGGCATTGCATCTGAGGACTACTGGGTTGCTAATTATGCAAATTTCAAGGACAATGTTCTTCCTCGAATCAAGCACCAAGGTATGTCTCTAGCCGATTGAAGAGATCCCTGCAACAGCCCTTGTGAAACACACGCAACACACATTGTCAGTTCAAAGTATCACTTGGCAATTTTATCCGGTGATTTTTTTCCAGGTTTCGAACTTGGCAGGTGCAAAGATCTGAATGTTCGCTCTACGTTCTCCCCTTCAGTTGCTGTTGCTTTCCATTCTAGTTTCAATTATGCATGCATTTCAACAAAGTCGGCTTTTTGTGAGCACTTAAACTTGGCTGAGCTTGATGTCACTAGCAGACCACCATGATGATATCACTCCACTTGGTTTAGCTACTGTTTTGGCAAAACAACCTGTTTATTTGCTTTCCACTATTTGCCCCATTTTCTTTGTATTTTTTCTTGTGCAACTGCTGTGTGCATCGGCAGCGTCAGTTTTGTCTTCACAGAGAACCATTAGCTCTTAAACATAGTTGAGGGTTCATTCCTGGAGAATTTGCAGCTCTTCTTCACTATGTTCCAAAAGTGTACACACAAAGCTGGCATGCACGGCAAATCTAATGTCTTGTTGTATGCCGATTCGATTCTCTTGTAGGTTACAATGCGATTCAAATCATGGCCATCATGGAACATGCATATTATGCAAGTTTTGGCTATCAAGTGACGTCATTTTTTGCAGCATCCAGGTAAAATTGACCTTGGCTGTTCTTTTTAATAAGTGTAGTAGACTCTAGTTTCTATGTGTTGTATCTATGCATGTGATTACTTGGATAAGAGCATTTGTGGTGGCATTGTTTCATAATATGCCTCTATTCATGTAACCAAAAAAAAACTATGTTGATGCTGTAAACGAAGTGTTTTATAATAAGTTTAAAAAATGAAGTTCATTAAAAGAAAAATGTATTTTTTTTTAAATCAGGCAAACATCTATTGGCAAAAGAGCATACATATTTTGTAAGAGCTTTTTAATCTTGACATATTACTTAGAAAGTACAAGTGCCTCCTCCAGCCGATATTGATAGTATTTCGATAGCTTTTCTCGCAAACTGTTCATTACGCTCGACGTCCTACGTGTACACGAGTGAGGTTAACTTGTGATTAACCACCTTCATTTTGCCATTTTAAACTGCTTTTTAATACATAAAGCTGGTAGAATATGTTTGCTGAACACTCGTGGTCACGTGAAACCCTTTTACCACTTATTGGTCATGTGCTTGTGGTACTTTTTCATGCTGCAAGTCTCTCGGCTAACTTTTATGCTGCCCATGGCCTCCGCAATTACCTCTGGCAACGGCGCACTGCTGGAGCTACTCTGAGAGGCCCTGTGCTGCCAGTAATGAGCATCTGATCATACATCAACCAAAGAAATCGCCACTTTTCTGCTCAGTACAAACTAGAGTGTATAGGCACATTTCAGTTTAGAAAAGACTATTATAAAAAAATACTATCGTATTTCAGCACTGATATAGATACCGTTGATTAGGTGCACCTGTTAGAGGTCATGGCGACGCCATCATTTGGCAATCACTTGACCACTCATGGTATACAATCTTTCCATTAATGGATCATCTAGATTAAAGTTCTGAGCGTGTGTCTGACCCTGTAACAGAATTATAGCAGGAAGGACTGTTGCAGTCGGTACGGCACTCCAGAAGAGCTGAAAGCGCTTGTGGACCGTGCGCACGAGATGGGAATTTACGTGCTGCTGGACGTGGTGCACAGCCACGCGTCCAAGAATGTCTTGGATGGCCTGAACCAATTCGATGGCACCAACAGCTGCTTCTTCCACGATGGAGGTCGTGGAACGCACCCACTCTGGGACAGCCGGCTCTTCGACTACACACAGTGAGTGCATGTGTTGTTTGAACTTGCTTTGCGGCTAGTCGGCAGTATGTCATCTTGACAATTATTGCACTATTCTTTCAGTAGCGGTCTTTGCTTTTGTGCACTGTTGTTCATATATACTATATGCGGGATCCTTTATGCACAATAAACGGTTGGTAGTGAGCGCTGTTTAGGGGGTTGGGTTGTGAACATGTGTGCAAATAACTTGAAGCAGCGCGAAAAAGCAATGAAAAGGAACAAACACATACAACAGCACATACATATGTACATCACCTACTGGCTAACATTATTTTCTGAACTGTCATTTTTGTGGTTGATTTGGTTCTTCAATGGTGTATGCCTTGCTATTGGTGCATTGCATTACTACAGGGAAAAACAAAGATAGGCACACCTGCCTATAGGGGAGACCCACGCCGAGGGAGGCGCTGCGGAGCGTGGCGCTGTCAGTCAATGCGGGGAGAAAACTCGTTACTCGAGTCTTCGCCCCTCCGCTGTCCCATTCAACCTGCCTTGAAAACGCATTTCTTCGCTCGCGCGCTGCACGTGTTCTGCACGTGTTTTTGGGAGTTTAGCGTCGCGTGCGGTGCGCTCTGTCCGCATTTATTAGGATGCTGCAATTGACGATTTTTTTTCGTAGCAGCAATTTAGTAAAAGGGCAGCGAAGCAAGTTGTAGCAGACGACGCCGTCCTCGTCAGAGCGAAGTGCGTTTCGCAAGTGAAAGACAACGCTGTTTACGACGTTAGAGGTGAATAAAACTTTCTGTACGTTCATTATTATATACTTATTTTATTTGGTTTACTCTGTCTACTATGCACTATGTTTGTTCCTGGATGGATGGGTAAGGCCGCTTCTCGTGCTTTAGGTTAAGCAGTTCTTGCGCTGTGACTGCTATTAGTTGGGATACCTTAATTTACTAGCACCTACCCAAGTTATCGTGCGGTGTATACACAACACTTCAAAAATAAATGGTCTATATGGGGCTTCTTTCTGACCCACAACAATAATTGACAACTATCTCACGTGTCTTTCCTTGCATTATCACCGTTCTCATCGCGGGTACTTTGAGTTCACGAACAGCTTGCGTACCATCATGATGAGCGCCCAGCTTTCAGAGAAACTTTTTTGTGTGTGTCTAATCTGCAGGGGAAGAGCGCATTGCTATAAAGGCATTTTATCTTGGTCACGAATCAAAATTCCACCGTGTTGTTCGGGCTGCCCCTGCACACTCAGTAACCACTAGTTCACTGTATCTGCCAACGGACGTGCAACAACGGCTAATGCATTTTTTTTCTTTTTTTCATAGTTGCCCAAGCTTTTGGCAACCACACACTTCTGTCGGTGCTACGTAGATTTAAAAATATATAACAACACATTACCAATACCACATGTGCACACAGCTTCAACTACTACGTCCCCAACAATATCGAATAATAGTAGCAGCATAAAATATTTATTCACTATTTTTTAACAGTGCTCTAAAGACGGGAGTTGAAAAATCTATACTTTTAAGATGGGGACGTGCATCTCCCAGTAACTCGATAGATTAGAGAAACGGTGACGCTAGAATTAACACACGTAATTTTGAATGTATTGTGCGCGTGCTAATGTTTATGAAAAAAAATTGTTTACATACTTTTTTCGGCGCACTGCTTTAATCCATTTCTGTCGTCTGCTTGTTTCGTACCATCGGTTTGGGAATCGGTAGAATTTCACTGGTGGAGTCGACCTCTTCGTGTTTGCGTGGTTATTGTGACAGTTGACGAGGCAGCGATGTCACCCCCTTTTCTGTTGGGGTGACATCGCGGAACGAGGGACGTTTCACGTGCAGCGCGTGCTTCGCAAATGCGTGGAAGCCAAAGGGAGCGGTAGGGTCGAAAGACTCAATTGTTGTGCGCTTTTTCTGGCAGGGGAAAGGCAAGTGTTGGCGTCGCCAGGCAAACTTGAGCGGGTCTCCCCTATTAGACCCGGGCGCTTCTCTGCCTTTTTCAGGAGGGTGATAGACATTACTGACATGAGCTGTTTTGACTCTACTGTCATAAGCATGTTCCTCTGAAGTAGTTCAATGTTCTCTACCCATGTTTGTTAAAAACAAGTGACTGTAAGTGCACCTTCACAGTAGGGGTAAAGTTTGACAGTAGCAACAGTCAAACTTGACTGTACCGAACTCGACTAAATTGAATTATCCTTTATACTGAACTATTTTTGAACATGACAGTGCTTTAATGTCAATGCACAGGAATATTTACAGATTCATAGAACAAGAACAGCTGGAACATTTTAATATAAGTTATCAGGCTGTACGAGACTCTACGAGAAGTCTGCTGTTTCTCACGGAATGCGGTTTTCTCTCATGCATTGGGAAAGGGAGCAGTGTGGTTACAAAAACCATATCGATACGACATCTTCTTAACTACAACCCAGTCATGGATATAACAGCCACTGTCAACTACAAACAGCGCAAAACTAAGAATTAAAAAAGAAGAAACCTTATGTGTCGCCCTAAACTGCTCTCGATTCGTTGCATTATTTTGAAGCAGTTCCGTGAGGACTATTTGAGCTCCAAAATTTGCATAGAAATACAGAAAATATCTTTGAAGTTTTATATCACAGTATATATGATATATCAAACTAATTCTTGTTTTTAGAGAGTTTGATGTAAGCATGTTTGACTGTATTCTGCTGAACATTAACTATTATGCATACCACATAGTGAAATTTATTACAATGAATTCTCGCACTCAACACCTGGGAAGCCACTCATTCACTTTTTGTTCCACATGCACTATTTTTTGTATGACAACATATTCTTTCTTATCATTGTGCCTCTGCTCATCGTGCCAACATTTCCCCCAATTAGTATCGCCCTGTAAATGTTCCCCACCCACCATTGTTTGATCTTGCAGAATGGAAACGCTGCGCTTCCTGCTCTCCAATTGCTATTGGTACCTACAGGAGTACCAGTTCGATGGCTTCCGCTTTGACGGTGTTACTTCAATGCTGTACCATTCGCACGGCATGGGACATGGCTTTAGTGGGGACTACAACGAGTACTTTGGTTTCAACACGGACACAGAATCGCTTGTCTACCTCATGCTGGCTAACTACATGATTCACAAGTTCTTCCCCAATGCCATCACCATTGCAGAGGTAAAGCATATCTGCAAGGCTTTACTTTCAAGGCGGTTGTAGCTGTGTACCCATTGAGAACTTCACAAAATGTCCTGAAACAGAAAGTAGTTTTACAAAATATGCTTTTAAAAGGACAGTCTGGTTTGCTTCATAGTATCTTTATCGACCCTCAACTACTGCACAATACTGCTTTCTTATATATCTCTATGTCCTAGGTGGTCGAAATTTCTGGAGCCCTTTTCTACAACGTCCCTCATAATCACATAATGGCTTTGAGACATTAAACCCCAGTAATTATTATTATTAGGTATCCATATACCATGTCGAGCTGAATACAGTAGTCTGCAATACTTGCCACTGGGAAGATAGCGACTGTAGATCTGAACCATAAATATGAAGTAACTTGGAAGAATAAGAATCAAGTTTAGTACACTTGGCAAGTATTCTAAGCTCATAATGTCAGTTCATCGTTATTTCTCAAGAGAAAAGTGTGTACAGTTGAACCCCTTTATAAGAGACACTGATGTAGGAGAGAAATGAGTATAAGAGACGCTAGTGTGCCTAAATTGAAATGGGTGTTGATTAGAAAACCCATACATGGTGCCCTGCTTATAAGAGGTATCGCATATAATAGACAAGAATTGCTGTCTGGAGCATGCCTCTTATAAAGGGGTCTAACTGTACATAACAGCTGCAGTGGGTGCTTACCTATGGGCGGGAGCCTGGAGGCTTACAAGAAGGGTTTAGTTTAAATTGAGGATGATGCAGGTGGCCATGGGAAGGAAAAAGTATAGGTGTAACATGAAGAGACAAGAGAGCAGTGTGGGTTTGAGTGTTAATGAGCTCTTAGTCGCACTTTAGAAGAAATGGGAATAGGCTCAGCATGTAGCTAGAAGAGAGGATAACTGCTTGTCATTAAATTAATTAGAATGGCTGCTTAGGAAAGACAAGGATACCAAGGGGAGGTAGAAAGTTAAATGGGCAGGTGAGATTAAAAAGTTCAAAGGTGGGTGACTGGGGGGTAATGTGACTGCAGCAAGCACTGGACCGAGTTCTTTGGGGTCTAGGCACAGTAAGGCTGCTGCTGATGATGATGCTAAGGCTGATGTGTCGCACTGCTGAACGGAGTTGCAGGTTTGGTTCCTAGAGGTAGTGGTCAAATTCCACCAGGGCCAGGACGAAATAACACTTTTTGCACGCATCTTGAGTTATTCAATAAAGAAAGTGGTTAAACGTATTGCTGGTCTTTTCTCTGTGATGTCTTCACAAATTCTTTTTTTTTTCTGGTTATTTCATCTCCAGTAATGTTCATTCTTCTAACTTGCATAATGAATGGCTGCTTACAGGATGTATCTGGCATGCCAGGTTTGTGCCGACCCGTGGACGAAGGAGGCAATGGCTTCGACTTCCGCCTAGGAATGGCGATTCCTGACATGTGGATCAAGGTAGGCCCCTTCGACGACAAATTTTTCTCGTTTGGTGGGTTAATGCGCTCCGAAGCTTTGGAATTGGGTATAGCACAGCTTTGCGCTTGCAGTCATACTGGGTTATCAAGGCGAAAGTCTTAGATGCCTAATCAAACACGAAAATTGACCGCCAGTGTTGGTGCGACGTGCCAACAGCATCAACGGGAGTGATGAAACAAAATAAATGTATGCAATAACCTCACCATTACGTCTCAAATCTCAAAATTTGCGACATCAATGTGATATTTCATAATGTAATGTCACATGTGGATGTCCTCACATAATGTCAACATTTCACATTGCGGCAGTTGCACAGACATAGAAAAACGAGGTTAAGGTGCAGAAAACATTCAGGTGCAGGAGGATTGATGCAATCGACTGAGAAGAAAAAGATGACAACTTTCGTTTTCGAGATTATTGGGCGAATGCATAAGAGACCCTGCAAGTTTATCTGCTGCTTATATGCCGAATGCAAGCGACTGGAATGAATTACCCTGTTGGTGTCACAAATTGTAGCCAAAAAATTAGAAATAAAAGGGGAGAGCGATACTTCTTTGAATTTTAATCTGAATGATGTCTATTCTTTCATATTCTACTGACTTCAGCAGAACAACAAAAATGTTTTGGGGGGTCTGTTGAATTTTTTTTAACTACTTGGAATTCAGTAAGTGTTGATAGATTGATGAATGTTTATTGAACGGTTGTATGAAAATAAAGGCCTCTGTAATTCTGTAGCCTTGCATCAAAATGAGTATCACAAAGATTTGCAATGATTTGGCCAACTTTTTTATACAACTCAAAACAGCTTATGGATATGCAAGAAGTTTTATATCATAAGGAGTGTTACAAAGTTAAATACAAAGCAATCTATGTCTGCCCTTCAATTTTTATTTGAAATTAATGGAGATAGGTCCCATAGATGTAATTATTATTAGGCTTACATTACGAACCTGCTTTCAATGCAGTTGTACATTTTTGCTTTATTTTAGTGCAAGAAGCTTATGAAACTAGTGCATGAATTGAGTTTATCATTATCTCTTTTTCAATTTCTTTAGAGAAAATTTTTCCAGATGGTCAAATTTACCTAGTTATGGTTTTCGATTACACGAAAAGAGTAAAGCCAAGAAAAAAAAGGGGGGGGCGGGGAGGTCTGGAACAATTTTTTGTTGTCAGTAGTATCACCAGGATTGTTTAATGTACAATGAGTGTGGTATTTTTTTAAAACCCTATCCACACACAGCACGTTATCTCAGTTTGCACAGATAAAATGTGGGTCTGTTATCCTTAGAAGAGTGAAACTTTGGGCTAGTTGGTATTGCATGATGAAGAACGTACAGCGCGAACACAAGACGGGAATACTAAAGATGGGACACAGACAAGCGCTGTTAGAAGAGTGAAACTTTGGGCTAGTTGGTATTGCATGATGAAGAACGTACAGCGCGAACACAAGACGGGAATACTAAAGATGGGACACAGACAAGCGCTTGTCTGTGTCCCATCTTTAGTATTCCCGTCTTGTGTTCGCGCTGTACGTTCTTCATCTGTTATCCTCTTGCATTACTTCAGAGTGTGGTATTTCTTGAAAACCTTTATCTAAACACAGCTCCTTATCTCATTTTGCACATATAAAATGCCTGTGTTATCCTCTTCCATTACTTCAGAGTGTGGTAGTATTTCTTGAAAACCTTATCTACACACAGTGCCTTATCTCAATTTTCACATGAGAGTCTGTTATTCTCCTGCATTGATGAGTTATGTTGGCACACACACACAGTCTTATCTGTGTGCCACTGCCTTTGGTAGAGTAAACTCAGTAATCAAAAAGAACAAGAATACCTCATGAGTGTCAGTGATGAACAAGCTAGAAGCAGCGCCAGTAAAAATAGAAATCATTTTCCACAGAACTTGCAAGAAAGTGCCCATAAAAATAAAACTTTGCTTCCTGCAGCTTCATTACAATAATGTGGCATAACTGAAACCACGAAAGGGCGTTGCCCATTGGTGTCATCACAAACGGCACAACGCACTGCTGTTGAAAATCAGTTCTGTTTACCTCTTAGAGAATGTAGAACAATCATTTCCAATGCTTTCTGCAGGAAACATGCATTGTCATTACAGCAGGAAATTCAAGCGGAAGGTCGAAAACATACCCGTATGCCAAAGACACTGCGAGGCAAAAAAACGCCACTGTACTGTAATCAAAAACATGTATGCAAAAACACTCTGAGGTTTAATGTAATTTACTGTATCACATCATTTTTTCACAATCTAATTTATCTTTGTTTCATAGCATACTTCACTGGATGCTCTAAGCCTATTATAAGCCTATGTCGTATTTTACTTGCAATTCACTTCATCGTCAACTAATCAACATTTACTCAACACTTTTCGGCCTTACTTGACACCTGTGCTATTAAAAGCACGAAGGTCACCATCATCGGGAGTGTCAAACATCAAAATTGGTGAGGCAGGCTGTGAACAATGTTATTGTTTTTATGTGTTTAAGTAACATCCCTTGAGATTTAGTTTCTTTAGCATGCTTTGCCAAGCAGCTTCTCTAGCACTTACACCACATTCCCCTTTACCTTTGCTTTGTAGACTTGTGTTGCAGGACTGCACATTAAAAATGTTTTTTTTTAATTAGTGGTCTATTTCGATAAAACTTGACGATTTTATGTTACGTGTAAGCGGACTTGAAGTGTGTAGTTTTTAATAAAATATAAAATATCTTATAAGCCTTCTGGGGAGCAAGATTCTTTTACTTGACTGAGAGAAATAAAAGTAAGTCAGAGCATAACAATAATTTGAAATGAAAGCTGTAGGCAGCAGAACAAGAATAGGTGTTTTATACCAATTCGAACAAAATTTGTGGTATTTTGAAAATTCACAGGTGAGCCTGTATTAAGCCGTGATTTGAATCACAAATTTTAGTTTAAACAGGATTAGAACATACTGTATATTCTTGTTCTACTGCGTGCAGTTCTGATCCAAAATATTGCAGTGAGCTTATTTTTAATTCCCTCAGTTTAGGTAAACTCTTGCTTTACGAAATGTTTTATATTTTAAAAACTGCACAATGTACTGAAAAAATGATTGCTTATTGGAATAAGCTCACAAGTGTACTAAAGTTCATTTTCATAAAAATGGTTCAGGAATTGAAAAAAGTTTTATATCGCTTTGTACCCCCTGAAGTTTATAAAATGGTATATGCTACATACTGGCTCGGCAACAAGTACGACCGAGTTTTGCTGACGCCGCCTTCTGATGCTTTCTGGACAGCTCCTGAAGGAGCAGAAGGATGAGGACTGGAACATGGGGAACATTGTGCACACGCTGAGCAATCGCCGGTGGAAGGAGAAGACGGTTGCCTATGCGGAGTCTCACGACCAGGTGCGTGGCCCACTGCGGAGCTTACTTTTCCCCCCCTCCCCCTCTGCCAGGTTTCATTACTCAACTTCAAGTGTTGCACTAGTCTGAATGATAGTAAATGCATGTTCTGCGAACTTTTGTTGAAAGGTACCTGATGGGACCAGAAAAACATGTTTCATTTGACAGTTCTGTTCACCGAGAAATGCATGGAGGGGGGGGGGGGGGGGGGTACGAAATTCAAGCATGAAGTTTTCGTTTACTGCGAGTCTGCTGGTGCTTCTGTTACCACCGTCTCCAGTTTGTGTTATATCGGTGTAATTTAGACTTTATGTCACAGTTAACATTAGGTACCTTTTTGTAAGCAGGCCAGTCATGTAACAGCGAAAAGTATTCATTGCTGAAGCATCGGTGATCTTGTGTTAGCAGAGACATGACTCGGGTCACCTGCACATCATGCTTGATACTTGGCCTGGTGACGTTATGCCGGCACTGCTTTTCTATACTGTTGTGGCCAGGTTTGTCACGTCCTAACACAGGTATCTCAGGAAGTTGTCCATTCTAATCTGTGAAACCAACAATAATTGTCTGTGACACCAATAGACAATTGAGCCAAGGAAAGCATGGGAACATTATTTATTGTCCTAACTGTAGTGTAATGATTTAGGACCTATATTGAGAGGAATTAAAAGTGGCGAAAAAGCCTTCTTTCTGTCGGTGGGATTCAAACACACGGCCTTTAAGTTACACACCGGATGCTCTACCATTTTGTATTGGACGCGCAATTAAAAGGTTGTGCATTCGGACCTTTCACTGCGGTGGTGTAGTGGCCGTACTCTGCTGCTGACCTGAAGGAAGGTCGCAGGTTCGATGCCAGCCGCGGCAGTCACATTTCAATCGAGGCGATATGTTAGATGCCCATGTACTGTGTGATGTCAGTGCACGTTAAAGAACCTCACCTGCTCGAAATTCCTGGAGACTTAGAAGTGTGGTCAGTTTGGGCTAGTTGGTATGACATGACAGTAGATAAAGCGTCAGAGCAGAACGATGACAAAGGCACAAGGAGGAGACGAGCAAAGACACCGGAGACCTTCACTACGGCATGTCCCATAATCATATAGTGGTTTTGGCACGTAAGATCCCAGATATTATTAATAATATGTATTCTGATTTTACTGATGTAAATGGTGCTTTTTCATCTAATTTATTTCAATTTAGGTCACAATAATTGCACTACAGTTAATTAGACACAATCAGTGAGTGCTCAATGCTTTCCCATTGGCTTAATCAGTTGTGTCTAAAAGTGAAATGAGCTTTGCAAGTGATTCCACTTGTTTCATACTATGCATAATGATTGTTATAAGAAAAATATCTTGCATTCCTGTCGATGTAAACGAGCTGATGCATTATACGTAGATCTATCACATCCCAGCACAATAAATTGTCAAGAGGCCTCCTGTGTTTGGAGCATACATAGTTTTCGAGCAGCAAGAAATAATAGTGCAAACAAAAATTATGAACAAGTGCAATATGAAGGATTGTTCAGTGTGGGACGGTACCACGTGGCCAGGGATTTTTAATGAAATGTTTTTCGTTTCAGTTTCATTGGTGGAAGAAAGTTGTTTCATTTTGGAAGAGAAAAAAAATTTTCCATTACGTTTTTTATTTGTATGTGAAAATTTGAAATGAAAGTAACAATAAAAACTTATTTAATTTTCCCATAATTTAATTATGAACTCTCTGAGCAGGCTGCATGCTTTGCATAATCAGAGTGATCATGATCTCAGAAGCAGCACTTCATCGACCATAAAATCTAATATGCAAGACTGCTATTCTGATAAAACAAACTTCAGCGCTTACAATGCCATCTGCTGGTCCGCCTGACTGGCACACCAAAGTCCACTCGAGTTAATATGAAGAGCTCCAGTTGCAAATTTTCGTTTTTCGCGAAATTTCAACACATCTTAATTTCGAATCCCTGCCTGAGACAAGGGCTAATACTGTCTCCTGAGGTGCGCATCAATGGTCACATTGGTAGTTTTAAATTTCGAGATTGTCCCTTGAACTGAAAGTCGATGAAAAATGCTTTAGTTTCGCTCCGGAACGAAATAAAATATAACATTTCAGTTACACTCTCATTACAGTATGGATACAGCCTTTTTGATTGTTTGTTTTCATTCTATTCTGACGCACTGCCTGCGGCATTAATTTCAGGCTCTTGTCGGGGACAAGACATTGGCCTTCTGGTTGATGGACAAGGAGATGTACACCAATATGTCTGTGCTGACGGAGCTCACTCCCATCATTGACCGCGGCCTCGCCCTGCACAAGATTATCCGCATGATAACTCACGGCCTCGGCGGGGAAGCGTGGCTCAACTTCATTGGTAAAACACTGGTCCTCACTGTTATTATGCCACTTGTCCTGTACTTTTTGTTTAATCATCAAAGGGCTCCTCTTCGAGCCCTTTGGACAATTTTGGTGACACGCAGCAATCTGTGAGGTGCTGTCTAGAGAAGATACACGAATACTAGTGTATCAAGATATCATTGTCTGTCGGTGAAATCTATATGCAATAGCATATAAACTATTACAGCAGGTTTTTGTTCAATGGAAGCTGAAGGGACATGCAGAATATGTTGTAATTAACAGAGGCTCCATTTACTGAGGGGTGAAGTGGGGTTCAATATGCAAGTACGAAATCAATCCTATCAGAGGCAGCTGTTTGTTAGCAGCAGTTCAGAAGAAATCCCTATGTCTGAGAGTGCAATGTAATGGCAAACCAAAAATTGAAAACACATGTTGTGTCCCGAAACCTGCAGCTACATTTTGTATATCTATGAACAAACCCTGAATGTCACATCAAATACAGAATATGTACATAATAAACTAAATTACGGTGCAGAGATCAGAATACATACATACTTTCTTAAGTTAATTTTAAAGTACTTGCATTTGTATTTATAAAAAGGGGCTCCAGATAAAGGCTCCAACTGAAATTTGTTTATGTTGTGACAACACCAGCTCTTTTGCAGAATGTGTACTTGTTTGTTTTTGGTTTTTACTTTGCTCTATACTGTCTTCATTTCTTCCTGCAGTAAATTGTCCCAACTGGACCAGATTTTGTTGAACTCTCAACAGCCAACAATGCCCGCAGCAAAAAAAAAAAAAAAATTATCAGGAATGCATTTAGCCGCAACCCCACCTTCCTGTTTTCGACTGTTAGGAAAGAGTCTTTATCTTACAGTTAACAGCCATACAAACTAAACATTTTCAGGGAATGAGTTTGGTCATCCCGAGTGGCTGGACTTCCCACGTGTTGGCAACAACGAGAGCTACCACCATGCCCGGAGACAGTGGCACCTCGTAGATGACGACCTGTTGCGCTACAGGTTCCTCAACAACTTCGACCGTGCCCTCAACGAGACCGAGGAGAAGTACCACTGGCTTCCTGCACCACCAGTGAGTGGGTGCTTCAGCTTCAACACCGCGCAGACTTCACATTTGCGAACATCTACACTAAAATACCATATTGATTTGCTTAAAAGCCGCACTTTTCTTTCAAGAGTCTGAGTGGGTGCAGCAGTTGCGTGGGGTCTAAAGTGCTGCCTCTTTTTTTTTTTGATAGAGTGTGTAATCTCCTGTCGTCCTTTATTCCTGCACACACCACAATAAATAGTCCCTTAGCAAAAACATTATCCATTAATTTCAGCTCATTGCTCTCTTCTCCATTCACAACTGCCACTACTGTTTACACTTGGTTTTGCAAACACATTTATGGACCATGCCCCTTGGGTGCCATTATGTTTCTGTTGGTACTTCAGGGCTGTTGGTAATATTCCTGTTGGTCCAGAAGTGTTTGGGATGACACAGCACGCCATGTTAGGCTGAACATTTGCACGCCCATACTTCAGAGCCATGGTAATGCCCCCTGTTCAGCAGGCTTCTTTTATGTCCATATTTTGGGCTGCCATGTTGGGGAAGCACTCTTTGCACTGGTGTATACAGTAGTAGTATGTACGTAGCCATTAGTTTCTGCAACTCTGCCCCCCACAGGCCACCACGACTGTTAGCACTTTGTCTATGCTAAAGAGCCCATATGTGATAAAACATATCACATACAGTGTGAATTGAGTCATATGTGATGTCCTGTTTATTGCAGTAAAGTGCATTTTTGGTTATATCACTACCGCCCACACTCACCAGTGAGTCAAGGGTATGCATAGGAACTGCCTAATTGCTTGTATTGTTCTATGTCATTCTATTTGTAGGCTCCACTTGTAATGTGTGCAGTCAAAAAAAAACTACGTATTCAATATCCCGTTTGTCTCTTGAACTGTTCAGTCGGTACACAATTCGACAATAAACGTTGTTGCTTTGACACGTCTGCTGATCTCCCTACTCGTATAGTGCACATAAAACAAATGCTTCCAATAGGCCTCCTCACTAATTTAAGCAAAGCTTGTTGTGCTCAAGAAGAGAGAGAAGTAGATTCGTATATTATTTTTAATACGTTGTACTTCAAATTAAAACCATATCATAACTCATAGTGCTTTTTTTAGTCCCAGCTGTAAAAATGTTACACTTCTAAGAATATGCATGTTTGAAATAGGACGCTGTTCGTATTTACTTTTATATGAAGGTGTGTCACTTTTACAAGGCATTGTTCATAGCAGCCATCTATACTTCCTGTTTTGTCAGCATTCGAGAGTTGCCGATTTGCTGTTTTGTTATAGGGCTATGTAAGCTGGAAACACGAAGATGACAAGGTGATTGCTTTCGAGAGGGCTGGCGTTCTCTTCGTGCTCAACTTTCATCCTTTCAAGAGTTTCTCGGACTATGAAGTTGGCATTGAGACACCTGGAAAGTATCCTTTTGCTTTGCTGACGACTGACTGCTGAGATAAAAGAGCACGTATATTTGGTCAAGTGCTCTCAGAAACGATGAACGTTAAATGTCTTGGACTTTTTGGTAAATATTTGAAATCAATGAACCTTTGTTTAAAGGAACCAACCACCAATATTTATGGCGTCTGTTTTCTCGAGCGCAACATGAAGCTTACGGTTGGTGTCTAATCATGGAACACTTATGCGGAAAACCAATAAAGCATTTATCTTCGAAATTTTTAGATCTGCAGCAGCTATGAAGTCGTTTACATATGATGCATTCAACAAACAGTGGGCGATGAGCATGAGAGCGGTTCATATTTGTGTGCGGTGGTTTGCTACGCATGTGTGCAAACCACCATATGAACACGTATGCTACGCATACGTGTTCCTCGGCTCAGCATGTCCGAGACCTGGCAAGGTCTCGGACATGCGGAACTGCCTTTCGAGACCGCCAGGTCTCGGAAGGCAGTTCCGAGACCTGGCGTGGCTCTGTGGTGGAATACTTCATCGGCACGCAGAATGCTAGGGTTCGATTCATGCTGGGACAACGTCATTCATTTTTTGCATTCGTCCAGCCAACGCTCCTGATGTCCGCTTTTTCTTTACGATCAAGCATTGAAATTGCCGTGTGTGTTCTCGTCGTTCCTCGGTAGACATAAACTGTCGAACACCTGTTGCACATACCCGCCCCCTGGTGTGTGCCACTGTTTTTTGGAAAGTGTTTGACGACATACGCGACAAGATTGTGACATTATTCATGTCACGACCAGTGAGTCATATTTGTCAAATCATTTTACCCTCCCATAATATTTTGGTTTGCCCCAAGTCAAGGGAGTGATCATGGAAGCACCGGGACGTAAGTGGCTAGACAGACAGACGCACCCTCAAATTGCTTACAGTATGCAAATAAATGCTTCGCATTTAAAAAATCTGCACTGCGGAAAAGCTCCGCTTCAAGGTTAAATGCACTTATTACCCTCATATCGATTCATTATTTTTTGAGTTTGAAAGCTTATATTAGCGTAGTAAATTTTAAAATGTTATCACTTGCATTTTAAAGGTTATCTTTTGCATTCTACTGAAAGTAAAATCCTCTTACTTTTCAATGTTGTTTCCACTTCCTTTAAACCTAAAAAAAATGTCGTTTCCACAGGCCTTATTTTAATAAAAAAAAATATTGTGCAAGTTATTTGGAACGTGATATCGTGCCAATTTTCTTTATAATATGTGATGTGTACTCTTTGAATTCAATATAAAATTATTTGACCAAAATCGCCATTCCCTTTGAACCTAAAATTTGCTATTCGCGCTAGCCTACTCAGCATGCAACTCTGTTTACTTCATAAGCAGCACATAATAGCGGGAATACATTATAATATACAGCTCTAGTATTGTGCTGTAGTTATGGTGCACAAGAAATCAGCAGACTATGTGCAACAAACTGAACGATTTCCTAATCAATCTTGAAGGCTTTTCTACTAGGCTGTGCTATGTAGTTTTTTTTTTTTGTTTTTTTTGCGGCAGTAAACGCGATTTAAAAATATGAATCCCACTCAGATCGCAAAACGCATGCTTGGATCTGTCACGACCTTTTCATTTTCATCAGGATGTAAGCGCACGTTACGGTCAGTTATCAGTCCCCTGAGCACTGTGAAACAACATTATTTGTGCCACGCCATTCCTCGAATGATGTGTAAGAGCGTTCCATGATGGGCAAGAGAATGGGCACTTGCATGTTTATGCCGACAATAAATCGTCACAGCTTGCGAGGGGACGTCACCGAAAAGGCAGAGTCAACTATCATACAGGCAAGGGAAGACGCCTTCCAGCTTCTCTCTGGTGCTCTTCCTTAATGATGTGACCTCAGGTACAAGGTTGTTTTGGACTCTGATGCCGAGGAGTTCGGAGGTCACAAGCGCATTGATCGAGGAGTGGACGTCTTCACATTTGACAAGCCATATGCCGGACGAAGGAACTCCATCAAAGTATGTCATTGGTAGTTTGTGTGGAAGCTTGCATGTACACAGCGACCCGTGGGGTAATTAGGCAAGTAACATTGGCCAAAATACGGAAAAAACAAAAACACACACATTTGGGTAGGCCAGCCATTATAAAAATAACTACGCTCAAATCTCGATATAACAAAGCCGCATATAATGAATACTAACTGATTATAACGAAGTAACTGAAAAATAGCTCTGTCATACAGTGCTGCAAATATGTTTATAGCAAATTTTTGGATATAACAAATTTGCTTTTATGGCAAGTGTGACTTCAATGTAATGAGGTTTGAATGTATACCACAAGGCCACGATTTCAGCAGCAAGGATCACCAAATATTTCAAGACGCTTGAATGACTGAACGGGTGTTGTCCCATTCAGTATTTACCAAGACCCTACCATGCGCACTATGTAGCACGTGCAGGTGACCCCAAGTTTGCTGGGGTTTGAAGTTTACACTTTTAAGAAATGGCACATGTAGTAGCTGTTTTATACGTTGCATAGCTACTCTACAAATTTTAAATGGGTGGCTATGTGCACAAGCTTCATAAAATGTTTGCGCGAATTCCGTGTCCTGTAAACTTTTATTCTGTACTGCACACTTCCAAGTGCCATGTCAAAAGAAAGTGAGTGTGGCGTCCCATATGCCTCCACCAGTGGACCAGACATAACCTTGTACCACTACTCAAACCTCATTATAAAAAAGTTGCATCTTACTGACAAGAATTTGTTATATCCGAAAATTCGAAACACAGCAGCTATTGCAAGACTATTCCTTATTTACTTCGTTATAACCAATGTTTTGGTATATCAAGCTTTGAGTGTATTACTTCTTTTTTATCCTAAAAAATTGTTCACATCAATCGTGTGCTGTAGACATCCTGTACTTTAGTTTTCACTCACAGAAGAAAACAGTGCTATGGAAAGAAACTGAAATCAAATGTAAGAAGCAAAATAAGGTGCTAGAGTTATGACAGCATTCAATGAAAGTGTAATATTTAAGGTGTTCTCTCTTATCATATCAACCGAGGGTTTACTGTCCAAAAGAGTTCGAGCCTTGCGAACATACTACCGAAGAAACGTTTGGATGCACTGACCAACACCATGTTGCATGAGGTTTCTGTCAACCCCTTTAACATGCGGATAATCTGAAGAACATCTAACGTAATGAGTAGCATCTCCCATTGTAGGTAGTTGAGTGCATTGAAGGCTGACCTTATATATAGATTGTATAGCAGCTATTGATACAGTGGTATGAATTCTAATTGTTACTGAATGATAAATGTCATGTGCTACTCTAAACTACCACCCAATTTGTTGCTGTTTATGTGACCTGAACCATGCAACTTCTCTTTGCAGACATACATTCCCAGCAGAGTGGGAATCATCTTTGCACGGGTAGACTGATTGATGCTCACTGGATGCGTGTGGCAAATAGTGCGACATATTGCAACTAGGCTTGCGGACTCATCTGCGCTGCGATCACAATAAATAGTACCTGTGAATAGTGACTTTGTTAATTACTGCTTGTGGCCAAACAGAGAACTGAATCAGTTTAGGCTCAAAAGCCTGGCAATGCTTTTAGTTCATGTTGACAAGCACTTGTAAGTTGGTCGCGAGTTATTCTGAATAAAATAGTCTTTCTATCTAATGCGATGTTTTAGCACAAACTTGAAAGGGGTCGTGAAACGATAATGAAGCTGCCCAATTACAATTTTTCCTATTTCAATAAGGACTAGACATGCCGATTTCGAAATATTTCAGCGCAACATTCTATCTATAACGATTCCCATTTGAAATCTGTTTTCTCAAGCTCCTCAACTACCATGCAGCCCTACCGGCTACAATAAGCTCTAACATGCAATGTCAGTTTTATCGACAGACTTTTTATGAAGTAATGTGGGCTGTTCTACAGTTGAGGGGAACATGAGCGGCAAATCGAGATTGTACTTTCATTGCTATTAAAAGAACCCAAATGATAAAACAAATTGAGGAAAAGTATCAATTCGATGGCCAAGATTCCAAATACATGAAGTTGAATATTTTCAGAAAACGTTTCAAGATTACTCTAAGAGAATATTTATTGAGATGAGACACACCGAGTTTGTGTACATTTGTGTCAATATTTGAAATATGCGATCATTTTTTGGAGGGGAGCCATAGTTTGCCTAAAGTGAGAGAATTGCAAAGTAATTGAGCACATGAGAATGACCAATGGATAGTCCAAGCCCATTTGAACATTTGCCAGTCCACGTCAAGCTGGGATTTCAGTCCAGTTGTTCAACATACTATCCTTGCTGCTTTTCTCTCCCTCAGCATACAACTTTTGTTCAAATAGGGTTAACACACTCAATTTAGGCTAACCATAGCTCCCCAAACGTCACCCGAAATTTGGAAACTACATATTGTAGTAAAAAGAAATTACATTGTTGAAACAGGCACATCCGCTTGTATATGTTACTTCTTGCCCTGCATGTCTGATAGGTTTGGGTGTACTGCAATGTATGAAAATGAAAACCAGGACATTGTGCAGCAGCTGGCAGTATGAAATAAACTTTTATGAATGAAAAGTAAATACAGTTACATTAAAACGACACACTCTCACGCCTGAAAGCCACACAGTCCATGGCAGGCACAGTGATGATGTTGGGTAAACTCATTCGGCACAGCAGAGACACAATCATACAACTTCCATGCTTTGGTTACTGTCGTTGAGCACAGGGGCCTTGAGAAGAGGGCCTATGCTATCTTCAGACGCTGTGGTTGGCATCTGGTTGAAGTCCACATTGGAAGAGCAGGGAGGGATGTTCTCAACGCCAGGGTTGTCGTCCCAGTCGATCTTGAACCGGGTCACACGTGGGTTGGTCGCCAAAATGTTCCGCTGCAGCTGCAGCACAAAAACAGCAGTGCAACACTGTACCACGCTCGCAGCGCATGTGCTTCTGAATACTAACAAAAGAATGAGTTTCTTTTTCGAGGAAGTGTTAGACATGAACTGAATAAACAAGTAGGCCAGGGAAAGCACACAAGATGTTGCATTCAACTGTAGTAAACTAGCTGAGAATTATGTTGAAATGAACTGAAGAGGATGAAAAGTTACCCATTCTGTCGCTAGGATCTGCACCCACAAACTTTGAATTGCCATGTCGAATACTCTACCAACTGAGGTACGCGAGAAGCCACGTCTCTGTCCACTTCGTTGAGCATTTCTGTGCATGTAATCTCTGCGAGTTTTCCCTAGCCCGATTGTTCCATTGATATGGTCCTGAATATTGATGGTGCGTCAAAAGGAATCGCTGGAATCTTGCCAAAAATAACACCACATACTTTTAACGAAGAACTGCCACAGCAGTTCTTTGAAGAAACGAAGATTTGTGATGAATACCGAGTAGACAAAAGTTAACAGTGAGCGTGGCATCTACGTGTTTGTTCTGCCCACAGGAGAACTTTTGCTCTCACCCATGTAAGACTGTATGCTATTGCTTTTTTAACATTTTTTTTTATTTGTACCAATCAAGTGGAAAGGGGTAGCCGTCGCCAAGTAACGGTGACAAAAACTCCTTCGTTTTTCTATTTCAATAAAAAAAAATGAAGGAAAAAAGAGTAAACTTAAAGGCCCGTTTTTCTTTGTTAGAAAACAATATTGATGAGAACTGACTTAATTGTGCCAAGTATAGGGGATATTACTAGAAGTAATGGCTGCCATCGTAGTCTTCTTCAGTTCCACTAAAGCGATAGCAAGCACTGCAACAAGTCCCAAATGTGTAGCATCGTGCACATAGAGCATTTTCAGAAAGACGAGCTTCTCTGTGGACATAACACAAAAGCACGAGCGACACAAGCACACCGGCTAGCTGTGCAGCTTACCTTGTCGAACTGAGGGGTTGACGGTGGGTTCTCCTTGAGCTCGGGATCTGTGTACTCATTGTTGACGTAGTAGCCAACGCGGATGAACTCCCTGTTTCGATAAGAGCATGTGAGCAGCACGACCGTGACGCCAACAGCATCTTGCACCGGGATCTTGTTCGGATCTGGTGGATCGGCCTGCAAGGTATGGTGCCATCAATTATGCCATGAAATAACCTAATGTGACAGTGCCTAGCTAAAAGTTTCAGGGACGGCTCTATGGGCGTAATCCCCCCAGGGCTGTGTTTATTAGGCGTGGCCCCTCAAAAATGCACGGCTGAGGCTGTAACATTAGTGACAGCATTTCTCTGTGGCTAGGCAAGAAAAAAAGGGGGGGGGGGGAGGGGGCAACCAGTGTTAGTGCCATAGCATTTACTTGTCAACAGCTACAAGTGTATTTTTCAGAAGAGTTAACTGCCTTTCAAGGTAACTTTGTGTTATATAGATCGCCATAGAGAAACGGTAGGTTAACGGTAGACTAACTCTAGCGCATTCTCTTGGGAGGCGTAAAACACTTCAGAGCCAATCGAACGCGGCTACTAACATACCAACAGCAAGAAGAAAGAAAACTGCTCGGACGAGCACAAACTTGCCTGAAACACGAACATATGCCTGCCCTCTGGTACGGGCCCCACATAGACAGTGTCGAGTATCTGGTCGTAATCCTCGCTCTCAGCTGAGCCCACGTAGATGATTCTCCACTCCAGATCTGAAAGTAGGCGTTGCGACAAATATGTGAGACCACGCGCAAAAATAGGTACGCCATCAAAAGCTCGCGAAAGTTGTTCAACACACGAGACAGTACGCGCAGCCTGGATGAAACCTAAAGCGTCGGAAGCAAGTCTACAGACAGTGAATATTGCAAGCGAAACCAATCTCGGTGATGGTGCAGAATGTAGCTGGCATCCTCATGCTCACCTTCTTTGAGGTCTTCTATGCACTCGAATGTTATTTCAAACTGGAAAGGGTTGAAGAACAGGGACGGGTTGTCTAGCACCACAACGTTGCAAACGTGGACTTTTGCCATGGTGAAAGTACCTGCTCGGGCGAAACGGAAGAGCACACTTGAAGGAACGCAGCGAGAATATCGGTTTCAGACAGTTTACAAACTGCTGAGCAACCGTTCGTGCTGTTCAACGAGCAGGGGCTCTAGATTTCACTGCCAACAGCGCATTCGAACGCACTATCTCGGGTCTTGAGTCTCCTGGGGTATCTACGCAACTCCCCCTCTTGTGCGTTGGTACATGCCTACTACAAGGGTTGTACAGTGCGAAATGATGCTACTAATTCTTACGCGTCCGTAAATCAAGGCCTTTTTCGCAAGCTGTGTACGCCGCGTAGCACAACAACCCCTTGAAGACGATGCCCGAACATTTGGCGGGAACTAGACAGCACCACAGCACAAGGAAATTGCCAGTGCAGTTTCTTCAAGCATAAATATTTACACTTTGATAATAAACATTGTTTCATTTTATTATTTTTCTTTACAGTTATATTTTATTGTTTATTATTTGTAAGTTTCTTTTATTAGGCGGACGTGTGCGGGGCAGTTGTGAGCGGCTGGTGACTGTTCGCAAAAGCTGCAGGGGGGTGGGTGTGAAGTTATGCGAAGTGCGAAAAAACGGTCTGTTATGAGCTAACCGAACCGTCGCAGTCGACAAGTCACAGCTGGTAATGGGCGAAACGTCATCCGAATGACATTGCTACTACCAAAAATCGACTGACACGCCTGGGAACCCTCCTCGCTAGCTGATTTGCCTCGTAACATGGACGGCAAGCAAGTGTGGCAGGTAAAGTACGCTTCTCTGTTTGTCAGTAACTTTGAGTGTCCTAGTAGACATTCAAGCGTTTATCTGCTGCGAACATCTTATACACGTATCATCCGCTGAACAGCGGCTACGGGCGTTACAACTGGCCGGTCCTACTTCCCGAGGCCGAAAGGGAGTGTCTATAAACAGTGACGTCCGAACGTCAATGCCCAAGGCGTCCTGTAATTGAGCGCACAAGCGCGGTGACGTAATGCATTGAGAGCCGCGTTTGTTGCGGGTTCAGCGACTTTGAATACATCTTGTAGTCATCGGGATGTTTAAGCTCAGTGGAATACTGTACTCGATGCTACAGTTGTCGTAGCCCCGAGTAAAAAGAAACCGTCGAGGCACCTTCTGCAAAAGTTTCGCGTCAAAGTTTCATTTGCTGACGCTGCCGACACGCGTATCACGTGTTTGATTACACGAGCGAGCAGTACATGCTGCCGCTGATTGGAAAGCAGTCACAGTGAAATCAGTGCTTACTGAAACCAATGCTACTGACAATAATTGTCCACCTGTTGCTTTAGTTTCTCCGTGATTTAGTTTATCCGCTCTTCTAGTTTCTCCGATTAATGAAGCTGAGCTTGCCGCCATAGCACAGTTCACGCATGTACTTGCTATACCCGACATCTTAATCCTATATTTTTCTTCACAGGCCAAAGCGCTGTATGACTTTGAAGCGCAGGCACCTGGTGAAATTAGTATTTGGGCAGATGAAACAGTCACCGTCATTAACAAGGTGAGTCGGGCTTTGCTGTCAGTATGTTGATGCTAGCATTTGTTTGGGACTGGTACTGTTCTTCTCTTTGTGTTGTGAAGACGGTATGGTTTAGCATCACATTTGCACAAAAGCCGTGCCGACTATGTCAGTGTAATGTGGGCGATAGCATGGTTACTAAGCAGTGTGAATGCATTGCTGTAATATAGTAAGCTTTCAGAAATAGTATGATGGAGCAGTGATTCTCTATAGTTGTATTATTGGATGGTAATCGTAACATTTCAATTTTGTTGGTGGCTTTCACATGACGTTACTAAGGTAGCTTCTAAACATACTGGAACTACGATCTGGTAGCTATCATAGTCAACACAGCTTATTTACTGCTGTGGGAAGTTTGTTTCAGTGATAGGATAAAGACGGAACATATGCACAATGCACTTACAACATTCACGTAACAGGGAAGAAAACACCGCATAATTCTAACAGGACACAAGATGAAGAAGGGACGATGAGAGCCCTGTGCCTTTTTTTGTTTGTTTTGTGTCCTGTCACCCTTTTGCCTTGTTTTTTAGTTGTTAAAAGCATGAACCAACTAGACCAAGCCTCAGCCCTAATAAACATTCACGTGTCGTTGCAAACACGGCTTCCTGCGATTCTGGTACTACAACATGGCAGCGTCAATGTGATCAAGGCTAGCCATCTGTGCTTTATCTTACGGTAGTACACCTACACACTTCTAAATGCTTTAGAGAGTACTTCATTATTGAGCAAGAAATGTGCCCTCTCGCTCAACAGGAACTCGCAACTGTAGTTCTTCAGTGTCTTACATAGTGCGAACACCAACGCTTTCAAATCCCCAGATCAGAAATTCACAAAAAGTGTAATGTACAGTTCCCATAATGTGACAGTCAAAAGTGAAGATGCTGAAGTAGAAGTAGAAACAAGTTATAAACATGACATAAATCGAGAGTTTAAAAAGCTCGCCTTTGTAAGAAATCAACAATTACCCAGAAGATGCCTGAAATAATTAAAAGTGGCTGCCAGTGTGTGCCTTGTGAAGTTGTTGGCATGCCTTGCCATGCAAAAAGCTGGTTTCTGCACTGACCCATCCTGATCTTTGCCTTTCCATTCAGGCTAGTTCGGATGCTCTCCCCTTGTGTACAGTGTCTAATCTTCACTTGTTTGCCCTGTTTTTACCGCTCACTTCTGCAAACAGACAAGTACTGTTGACTGGGCGAGTTGTTGCATGATAAAATGATATTGCTTTAGCGCACAGCTCAGTTTGAGCGGGAAGAAAAGATGCTATGCATTAAAGAAAGGTAAAAAAAACAGATGCGCTCACTCTGTCGTCTGTTTTTTTTCCCCTTTTCTACTGCATAGCATCTTTTCGTCACACTCAAACTGAGCTGCGCTAAGGCAATATTATTCTGTAAACCTCTCTTGGCTTTTTGCCCTATGTTGGCAAGCCAAGTGGACTGCTTTTTACTATTTGTTCTCAAAGATTAAGAGCAGCAGTTAGGCCGCAAACTCTTTTCTTTGTTTTTCAGAATGTTGGTGAAGGCTGGTGCGAGGGTGTTAACAGCAGAGGCGAAACTGGGTTGTTTCCCGAGGACTACGTGGAGGCAAGTGTAACCTTGAAATAAATGTGACAAGGTAGTTCGTCACCTTGGTAGTGGAAGTTTCCGCTATATTTCGGGTTACCCTAAGCAAATAGCTTCCCCCCAATTGCAGTGTCCCTTAATACTGAACATATTTCAATTCTTAATTGAATGATCTTTCCTTTGAGACACTTGACCTTGCCGTACTTTGTCTTGATCGCTAGTTTAGTTGGGTTGTGTGTGTGCACTGATATTTGCATTGTTATTCTTTTTCTTATTTTATGCTGTTTACATGCAGTATCAATACCGATTTAAGCATTTTTATGCCTGTTCTAGACATGTTGACCAATCGGATGTACCTTAGTAGAGGAAATGTTCTCTCACAGTGACTGCAGTGCACAGCCATGCAATTGCTGTGCTGATTTAGCTGGGGCAAGTGGGCAGTGGCATCCTGCCAGTAGGCCGGAACGTGAGCGCTACTTACATGGCACATTTAAGGTCATGCATCTGAGTGTACACTAGTATCAACATGATAGTTTAACAGAATCGTGTAATCAGATATGCTGATTTCACCGACAAGAATGCCAAACTGCACCATGTTGCCCTGAATTACCTGGATCATCATCCTCATCCATGAAGGCTCATTCATACCAGCCCAGCAACTAGTACTGGTTGCATGACTCTTTATGACTGGAGACTGAAAGGCATGTAAACGCGACTGATGTTCGTACCTGCAAGTGCTCTATACTTGCTGCGACGCTGAAGACACATTCGTTGCTATGTGAAATAAGCTAGTGTCCTGTTCGTGTGCATCTGGTTGGCCTAGGCATTTCGTACTGCAGTTGCACAACTGAAAAATTAAGCTGCAAACAACTGAGCCAAAGCAGTGGCTTTGCGACCGAAGCGGTAATTTGTGACTAACTTGGTCGCTCGACCAGTTCTAGTTGCAGATGGGAACGAGGCTTGACACTTGTTTGCACTACCTGAGGCACTTGAGTACACTGCTGCAGTTCAGACGGTTCTGAAACCTGCCACGAACCAAGCGATGCCGTGTCTTGTTTGGAAACAAGATAGTGACATATCTAGCCAATATTTCATTGTTCTCCTGTGCTGGTTCCTAATAATTTTACTGCAGGAACAAATGGCTGAGTGCAAATACAGTCACAAATTACCGAAGCGGTAATTTGTGACTAACTTGGTCGCTCGACCAGTTCTAGTTGCAGATGGGAACGAGGCTTGACACTTATTTGCACTACCTGAGGCACTTGAGTACACTGCTGCAGTTCAGACGGTTCTGAAACCTGCCACAAACCAAGCGATGCCGTGTCTTGTTTGGAAACAGGATAGTGACATATCTGGCCAATATTTCATTGTTCTCCTGTGCTGGTTCCTAATAATTTTACTGCAGGAACAAATGGCTGAGTGCAAATACAATCAAAAGGCATGTAGACGTAGAATCTGTAGTTCTGTATGTCTCATGGCTGTGTACCATTTCTTCAGTTGCTACTACCAAAGTAATCTTGGTTGATTATTGCATCTCGGTGGACCTCAGATCCTCCCAGCCGGCCCTCCTCCTCCATCAGTGCCACCACCACCTCTGCCGCCCAAGTACGAGACAGGCCAGTCAGCTGTGTCCACCACTGCGACCACGACGCCATCGTCTGTGCAGTATGATAATGGCGATGACTGGGATGATGACTGGGACGACGATGACTCAAATCAGGGAGCACAGGTATTGTATTCTTATCGATCATCAAGCAGGGACCTTTGTTTATGACTATAGTAACTTAGCGGAATAGTAGTTTCCACGGGCGCTTTGTTCTTTGCCCCGTTGGTAATCCACATGCAGTGACTTCGAGTGTTTTTACTGATGTAAAATTTTTAATTGTTTTGAAGGCTGACAACATCACAACTAGCCGCTCTGACATTTGAAGTCACCAGAAATGACACTGTAGCATGACATGTCAGTGTTGTCAGTTGGTGAGCCATGGGAGTATAGATATTACTGTAAAAATACCGTAATTACTCGCGTATTGAGCGCACTTTTTTTCTAGAAAAATTGGAGCAAAGTTGGGGGGTGCGTTTTTTACACGGGGAAAATTCTATAAAAACTTTTTTTGGGATGAGCGAGAAATGCGGTAATGCAAAAAAAGTTCTGTTCCTTAGCCTTTCAGAGTTGACATACGCGTACACTGCTTTGAAACAGCTTCTTTGTTGCACTTACCTCATCTTCGATGGTTGATGACGCTATCTTCTGCAAGGTGCCGCATGCCATATTCTTTCTGTGCTCGACGCATCTCCAGTCAGTTTTATTATCTATGCGCCCACAGCACGGTTTATGAAAGGTGCGAGAGACCAAGCCGATGTGGCCAATGGGGTTTGGCGTATCAAATAATGGAAAAGATCCAATGGACAGGTAGATGCCACGTGTCAGTACTGTAGCAGATGTATGTAGGCGGTTCGTTTAATATTTAATACATGGGAGGGGAAAAAAAACAAATTTTCACCACTGAAGTTGGGGTGCGTTTATTATCAGAGCGCATTCATCATGCGATTAAATATGGTAAAATATTTTATGAACTGAGCTTTTGTATACTGAGCTTCAACTTTGAGCAGGGCCGTCTCCGTATACAGGAGATTTGTATGGAAGAGTAAACTGTCCTTCGAAAATTCGTGTCGTACCCCTTCGAGCTCGAGGACATAGCTTGAATTCGTGAAGGAGGAACAAAATGTGAAATGACCCATGGCATATAAAGTCCCTGAGTGTTAGTATTTATGCATTGGGTGCTATTTTACTGCTGTGTTTCAGGACATGCATCAGCCTCCGCAGCTGTCTGGGCCGTGCAATTATGGCTTGTTCCCACCCAACCGCTCGTCTATACAAGAGGCTGGCAGCAAAGGAGACGCCACATCCAAGGGTGGAACAGTAAAACGTTTTAATCGGTCAGTGTGCCTTTTTAGATCCTGGATTGAAAATTTTTTAGAGGAATTGTGTTATAGTTTTCTCCTGTTGCTTCTGCATTTTCAGTTTGATTCCAGTGGCATAACCAGGGGGAGGGGTTAGGGCAGGCCAACTTTCTTCCCACCTCTCGAATTTTTTTCAATTTTGCATGTGTGTGTAAAAGAACTCCCATACAAACGCATGCACAAGCATACATAATGAATGGCTGAACCCCTCCTCCAAAAAAAATTCCTGGCTGCGATACTTTGACAATTATTAGTGGTACGGCCTCAATGAACACGTTTTTACATTAAATTTTTTGTCGTGGCAGTATCCAGCTGCGAATTATGTGCCCTAACATAGTGTTCCACACTCATCGCCATGGCTACTAGCGGCACTGGCTAACACTCACAGGTTTAAATACATTCAGACCCACTTATCACAGTACTAAAGTGTCGCGAAAATTTCGTTGTCAAGACCGGTAATTGCAATAAATGAGGTGCACAAAAAAATCGTCAGAATAGGGGAATGGCAGATGGTTGCCGGAAAACTAATATCGGATGAGGTGTGCCAACAGACATCACTGGTAAGGATGACAAACCTGCTGATATTCCGGACATGTTTGGAAATTTGGATGCTTTGACTAGAGCGCCACAAAGAGCCAGTGTATGACGTCTGAAGTTTTGGACACAGAAACTTTTTGCAAGTCTACATTTTGCTCAAATTGCATGCCTCGAAATATATTAACTGAAGTTACTGCAGCGCTTGGGGCATAGCGTACTTCAAGTCAACTTTCCACAGTACCACAACACCATGTGGTGAAGCATACCGAGAATCCAAAGGGGTGCAGGGGGATGTTTGGGTTGTGAACGGGGGTAAAGTAGTTCCAATTTCTCGTTATTCTATCTTCACAGATTTTGCATTCCAGTACATTTCGGCAGACTCCGGGCAGCCAGAATTCATCGTTATAGCCAATAGTGCAGCATGCGGGCATTGCTGTAGGTGAATTATTTCACTACAGAAAACATGCAAGAGTTGATAGTGAGGCAGCTTTTTATTGTTACAACAGTGTTACCCCCAGTGATACAGTGTTAAAACTGGTATTGTACATGGGTTTGATTGTAGATGTCGCATAAAGTGGATGGGGTGTGACCACCACTGTAGCTCAGTTGGTAGAGCATTGGACGCATTATTCGAAGGTCACAGGTTTGGTACTCGCTAACAACTAGTTATCTTTACGCCCACTTTGCTTTCTTCACAGTTGCATCATAATTGCATCTCCTATACTTTCCTTGGCCTTCTTGTCTATTAGTTCCACTCGATAAGCATCCACAACAAACATCAATACCAGCTGTACTCCTAAGCCGTGGAGCTAAGGTCGGATATGTAGTTTTTTTCTCAATTACTACCCTACTCTGGGAATGGTCGTTTGGCCAACAGGCTGTCAATTATGCTCACTGCCTGGCTTCTGCTCTCTATTCTGAATATTTATGCCTTGCTGTTTTGTTGTGTGGCAGATGAACCAAGGAGGTCTAGTTATCTGTCATCCTGAGTTGATATTTACGCTTATTGCAGGTTTTCAAATTTTGTTAAATCCGGTGGGGAATCGTGGCTTCTAGGACTGATCAAGCCTGTTGTGCCAAGTGACGAGCAAATCCACATTGTGGCAAGTACTTGTTGTTCTCTGAGACGGAAGTGAAAGATGGAACAGAATTTATTTTTTCATTATTTTAGGTGCCAATGCTTTTATATTGTTATGATATTTTGCTTTTGTGCAGGTCTAGTAATTTAGTTTGGTTACTTGTTTAGTACATGATGCAACATCTCTGATTGTGACGATGTCTTATGTAAACACTGGCATTGCAAACTGTGCTTTTCTATTCCTCCTTTGGTTGCCCGTTACGATAGCTCAGTGCACGTCGGTTGAATGCAAAACCATTTTGTGCATCAAGTGGAGTGTGCTAATGGAAGTAATGTATGAGGTCAAAATTAATCTTCCTCCCCACCCCACTGTGGCCTTTCCCATAACAGACATGCAAAAGGCTACAAACACCTAACCCACAATAATTTAGTCTGGCATGACATGTTAGTCTCTGGTTTCGTCTACAAATGTGATCTAACATGACAGCGTGTTTTGCGAATGAAATGTAACTTGTCAGCTGCTGTCGCACTCGTTGCACCACAACAGGCACATCATATCTTTTTTCTTGAGGGAGAGGGCTTGTGGGTAATTAAAGTTATTAAATGTTTGTATTTGTTTTCCTGCTGGATTAAAGTTATTAAATGTTTGTATTTGTTTTCCTGCTGGTACACTGGCTTGTCAGATTGTGTTATTTGTGTGTTCACTGTGATGTGTGATAAAAGGGAGAAAACTTGAGATCACAGGTGCTCTCTTCCAAAAGTTTCAATTTATGGTGATTATGCGAAGTTAAACTCCACATATCAATCATCAAGCACAAGTTTCGATTTCGGTGATATTGTTCTGACAAAAATACCTTTGTCTGCATAGATAGTGCTGACAATCAACTGTAGAAGAACATCATTAAATGAGCATGGGCGTAGCAAATACTTAGATTTAGCAAATTAAATAGGAAGTATGGTTGGGTACAGCTCATTTCAGTAACTGTAAGAAACGAAACTTTCGAACGAAGAAACCAAAAATGCTAGAATCGCCGTGATATTGGCTGTGATAAAGAAATACATGAATTGCTTGAGTTTCAACAATCAAAAGGGTATAAAAAGCAAAAGAAACGTTGAATGACCTAAATAGTCTTTTCTACCACACTTCTCTCTTCATTGTTTGAAGAATTTGTGGGAATTTCAGTAATTCACCTAGTTATGAGACTTGCAGTACATAATTCAGGCAGGAATGCCTGAGGCCCGTGTGCCTAGATTTAGGTGCACATTAAAGAACTTCAGCTGGTCGAAATCTTCGGAGCCTCTCATAATCGTATGGTGGTTTTAGAATGTTCAACCCCAACAATTGTTATATTTGTTAGAGCCGATTCTCTACTGTTCCAACCAACATCAGATACAACAAACTAATTTATGGTCCCAGTGCTCTTTTATAACCAGGTTCACCTGCACTACGCCCCGCCGCGGTGGTCTAGTGTCTAAGGTACTCGGCTGCTAACCCGGAGGTCACGGTATCGAATCCCGGCTGTGGCGGCTGCATTTCTGATGGAGGCGGAAATGTTGTAGGCCCGTGTGCTCGGATTCGGGTGCACGTTAAAGAACCCCAAGTGGTCGAAATTTTCAAAGCCCTCCACTACGGTGTCACTCATAATCAAATAGTGGTTTTGGGACGTTAAACCCCAAATATCATCATCACCTGCACCACATTCAATGCCCCATCCAGCTATCATGAAAAAGCTGTGCAAGTCAGTGTATGCTATATGTGACAGACCCCGTGGCTTTCCTCCTTCAATAGGAGTGTGACGGAACGATCAGCTGGGCCTGCACCATGGACCCGTATTACTGCGAAGTGTCCTCTCCGAAGAAAGAGAGCAAGTTCAAGGGGTTCAAGAATTACATCGCCTACCAGCTGAAGCCAACGGTGAGCCTGTTCACCCCTCGCTGCATGGGCAAACGCATCTCAGAGCAAGATATGCTGCGGAAAAGTTACGCCGAGCTTGGGGCACGGGCTGTTGTGCTTTTGACATCAAGCATTAATAAGGCAGAACTTTTTATCTTGGAAATTAGATATACAGTAGTCTCTCATTAAACGGAAGCCGAAAGGACCTGGAAAACGTTTTATTTAACAGAAGTTCCATTTACTGAGAAATGAACAGGTCTGCAGTATACAGGGATAAAACTAATCATATCAGAAGCAGTTGTTCCATTTCAGCACAAGTTGTGTTTAGCAGATATCACCTTACTGAGAGTCTACTTCAAAAACAAATGAACGTACACCTTTCTTCCGAAAGGTTTGGCAGAAAAGGCTCTATCACGTTGCACAGTCGTGTTTGGAAGAAGTCCAGTGGTTTTTTTTTTTTTTTTTTTCACTATTGAGCAGGAAAAAGAACAGATCTTATGGTTGGTTTTGCTGCCACTGAAAATGTATGAACTTTTCAGGCTCCAGGAAAACTTTCTTTACGACCGACTCTCCCAGGGTGTCCTGCTTGGCTTAAGTGCTGCGGTTTTGAACAGTGTGGCAAATTGCATGGGAACTTGTTCTAAGATTTCCACTGCCAGAAAATGAAGGGGTGAACTGTTGACTCTCACTGGCACGTTTTTAAAGCAGCGGCTACTCTGTTCATATGGAGATAGTAGCAACGAATTTCTTTGTGGAAATCGTTCATGAGCCCTTCTAGCGATCGTTGATTCAGTTGTTCTCAGACATAAAGCAAGTGTTACTTGATAAAGAAAAAAAAATTGCGTGGCTTATCATCAAAGGGACTGTAATTGAATTAACTTAACCCACTTGCAGCAAACACAATGAATAATCCTGTGGAAGTGGAAAGTTCATGTTGAATCTGGGTGATGCTTACCTGTGATGTTGCTGCAGCTGTGTTTTAATGGGCGGCCCATTTTGTCATGTGAGCAGTTCAACGACGTGCCGGTCAGCCGCCGCTACAAGCACTTTGACTGGCTTCATGAGCGGTTGCAGGAGAAGTTCTCCCTTATTCCAGTGCCCCCACTGCCGGATAAGCAGATTTCAGGTTAGCCACTCATGAGACCTGATGTATTTATTTATTTTTATAAACAATGCTGTCAACTTTCTTGCTAAGTCTGTTGCAAAGAGAAAAATGAATATGTATTAATCTGTATTATTCATGAATGCTAAATACACCAACATCAAAATAATGTAATAAGTACTAAAGGTTTGTGAATATTTGAGCCTTCGAATGTAATAGTGTTTGCTATTCTGTTTGATTCAAACTGTAATTTTGCCATTCGAGGTATTTGAACCTCCAGAGAATAGATATAATAACTGAAAACAAATATAGTGACGATCAATCAGCGTGCTTGGTCTTGCAATTTGAATTTTAGGTGTGCGAAACTGGTGTGCCAGTTTCACTAGAGCTCCGTGCTCCAATGTGCTCAATGCTCCGATGAGCCAGCGAGAGATGCTTTTCATTGCTTGCGACGAAGCACATTGTAGCTTCTTCGCTTTTTCATGTCCACTGGCACGATGTTTTTGCCGGTGAAGTTGAATTTTTCTCGTACATTGTGGCCAAGGTGCCTCACATTTCAAGATACGTCATGCTTGACTGCAAGTACAAGAAGTCGTCCCACGATAGTCTTGGTCAAAACATACGAAGTGATGATAAGGGGAACCTCTAACTGCAAGTCGGAGAGGTGCATCTGTGATGTTCGAGACTGGCGCAGCACACTAGCGTTATCTGAGGATTGAGCTTCTGCTTGCAGCTGCCAAGCTGAAGCGTAATTATTTCCTAAATGATCGTCGACCCATGAACATAGAACAAGTGTGAACGCATCGCTAAGTAGAGTGAATTACGACAGCAACGCGCGAGCAGTACACCACGCTTTCTAGAAGCAAAGATTGGACCAATGGCAAGCTGTGCTTTAGCAGCTTGATGGATGCAGCCAATTGAAAGCCTCGAAATTAACGGCAAACATTTGTTTTTTGCTCGCTTGTTTTTGAGCGAAGGGCCTGGTTAAAGCTGGAAATTTGAATACAGGGAAATGTTCTTTCTGACTAGCACACAATTGCAGTGCCTGGTTCGAGCTGTAATTGAAAAAATAGCTGTTCTTTTGCGATTTCCACGATAATTTTTGCAGCGCCCGCAAGTGCAAGAACTTTTTTACTGCACTTTTAGGTAGCTTTCTGTGAACATATTTTGGAATCTGACAGAACAGCTTCATAAACTGAAAATGTGATTTTGACGAAATATTTATTCTTTGTGCACTCACCTGGCGTCCACAAAAGCAGTGTGCAGAAAACAGGTGTTCTCTCCCACCGGCACTGACGCCAGCAGCAATGTGTAAGGTGTTGTCGACACCACTTTTGTTGTTATGCCAAATCATGTGTAAATAAACGCAATTGGGTCTTCGCATTTCGTCAATTCTCAGTGTCAGAATGATTCTCTGTTAGATTACATAATTATGATTGATTCTAGAATTTCTTTTGTTGGCCCCTGGTATTTGTTTTTTGAATATTTATGTGTGCTTATAGTCTTTCAAATAAGTTTTCATTGACTTTTTTTCTCTACATGTTTCTAGCAGATCCAGCTCAGTGAAACAGACTGTATCTGACTGAATCGCTCCTCTATCTACATGGAGAACTTATGAAGCGCATTGCATCCTTATGGATTCCTTCCACATTTTTAAGATATCCACATTTAAATCATTTAAGAGCAGTTTTCTTTTTTTTTTTTTAGTATGGTACTTTTGTACAGTAATTGCTTGATTACTTTCGAAGGATCGCACCAACTTACTTGGCAGCCCAAAACTTTTTGGAGGAAAAAATATTTGAGGACAAAAATCAATGCAAGTTTCTAACCAACATATTCAAAGGAACAATTTATATTTAAACTCATCAATTCCAGCTAGTAAAACTTTAGGTCATGGGTTCTATACCTGGCCACGGCAGCACCATTTTGATGTGGGTGTCATGAAAAAACACCCACATTTCTGGGTGCATATTAGAGGACCACAGATCGCCGAATTAATACAGAACCTTCCACTAAGGCATGCCGTGTAATCAAATTGTGGTTTTGGACGTAAAGTACCTCAGCTTAAATAAAATTTCTCAGAAATTTCTTGCAGTTGTTGAGTTTTAAAGGGACGGAAATTTCCAGTGATGTAGGTATCATGAAAGACAACTTTATTTAGTTATTTATATTATTTATTTAAATACCTTAAGAGCCCAGAGGGCATTACATAAGGGGGGATACATACAAGAGGTTACTATAGCATCAGTAAAACAACATGTCAGGGAGTAATACTAGTAATCAAACTGACCGATAGCCCAAGCAACATTACTAATAACACAATAAGCAAAAAACACAGTAAGCAGCTCACCATAACAGGAAACATATTTCAAGAAATAGCAATAAACATTCTCTAAGCATGCGTTACACATTAAATGTCAATGGTGGTTACAAATTATTGTCAACTTCTAAGTAAGTTAGTGCTGCAGACTGGAAAAGGGAGGGTTCTGTAATAGCGACGATGTTTGAGGGCAGCGCGTTCCACTCGTTAATGGATAACAGCAGAGGTGAAAATTGGTATTTCTTAGTGCGTGAATATATTGGATTGACCTTATGTGCATGACCAACGCGATCAGAAACGTAGGGAGCCGGGTGAATGAATGATCGGGAAAATGACGAGTCACTATGATATAAGCTATGGAAAAAAACATAGGCGGGACAACTTTCTGCGCGTGGCAAGCAATGGAAGGTTCAGAGAACGCTTAAGACATGTTACGCTTTGGTGGCGAGAATGACAGGAGGTGATAAACCGAGCTGCTTTATTTTGTACCGATTCTAGCATATCAGATAACATTGCCGTGTGTGGATGCCAGATGGTTGACGCATACTCTAGTGAAGGCCTGATCAGAGCTTGAAATGCGTGAAGTTTAGTTTTCAAGTTTGCGCATCTGAGGCGGCGTTTCAAAAGACCGAGTTTTTTTGATGATTTGCTGGTGATGTATTCAATGCGACTGTTCCAGGTTAGGTCGGAACTAAAGAAAATGCCGAGGTATTTTGTGGATGAAACGGTCTCAATTATGGTGCTATTGACTATGTATCTGACGGATGATGAGGGGTTAGCTACGGAAGTAAATCTAATATGTTTGGTTTTTTCAGCGTTGATGTGCATCTGCCACAAGTTGCACCACTCTGAGTTTTAACAAATCTGACTGTAGGATGCTACTGTCATTCGGTTCGGTAATCTCCTTATATATAACGCAATCATCTGCGAATAGGCGTAGAGAAGAAACAATATTAGATCCAATGTCATTGATGTAGACCAAAAATAATAATGGTCCGAGCACGGAGCCCTGGGGGACACCGGATTTTACCATGCACTTTCTGGAAATTATGTGGTTAAGTTTGACCGATTGCGACCGGTTACAGAGGAACTCTTGAATCCATTGGATTGTTTTCTGATCAAGCTGGGGGTTACGGACTTTAGTTATTAATCGGTTATGTTGGACGCGATCAAAAGCCTTTGAAAGGTCTATAAAAATAGCATCTGTAGGAGCAGAGCTGTGCATGGATTTGTGCAAGTCTGTCAACAATTTGAATAGTTGGGTGTTGCAAGAGCGTTTTTGCCGAAAGCCGTGTTGGTTTGGGATGAGGATGTTGTTTCTGTTCAAGTGAGATATAATTTTCGAGTAAATGATATGTTCTAATAGCTTGCAAGATATACAGGTTAGAGAGATTGGACAGTAGTTGTTCGGACTTGACTTTTGGCCGGATTTGTATATGGGTTTAACAAAGGCATATTTCCAGTCTTCCGGTACACAGTCCGTGTCAAGCGACTGCTGAAAGATCAGCGACAATAAATACGCTGATCTGTGGCAGGTTAATTTTAGGAGTTTGGCACTAATTCCGTCGGGCCCCGGGCTAGTCTTGCGGGGAAGGCGTTGTACAGCTTGTGCAACACTATTTTCAGTTATTGTAATTGAAGAAAAAGGGTCGTGAATGGTAGGTTTTAACAGTGCCAGTGAGTCTAGTGGAAGTTCTTCCGTGAACACAGATGCAAAAAATTCGTTGAAGCATTCAGCACTTTCCTCTGGCGACAACACCTTGCCTTGATCACTCAGTAGAGTTGGCTCAGAAGGGTAGGCTGTAGGGTTCACCACGCGCCAGAATTTCTGGGGGTCAGTTTTCAAAAGGTTAGGTAAGGTGCAGTTAAAATATTTTTCCTTGGCCTCTTTTATTGAGGCCTCAGCTTGTTTTGAAAGATTTTTATAATTAAGCCAATCTTCCGAAGTATTAGTTCGTGTAGCCCTTTTAAAAGCTCGTTTCTTCCTATTTAGGCATCTTTTTACATCGTGTGTGAACCACGGGTCATTTGTTTTGGAGCTGATTGTTAGTTTCGGGACGCAGCATTCTTCTATTTTTTTTAGTGTGTCACGGAATTGAAGCCAATTTTCGTTTGCAGCGCGATGTTCAAAACTTGACTCAAATATTGGTATAAAATCATCTAACACACGGTTCATCTTATCGATGTCAGCACGTGCGTAATTCAATAACTGCTTAGTTACCTTTGATTTGTCGGCGCGTGGTAGATATAGTGAACAATGGACAACTCTGTGGTCGCTAATTTCTTCAAGCATGTGGGTAAGAGCTTCCTGGGAATTATTAGTGAAAAGTAAATTTAAAATGTTATCGCCACGTGTAGGTTCTGTTACTAACTGGGTCATGAGGTGGACGTGTGTCAAATGTAGAAAACGCAAGCATTCGTGACGGTGGGAGCTGTTACTGCTGACAGAAGATGCCCAATCTATGCCTGGGTAGTTAGTCTAAAGTTAAAACTTAATCCATTAATGTACGAACGAACCAAGTGTCAGGAGCGTTTGCAGTGAAAGCATTAGATTTTAATCACTTGCATGGCATGCGTGAAGGAAGGAATGAATTCTTTGTGAAAAAGACACCTTTTGCTTTTGTGGCTCTTCATGCACTAATAACTCTAGTTTTGATACTCTGCAGTTAAATGGGATGGACATGTATGCAATAATGGTCATACCGCTGACATTCAGTACATTGATGCAGTTTGATGTACTTCTATCTGGTCATGCTTGCCCACAATTAGTGATTGGCATGTTACTACAGCTGAACTCCTTTATAAGAGACATGCTCTGGGGAGCAATTCTTGTCTTCTGTGTGAGATGTCTTTCATAAGCAGGGTACCACGTGTGCATCTTCTCATCAGTCACCACATTCGAACCCCTTTGTAAGAGACACTGATGCAACAGACAAATGGGTATAAGGGACACCAGTGTACCTACAGTAAAATGTAGGTTGATGAGAAAATACATACCAGGTACCCTGCTTATAAGAGGGATCTCATATAAAAGACAAGAATTGCTGCCCAGAGCATGCTTCTTATAGAGGGGTTCAACTGTATGTTTCAATGTAGGCACACTGAGGTCTCTTATACCCATTTGTGTATTTCATCAGTGTCTCTTATAAAGTTGTTGGACTGTAACCATTTGCGATGTGGGGAAAGTGTGTGATCAACCCCCTCCTCGAAAATTTACAATTTTGCATGTGTATACGTACATACGTGTGTTCTTAATGGCTGTGCAGGCCGCTACCAGGATGACTTCATTGAGCACCGGATGGCGAAGCTGCAGTTGTGGGTCAATAGAATATGGTCAGCACCCTGTCATGTCACAGAGCTCGGTCTGGATGCACTTCCTCACGTGCAACGACGAAAAGGTGGGTGCTCACTTCGCGCACTGCTTGTTATTTCTGTTTTTAAAGAATATATATACATATATTCGAAATTTATTCAACCGAAATCGCCATTTGCTTCGAACCTAAATTTCACTTTTCGCACAAGCACATTATAGGCATCTAGTAAACACTGTGCAATTGGCTGCTAATCTTATCCAGTTCTGCAACTGCAACTGCTGCTTACTGATAGTGTAGTACTGCATTCAGTGATTGAGTAACTTTCGGTGCCATCTATTGGAGAAGTTGGTAAAACATTTAAGAAAATTATAACTGCACTAAAAACGAGACACGAGAACGAAGTGGACAGGACGATCAGTTACAATTTTCCTAGGTGCCATCTATGGCATATGGCATTCGAGGCTCTTGCTGTTTCAAAGCTTATAACAATTGCTCAGAATTTGGTGATTGGGATAGATTATTACATGGAAAATGTCTGTTGAAATTACTTTTTTTTTATTGTTTTTGGATTTATCAATCTTCTTTTCAATATCTTGTGTTCCAAGTTGGGAATGCAACCCTTCCAAAGATCTCTGCAGTGGTTGGCAGGCCATTGTGCTGTATAACACAACATTAAAAGGTCAAATATGAAAGCTAATTTTGTGCTTGACATGTTTGTTGGTCATGGTGTCATCTTAAGTTTTTAATAGAAGCAATGTATGCACGGAGTGGGAAGCTGTTTGCTTTGAAAAAATGAACCCCATATCTGCATGTTACACTGCAAAATGTCGTCAAAAGACGATATTACATCTGGAGAGAGCGAACAAAACGTTTATTTGATGTTCTCTGCAAGAAAATCGGTGAATGGTATTCTGGAGGTGTTGCGTTAGAGTGCCTTGAGTGTGCAGCAGAGGCGAACGAGCTCAAGTCACGTCACACGTGAGACATGAGCGCTATCTGGCAGTTACCTTGGAAAATGAAGCACGCGCGCCCTGTGCGCCCTTCTCGGAGGTGATAAGGTGTAGAATGCAAGGCAACTGGTAGGTGTCACCACCATGTCGTCTTAGCAAAGTGTTGGAAACACTTGCCTTTTCGTGCAAGCGTTGCATGTTCAGTGCAGGGTGATGAACGCTACGGTCCTTAGAATTACTTATTTATGCCTTTTCTAGTAAAAATACACATACATAATATTGACGTGTTGTTATGGTGCCTCAGATATGCACAATAATTGCTTTTTAATTGACAATCACACAAGTATGAACGTTGAACCTTGAGCAATATTGGTAGGCGCTGCGAATGAGGTAGGCCGTTTAGGGTATTGTTTGGCCACCTTAGTGCTATTCAGGGTACCGTTAAGGGCAGACAAACAGACAAATGTACAGACAGACTGAAATTTTTTCGTTGAAGGTCCCCAAGAAAGACTATTGTCTTTAATATCTTTAAAACAGAGATGGAAGATGGGCAAGCGGAAAGCCGAAAAGGACGAACTCATGGGAACGAACCTGTTCGCAGCCTTCCAGGTGCCGCAAAGCAGCCTCGACCCACTTGCTGTGTGAGTGCTGCTTGGTGTTTCACTTTGACAAAGGCCGATGTCTGTTGTTACTAGTGGTTTGTGAGTACTCTAAATCTTAAGATATTGAATCAAATAGCATTCTAGTGTATAGTGTTAAGTGTATACTAATTGTCGAATAGTGTTCTAATGTAACTGTATACTAATGGTCGCTGTCTTGAGTGTTTGTATTTATTTAAAATTACATTGTGAACTCTGAGAGATGATTTAGACTCCAACCAAAAGTTTTGAAGAAACCAGACGTTTCGGAACCAAGTCGGTTCCGAAACGTCCGGTTTCTTCAAAACTTTTGGTTGGAGTCTGAATCATCTCCCAGTTTCATACCAAATCAGACAGACTTCTGTCGAATGTTTACTTTCATTGTGAACTCTATATTCTGTCTTTCTTTTCCTCTTAACAAGTGAAACAAAGGCGGACACCTTTGGCAAACTCACACAGAAGATGGATGACGGCGTGAACCACTTGTACAAAACCTCTCAGGACCAGATCAAAAAGTGCTCAAAACGTGAGTACCTTGCAACTCAGCTATTGTGAGTACACAACTGTTAGCTTGGTCAATTTTCACCTCTGCTCACTCTTCAATCCACGCTGCATGTTTTTCGTATATTAACCGTTCACCTATTGTTTGAAATTTAACTGTTACTGTATCTGCCAATGTCGTTTAAGAAGTAAGGTGCCGTGCTGCATATTGATCGGGTAGAAACGCGAGAACACATCACTAATTTTGAGGTGCACGTCGATAAACATCAGGTGGTCAGAACTAAACAGAATCCCGCCCCCGGGGCACTTTGGTGTGCCTCACAATCATACCAGGTCTTTTTGCACGTAAAATCCCAGTAATTGTTGTTAACCATCATTTCCCTTGTTCTTGTATTTTAGACTACAAGTACGAATGTGAGAAAATTGCCAGTTCCCTCAAGGAATTAGCAAGCGCATTCGACCTGGAGAAATCACTGCGTAAGTTCACTTGGCTTTCCTGCTGTCAAATCTGATACACTCAATCCTCGATATAACGAAATCCTGATATAATGGATTATTGGTTATAACAAAGTTTTGGTTATAACGAAAGTAAATGAAGAAAAGTCTTGAAATTGATGTAGTGTTAGGTGTTACGTTTTGCAACAGATGTGCCGAAAGGACCAGACAAGTTCCGGGTGAACGATGTTTTATTGACCCTTGCTTGTGGGTTCGTGGCTCGGGCAAGTAGAGGTGCGCTAGCAAGCGGCACTCTGCTTTTAACACCTAGTGACGCATGCGCACTTCGCAGAGTGCTCTTATCAATGGAGCGCAAGCCTACACAACATTGGGAATATGCCTTTATAAAGAATTTTAGCATATAACAAACTTATTTTCATCTAAGATGCAACACTTTGTTATAATGAGGTATGAGTGTATTACAAAGTGTGCAGCACCGAGATCCTGACCAGTTCATGTTTACTCGCACAGCTGCAGCTCAGCTGACGGAGGCCCTAAAGCACACAGAGGAAACATACAAGCATATTGGGATCATGTACGAGACCAAGGTACTGGGTTTCACATATTATGCGACAATTTTCTCTTTCTCTCTCCTTTTTTTTTTTCGTTCTTCGCTGATGGGAATGAAAGACTTGTACATGCTTTTTAGTGTCCCACGCGTATGGTATGCTGCTACACATGTTGAGCATTCTCCTTTTCTTGACATGCTCATTGACTAGTGACAGTTGCCAGGTCATGCTTTCAATTTGAGGCCTTGCAGATTTACATCTTTCAAAAGAGTGGCTACTTAGGCTGGTTGGTACTGCATTATTGAAAGACATATACTTTCTTAGTGCGCAGGGAACATTTCAGAAGGAAGACAAATAGGATAGAGCACTCTATCCTGTCTTCCTTCTGAAACGTTCTTTGCGCACAGAAAGTATATTTCTTTCAAAAGGATTTACATCTGTGGAGTTAGTAAGTACTATTACTATGGAAAACAAAACATGAACAGTGGGACATATATCCATTTTAGGCCATTTTGCTTTTTATTTTTCGTGGTTATAGCCTTAATAGTAAGGAAAAGCTACCACAGTCATCCATGATACGATCAAGAACTACTTAGCATCTCTTTTATGTCTGCCAAGGTCACAGCACAATGAAAACAGCGTGCCGCACTCACTGTTTGCAATTCTTTCGGTGCCTCATGTCCAAAAGCTGTGTTGTATCTGTGTTTCTATGTGCCTTAAAGAGTGCTGTGTTATCAAATTAAACCCTGAACTCTTCATCACAGCACATTTTGGAGATTGTGTTAGTACTTTGATGTGTAAATTGGTTGGTGCAATCATAATGACAAACATTGCTTGTATGTTTCCTGTTAGTTCGGCACAGTAACAAGTACCAGCTCCCTCTCAATTTTTACTGTTTTCCAACACTTTGGCTGCATAGCGTCATCCTAGCATTGATTATGTTGTCTGTCTTTGTAGCAGACCAGTAATGTGCAGTTGTGTTTCGTTGTGCAGCTCCAGCGCTACTGGGAGTCCCTTGGTGATGTCCTGTTTATGTACAAGGGTGTCCTCGCTGTATGGCCAGACATTGTCAGCTTCCACAAGGTTTGTATCCTGGCAGTGTACAATAAGCTTGCTGTACCAATAGACACATCTCTTGAACACCCAAGTGTAGAACAAATACAGTGGAACATTGTTGATAGGTTTTTGTCTTGTAGAATTTCGCAGAGCCACTATTCGATGTTGAAAACAGGAAATGACAGAATATACTTATAAACTTTTAATGACTGCTATGTTCCCTGAAAGTGATTTTTTTTGGAAGTACAGTGCAGTCCACTTATAACGATATCGAGAAAACCTAAAAATATGATCGCTATAACCGGTGATCGTTATATCTGGACTGCCGCCAAAAAATCGTCGCCGGACGTACCTTTTGTAGCTCCAGGCTTCATTTCGCTATTTTCACCAATTAATAAATATTGTAGATAGTAGGATGTCAAAAACAAGACTTTATTTCTTACTCCGAAGAACGCATCACGGGTTCGCTGAGGAAGAGAGACTGACCGACGGCGGGGTGGGAGCAGTGGGAGGAAGAAAGCACAGCCAGAGGTACACAGCCGGAATGCCAACGAGGCCCCGCCCCGATGCCGCCGCGCCGCTTTGCTTTTCGCTTTTTTTATTTTCTCTCTCTTTCCCGCGTTCGTTCGGCTATCTACGAGTAGCTTGCCGTTGCAGAAGGCGGGGAGCCGCGGAGCGCGGCACTTTGCTTTTCGCATTTTTTTTTTGTTTTAATTCTCTCAGCCTCTCCGCGGTCGACGCGCGGTGAGGCGCAAAACATGACACAGCTGGCGCCATCTGTAGCGCGTTGCGCCAACTCGCGATGCTCTCCTCGGCTTTTTGAACGGCCGGGACGCGCTGCCGGCGCTGTGCTGCAGTGGCGGCAGGTACTCGCCTACGCTAACTTTTCGTATTGTCTCGGCATAGTTCGCTTCAGAGGAACTCATCAATCTAAATGTTACGATTATTCTGAATGAAACATGCCGTCCACGGCAAACTTTTCATCGTTGTATCCGATATGCGGTGGATAACATATCGTTATATATGGTTTTTTTCCCCATAGCCCCAATGCATAAAATGAGACTGTTAAGTCGACCCATCGTTATAACCGATATATCGTTATATGTGGTATCGTTATAAGTGGACTGCACTGTAAGACTCTGTTTGCCTAAACTGAAATTACATATTTAGGTGCACTACACCTCGTTTTGGTTAGTGTCTGTATCCGAGGATGTTTATTACCACTTGAACTGCTGCTAACACAGCCTTATCTTGCATGATAGGGTAAAAGCTCGCTAATTCGAACTCCCAATAATTCGAACGCATCAGTATTCACAACGGTTAATTCGAACTGGGAGCCCCTGGTTTTCATCACTCCTCGCAGAAATGTGCTCAGAGTGATCACAATGTGTTGCAAAACCAAACCATACCAAATTTACTGAATTCAACAAAACAGCAACAATTTTACCAAAGGCAGCAGACAGCAACAATTACAAACTAAAAGCATCCTCTGGGGCTAAAAGCTGCAGTCAGCTTTTAGCCCCAGAAGACATTACACCACGTTAAATCATGTCATTATATCACGTAATAAATATGGAATAAAAGTCAAAACATAGTTTAACAACCATGCCAAACAGTTGTGAGCAGCATGAATGTGGACGCCATCGATCAAAATTTAAAATTCGCGCCTTATGTGGCAGAGCGCCATCTGTCGAGCGCAAAAGAAACAGTCAGCTTATAGCGCCACACAACCACAACAGTGCGAAAACATAGTGAAATACAAAGCACAACCGCGCTGATGGAACGATGTACACCCGCAATGTGCGTACACCGGCATCCGATGCTGCGTTTTTGTTGACGATGAGCCGGTATGCTAGCGACATATGCGATTTTAAATTTAAAGTTATTCTAGCATGAGCTGGTGCATGGGAACGCAGTGGATGGACGGCGTTTTCAGCTTCGATTTGTGCGCGTTGGCCTGTACAAGTGCTATCCGCACAGCCACGCCACATGTGCTGGGGCACCTGTGTATCGGCGACGATCTTTCTCTTTCCGCTTGCGTGCGACAGGTGTCTCGGAACGTGCGGCACGGCTGTGCGGATAGCGCATGTACATCTTCAGGCTACAAAAGAAGGTACGTTGCGCATTTTGCGTGCCGGAACAAGGACAGTTTTCCTTTGTGGAGAGGGGAGTTCTCGAATATAAGCTTTGTAGTCCTGCCACTAAATTGAAATCCAGCAGCGGTTGGACAGCGAGTTTTTTAATGCCGTCTTGCAAAATTTTTGCTGTTATAACTTCCTTTAATTTTTTTTCTTCCATGTAATGAACTCCCCCCTAATTGGTGTTAATTTTTCTAAAAAAAGTGGGTTCGTTATACAAGTAAATAAGGTAGTTATGAAGCTGACTGGGGTGTGTGCTCAGATTTGGGTGCACGTTAAAGAACCCCAGGTGGTCTAAATTTCCGGAGCCCTCCACTACGGCGTCTCTCATAATCATATAGTGGTTTTGGGACGTTAAACCCCACATATCAATCAATCAAGCTGACTGGGGTGCCCAGCGATGGACTGACCAATGGCTGACGCTTGCACGTGCAGTCGTTCCTGAGCAAGCACAAGGAGTATCAAAAGATGCGCGATGAGGTGAAGCTGTCGCAGGAGGACCTCGAAGGGATCCGGCAGCGCATGGATGTCGTCTCGTATGCCATGCTAGCTGAAGTGAGCCACTTCCAGAAGCAGAAAGTGCACGACTTCAATGCTGCCATGCACGACTTCCTGGGTGGTCAGATCAGCTTCTATGAAGAGGTATGTACTGCCAGCCCAAAACCGGCTTTGCTGTGGTTTTTTCCCACCTATTTTTGTTACTGGCCATACTGCATGCATTCACCAGACCACAAGTGAGGTTCTTCCACTGTCAACGAAGTGAAAAAAAAAAAAACTGCGAAACACTGTTTTTTGCTTAGTTGATCATGTACCAACCTGCCCAATTAGGCATTTTAGTGCACTTCATTCCTTCACTGTGTCGAGTACCAGAGTTGAGTTGTGAACTTGACAAGTTCTTGGTGAGGCAAGGTATTTTCTGTTCGGTGCGCTTTCTGCAATTAAGCTAGTTTGCAGCATTGCAAACCAGTAGAGCCTCAACGCTAGAGTGACAGTTACTATATGGAAATCAGCCGGCTATGGAGTATCGAGCGCCATGAATTTTTACAATGTGACGTTGTGATGCAGTGCTGCTAGGGAAAAAAAGAGTAATACTAGCTATTTTTTCTACAATGGTACTGCTGTAGCACATCAGCTCTTTACATATGTTGTGCTGTGTTATCTAAGCTCTGTCAGTTCGTGTGAACTTTTGCTCTCACGAAAAATCGATACTAGTAAAACATGCTAAAACAGTTGCTAGCCATTGTGAGGTATTATTTTGTTAGTCAAGCAGTCAAGCATTTTGATTGGGCAAGTTCAGTAATAATGTGTAAGTGCCAATTTTTTGTACTATCTTAGTCTTTATATATTAATATTGCAGGCAGCTGTTCAAAATAAAATCCTTCACAGAAAGAAGAATGTAGATAAAATTATTGTGGTAAATAAATTACTGGAAGTGCACCCAGAGAACTTTCTGTCATCTTATCTTAAAGAACAGCACGGGCCATTTTGTTTACCTTGATGTTACTTTTGTTGTTGTCTTGTGCTATTGGCCTTAAGCATAGTCTAATACAATAGTACCTAAAGAGGAATCTGGCGCTTCGATCGTGTATCCCCATAAAAATTATGGAAAGTATAGACTTCGAATTGGATAGTGTTAGCTAGCGAACTGCCTACAGATCTTTTTCTACAGTTTCAGTTTCGTTCTTCACGCAGCGCGAGTAGTGGGGTTTCCGTGAAAAACGCTGCGGCAGTACCTTTGTTCGAAGAGGCTAAAGACTTGATTTGCTGCGACGAAGCTTTACGAATTAGATTCGACAGTTTAAACGAAGCGTCGTCCACTCTTCGCAGCGCATAGATGTAGCATCTCATGCCAGTGCAGGATATTCTATCGAGTTACTGTTTTTTCCCGAGCATGTCTTGCCTAAACTCATTCGAAATGACTGCAAACTGAAGGTGAAACAAAGTAGATGCACCGTCACGGTCCTTTGACTTGACTTCACAACAAAACGAGAAGTACATTTGGAGCAGAGACCCGCATGACCACTTGGACAGACGTACCTGGCATTGCAGCAGACGAAACGTTGAGTGTTTGTCACTTAATACTATACTGTTACTTTCATAAATAGATATTGCATACTTTCTAGGACAAAACAAGCATGTTTGTTTTTAAGTGTTGTAAAAAATAATTCAGTATATCTTGATGCTGAATCTGGAACGCAATGGCTTAGCAATGCATACCCTGGTGGCTAAATTTGTCCAGGTTTCACTCTGCCTCAAGGTCACGGAAACATTTAGCAAAAAAATTTACATGCAAAATAATGAAGCAGTTTTCAATTGAATATAACTTCATATCACATTGTTTTACATTTGGCAAACAAACGTCGCGCATTTCAAGAACGTAATCCATTCAAAGCAGATTCGAAGCCTGTACTTCCCATCATTCTCGTGGGGGTTCATGCGCTGCTGAAAGAGCCCACGTAGACACTAGGTCCAGATTCCGCTCTAGGTATTATTGTATGAAACTCTATGGCTTTGAGGAAATAGTATGGCGCCACCTAAGTCATGACATCACTTCTAGAGTACCGGGATGTGTCATCTGCTGGAACTTTACATTTCTTGCATTTTTATCACCTTGCATTTTTGTTGTGTGCGTATTTCCCCATTGTTATGATGTTAATTTCTTAAAGGAGTATAACCTGATAATCCGGGCAAACAAGTCAGGAGTCTGTGCCCCGGAGGCACTCGCATGTAAGCTGCCGAACTGAATGTCGCACACCGCGATTTCACCTGAATGTTGTGTTCAACTATTTTATCGAATCTTTGCATGGATTTTGGTCTGGTCTTTCTTGTTCAACACAGTTCATAGGATTCAGTCATTATCGTTTTTACTTTTACTCCTTTGACTTTGGGGTGTAGACGGACTGCATATTCCTGGACTTTCAAAAAGCATTCGACTCTGTGCCCCATGTTCTGCTGCTACATAAACTTTCATCTCTCGGTATTACTCCTGCATTGCTTCATTGGATCAGGTGTTATTTACAAGACCGGATGCAATGTGTGGTAATTAATGGTTCCCGATCTGAATATGTTGCTGTTACTTCTGGAGTTTCATAGGGATCTGGGCTGGGACCTTTGCTGTTTCTAGTCTACATCAACGCTATTGCTCAGGATGTTTCATGCAAAGTATGTGTGTGTGCAGATGATTGTGTGGTTTACCATTGTACTAGATCCACACTCTGACCATCAGTACTTGCAACGCAGTTTAGACAGTATTATGCGCTGGTGTGATAAGTGGCATATGTCTTTAAGCCCTAGGAAGTGCCAGTGCGTCTCCTCCACTCGTAAACGCGACCCATACCTGTTTCATTATACATTTGATACCATCCAGCTAACGTGAATGAGTGAGTCTAAATACCTCGGTGTTTACTTTTCATCAAATCTTGACTGTACTAAGTACGTTAAATGTCACAGTGAGAGCCTGCAGCATGTCAAACTTTGTTAAACGGATCTTCCGGTTAGCTCCTCTCTAAATCTGAGAACTACTCTACTTTTCGAAAGTCTGACCTATCTTGAAGCATGCCTGTGTAGCTTGGGACCCACAAACAAAAAGTTTGTCTAATATGCCCGAGATCATACAAAACCGTGCAGCTCGTTTTGTGACTAGTAACTACGACTTCAGTGTCACTGTGCTTAGGGATAAGTTCAGGTGGAATTTGTTAGTTTCACGTAGAAAGAACTTGAGCTTGGAAATGCTATTCAAAATATTTCATGTGTTGATCAAAATAGATAAAGAATCTTGCGTAACACCTCTTCATTTTTTATCTGAGTGAACTGACCACTCTCTAAAATTAAGAGACAGATTTTGGTGAGCAAACACGTACCGGTACTTCTTTTTTTCCGCTCACAATCTACCAGTGGAATCGGCTTCCACAGGAGATTGCAGACATCTGCACTGAATCATCTTTCAAGGACATACTGGTACTCATAGCTAAATTTTTGTTATGATCTGTTTTTGTGTTCATGTTGCTTTTTAATAGTTCTTTTTATGTAAGCAATTGTTACGCTGTGTATTTCCCCCCTGCATTAATGCCCTTGGGTGCTTTAGGTATGTTTTTATAAATAAAATAAACAACTATGCAGCAAGGCGAGCAGGAGCATTCTATCTGTGAACTGTTAACGATTGCAGCACCCGTCTCTCCTGTGGAGGACCTTGCAACCAATAGCGCCGTTGCCTGCGCTCTTGGACTTATCGTTTGAAAACAAATGCATAAAGAATAAAAAATAGGCTGCCACCATTTCGTAGTATTTTTCAGAATTCATTTGCATATGTGCGTTTACAAAAATGGCTAAGATTGAGTGCCTGTTGAAACTTTGTGCATGCTACAGTAATGATAAGGCTGTGTGATTTTCGTATAATTTTATGAAGTATATGCAGATTCCATCCAACTTCCATTACATTTTCGTATAAATCTTAGACAACATAGGGAATTATTAAAATGCATGATGAATGTTTTAATAGTGAACTAACTGATCCCATATAATGTATTGCTCATGTTAATTAAATGAAGGGGAATGGATCGAGGGCCCTGTTCTTTTTGAACACAACCATATGAAACCAAGAAAAGAATAGGGGCATCATTTCTCATGTATAACTGAAAGTTAATGAGGAAAAATTGCGAAAAAAAAAATAATTCATCACATAAATTTGTGTGATATACTGTTATAATGTGATCATCTTTTAGTTAAAGAAAAAAAGGGGAATTTTCTTATGTGGCACATTTTTTTTTTCTTTGACACAAATGAATCTAACAGACAATGAGGCCAAGAAAAGCATAGGGGATATTGTCCCTAATCGTAGCATAGTAAATGTGATAAAAGTTGAAGTTGAATGAAAAATCACCCTTTCTCTTGGTGTGATCTGAACTTGCTACTTTTGGCTGCCTTTGTGGTACGCCGCATTTTTGCTTTCCTATTGTCTTGATGTCATTTATGTACATGTTGCCTTTTATACATGGTATTCAAGTCTTTTTCAATCATTCATCTCATATGTGTTGAAAATCTGTTCAGTTGCATGAGAACTTTTCTGTCGGGCTTGTAAGGGAAAATGACTTTGTACTATCGGTGTCAAATAGAATCCAAACAGCGGCAAGCCTTTGTGGTGGCATAGTGCGTGCTGTTGAGTTATCACTATTGACAGGCGCGTGCATCCTGTTCAGCAGCTCTGCATATATATGCATGCCAGTTCATAGTGATAAGTGGATGGTACGTACTATACCATCGCAAAGACTTGCCGCTGTTTGGACTTCATTTGATTTACTATGCTGTAATTTACTATGCTATGAAAATTTACTATGCTTAGAGCATATGAGCAGATATATGAAGCTTTTAAACTGAAAAAAAAATTATGAATCTATATGAGAGTAGTATGTTTATTTAAGCTAGATGTGATGATAATTTTTTTAGGTTTACTATCCCAAAACCACCAATGTTAAGCTTGGCGGCAATGTAGATTTTTTCTGGATACTTTTCACGGCATAGCACTTCTCTACCGCAGTGAAGCTACTTTTACAGGGTGTTTCATGCAGATTAATATACACCTATTTGGTAATTTCAAGAACTTTAACAAAGTTTCCAATAATTGTATTCAAATTGAATTTGAATATTCTAATATTCCTTCAAATATTCAAAGCGCTTTTATATTTGCACAAGCCTAGTGCTAAGCAATCAGTGTATCCACACATCCCTGGTTAATCTGTGCCTGCTTGTTCTCTTTCCAGATTGTGAAGAACCTGAAAGAAGCTCAAAGCAGGTACATGACAGCACCGCAGTAGCAGCTCATGATGAAGCCTACAATGCAGCAGTCTTCCCTCGCCAGCCTGCATCGAATGCACCTTGCGAAAGCAACGTACGAAGGCCTGGCGTCCTAATCGAGGTACCGCGACCGGTGCACACCCAAATTCATAACTCTTACTCCTCTGCCTCGTACATGTCGGTCTAGCTGTTAAGCGCGACGAGGTATCGAGAGACCATACTATCACGGTGGAGGTGCGAGTGCCTTTGCTGTCAATGTCTCGAGACTATTCTTTGCATGTGTGCCACACCCACTGTGGCCGTTCTCGAAATCAAATCTTTTCCCATTTTCACAAATGTGAGCACACTTGACCGTCTGTCCGGGCAGCTTTTTCCTTTTTACTCGCACCAATAGGATATGCATGATAAAAAAAAATCGTGTATCAAACGCTGTCAGTTGTGCACCAGTAAGAAGAATGTTAAACATGTCGTCATCAATTGAGGGGCTGTGACGGTTGTTTTTAAGTGTTTTTTCACTGAGATGTTTATGCCTAGCCACACTTTTATACGAGCGTTTTTTGAGATATGCGTTGTCAGTTAGGTTTGTCCTAACAAAAGCCGTTTTATTAAGCCGATGTGGCTGCAAGTAACAGGTTAGTTGCATAATGTAAGTGCAACCTCTCTGTCCGAGAGTAGTTTTATACAGCTTGTAGTCTCTTGCGTGACATGGTACGTAGTTGGATGCTTGATACAGAGTGTTAGAGCATGCCTGTTGCACGTTTGAAATGATAGCAAGCAGATGTATTTTTTTCTGTTGAGTATCATAAGACTGTATCCTAAACGTTCCGTATTGCTTAAGCTAGTGATGAACATTGTTTTGAAATAAAAGAAGTGTTCGCACACAGTGTTCAACGAGTGCATTGAAGCGTTTATTCGCAAAACAATACTGAGAGCTTAATCTCTAAACAACTTTTCGTTATTGTCAACTTCAAGTAAAGCTGTAATCAACACCTTTTAAAGAATGGATGTTGCATAACAACCACATAAATACATAAATATCATTCTAATAGTATATACAATTGTTCATGCTGAAAGGCACAGCCGTCTGCACCTATTTCAGCACTGTGGATAAATTATCAACTCGTCATAAATCGGTACAATGGGTCACTTGTAGCTGCACCTTCATGGTTTCCACACAGCAGGCAAACTTACACTAGGCCTGGAAGGGCACTCGTATTGTTGACCACGATTCTGTCAGTCGGCACTCATTGGCTTGCTTCCTAGCAATATGTGCTGGTTAGCTGACAAACGCTACTTCACCCTCATTGCTGTCTTGGCTTGTTAACGCTCTCTGGTGCTTGGCGTACTCAGTTGCATAGAGGTAAACATCTAATGTCCGCTCAGTGCACTCCGCAATAAACCGCACGAATGGTCTGACGTCGCCTTCATTGCCTAACTGGAGGTACTCGTAGTATAGAGCACGGTCCTGCTTGCGCACAATCACTGGAGGGTAGCCAACGCGCATCAAGAGCAAATTCATGAGCAACCGTGCTGTCCTCCCATTTCCATCAACAAAAGGGTGAATGAAGACCAACTTGTAGTGAGCGAGCGCCGCATACTTCACTGGGTGCAGCCGGAGTGCTTCCTCGGAGTTGAGCCAGTCCACAAAGTCCTCCATCATGTCTCGGACCAACGAAGCTTTCGGCGGCGTGTGTTCACCCACAAACACTTGTGTCCTTCTAAAGGTTCCAGCGTCCACGGGGTCGACATGGCCCAAGATGCGGCGGTGCATGGCCAAGATGTCGGAGACCGTCAGCAGTGCCTTGTTGACCAAAGTGTTGTTGACGAACTTGAGTGCGGCGTCCAAGCCCAGGATCTCGTTGTGCTCCATGATGCTCTTGCCTGGCACAGCTGTGCGTGTCTCGACAACCATACGGGTCTGCGCAAGCGTCATGGTGTTGCCCTCGATGGCCACTGTGTGGTGTATGTGCTGGAAGTACGCCTCTTTCTTCATGCGCTTCAGGGACGGGTCACCCTCTGGGATTTGGATAAGGAACAGCCGTTTTTTGTCTATCCGTGTCAGCTGTTTCTCGTCCAGCTTCTCAACCACGGGTAGCGTGCGTTGACGGTTCACCAGTGCCTGCACAGCGAATATAACCATTTATTGTTTGAGAATGATACTCATGTGCAATAGTGAAGAGCCTCATATCAGTAAACTTTAAAGTTCACAAATTCTACTTTACAAATAAATTGCACTTTTGATGCCATAAACCAACAGCAAAAGCATGGTAGTCTACCAAAAACATTGCAGACTTGCGACAACACCAGACCGGGGAGTTTCAAGGTCACATTTTGTAATTCAACGAAAACACCTAAGGCAGCAAGAAACACAGATACGTGGTATAAAATCAATGACAAGACATTGACACATCAGTCTTGGCTATCATTTCCCTCTACTATGAGCAAGTATTCTTTGTGTCATCAAATATACATGCAATATTTCAGTGAGCAGTTCTTGTACAGCTGGCATTTTCCTTTTGTGTGCCATTAAAAAGGTGCTGACATTGTGTTCCATCTTTTTGTCGCATCCTGCAGGACAGTGCAATATGCAACAGGTTCTTGTAGGCTGTATAGACCTTTTCACGAGAGAGGAAAATGCCCCTGGGCAGCACGTGAGAGCACGAAATCTAATGCACAGCCTTGGCGCTGCATTTATGAGGGGTCACTCCTATTTAGCGCAGCCCAGAGAGGATTGTGGTAGCGTCCAGAAGGCCATTTGCGAAAAGGCCTATAGGCAAGCAATTGTAGTGATTGGACATAACGTATCGAGCACATATCTGTACGATGGCACCAAGTGTGACAAACTACTTGAGGATGGTTACCACCACAGAAAGCCCACAGTAAATCGAGCTTTGGTTTAATTGAAACGTCAAAATAAGAAAGATGGTTGGAGTGGACAAAATGACAACTTGCTGTAGGAAGTACGTAACTTTACATCATGGAAATGGTGCTTAACCAATAGGCTACCTATTCGCTGTCTTATGAACTGGCATATTCTTCTATGTGCACAACAATGGTACTGTGTAAGAGTCGCTAGTACAGTGGCCGAAGGCTAATGTATATACTGTGCACATTGAATGTTAAACATAACATTCTTTGTTACTGCCTAAAACATTGTGTTTAGCCATGCAGTGATGTCAATACCCCTGGTGAAATTCACCAGGAAATTCGTTTCCAACCTATTACCAGCTGGTCCATTGCTTGTTCGATTTTATCTACTTTGTCAGTTCATTTTAGGATTCATACTTGTAATCATATTTTTTCACTTTTGCTTCGTACATCATGAGCATGCTTGAGGTTTCAAGAGTTTTCACTGTGCTGTCATCATTTACGGATTGTCCTTTTCAAAAAAAGAAAGCAACCTACTGTCGCAAGGCATTTTCATCATCATATTTCATATAACCATGTTTCCGCTGCTTGATGCCTGCCATAAAATGGTGTTGTGATCAAAGTATTGAAACAGTTGCTAGTTCAGCTCTGTGCGCGTTTTCATAGGTGATGAACAAACTTGCCTAACATTTTGTTTCACCTAAAACCAGCAACACAAAACGGCGTCTGGGAAAGTAAACTATCTGGAACACACCGAGAGTGCTTAAATCTCTCGAAAATAAAATGAGTAAGTGCTACTAGATAAATCATTTATGCTGATTCTCCGTGGAAAAGACAGTGATGACAGTGGGCAGAGCAGACTTTTTTTAGAGCGTAGCTCTTAGGCACGTGTAACTGCGTTGAGCGGCGTTGCTGTCGACGTAACCGATCGACATAAAAAAGTGAAATGAGGAAAAGATACCCAGGATTGAACGGGATTTGAACCCAGGCCCTCAGCATGGCAGTCGAGTATCCTAGCCCACCAACTTGCTGGTGCTCGAAGCTCATTTGCAAAAAGACCCCATGCAAGCGTCATGTCTGGCAGGGAATTGTGTTAAACTGTGTATTATAGCGTGGCAGAAGAGTAAAATGGTCAGTCATCACACAATTCTAATTCAAAACAAGTTTGTGGTTTGATGCTTCTCACACACTGCAAAGCGCTCAGCCGTAATTAGTCATTGGCCACATGAAGCATCAACAAGGTGCACATATTACCTTAGGGATGTGTCGCGGGTACCTCTCTCATCCACAGAAAGCCGAGAAATGGCATATCAAGTGCTGTCCTACTTCACAAAAACCAATTTATGGCATAGTCGATACCTTGTGAAAAGCAAAAACTTTAAACACAGTTGGCTTTGCCCTAACACAGAGCTGTGTTCAAAATTTGCATTAGGCACTATAGTAATCGTCGGTTAATTCTTTTTTTTTTCTTTGGTTATAAGAAGGTGTAGCAGTGTTACCTCAAGGCATAAACACTGCAACAGCATCGGCTCTAGTTGAGCAATGATGAGGAGTTTTGGCGGAGGCGAAATGGCAGAGGCCTGCGTACTGTGGGATGTCGGTGCATTTCAAAGAACACCAGACAGTCCAAATTTCTGAAGCCTTCCACTACAGCATCCTTCAAAATCGTGTCGTGGTTTTGGGACAAAAAAATCCCAGATATTGTGGTTATTACTAACAATGCGAAGAAACTGGATACCTGAGAGTGGTCTGGTTTGGCAACAAGAGCACGGCTGTACATGTGGTCCGCCTTGATGAAGTCCTGCTGGTGGTTCTCCAGAAATTGCCCGTACTCGGTGAGTATGTCCGGATGGCTGGGACTTAAGATGAGCGCGTGCTGAAACAGCTTGAGTGCCTTCTCGTACTTTCCCAGTGCAACCATGTGCATTGCTGCCCTGAGTGATGTCAGAGCTTCCACATCTGCAAAAAAAAAAAAGGTGAAACAATGGAAGAAAATCCTCTTGACCTTGGCCGTTAAAGCTGAAGAGTTGCTATACATTCTTTAGACGTAAGCAAGCAACTTCTGAAGCAGTAGGTTCCATGGCTCGGTTATGTCTGAAGACTGCTGGATAGAATCTTCGGGCATTTTTATTTTTATTGTCACGTTGCAGTGCAACTTGAATGGCTAACTTTCCAACTTTTCCGGTGACGACAAGCGTACTTTTCCAGTAAATCATCGCGTACTAGTTAACTGCTGCTGGCGGCAAAGTAAACAGTGCCAACGAAGCACATGGATAAGTCCACTACGGATCCTCGTAGCAAACGAGTTCGACAGCTTTTTATACAGCGTTAGTTTTGAACGGAACTGGAGTTAAACTACTAAAGTACGGTCGAAACTGGTACAACAATTTTAACGTGTCAATAGGGTTTAAAATGAACGGGCGATGTAAGTGACGCTGAAGCCTACATATCGCACAAACGTGCCCGACTTTCAGCAATGTGGTGCGTTTTTTTATTTTTTTCCCGATTGCACATGCACAATTTCAGGCTCTCCGCGTACGCTTAACTAAATCGGATGCGGTATATTGTTGCGTCCTACCACCACCACACATCCGTCATTGCGAGCGCGTTAGCAAAGAGCGTTTTCACTCGTCTAGTCGTTCCGCGACACCTGGGAATCATGCCAGCTCCTCGAATAGTAGCGCCTCAAAAGAATAAACAAGAAAAAGTGCGCCGATTTCTGAATGCCGCACGCATCAGAGGGCTACTTCCCACATGCGATGTGGTGGAAAATGAATGGGAGAGGGGGCGAGTGCAAACAGCTGTGGCGAATACTTTTTAACGACGCGTACGATGACGGCAGCAGTGACAAATGTACTGTTAACAAGGGCGAGCTACCGTTCCTGTCGTTCTCGTCTTTCCTCTTCCGGGTGGGAAGGTGGTTGTAGACGTCAACTATCTCTTCTTCGGTCACTTCGAGATCGTTGCTGTCCGGCAGGAAATTCGGCAGAGAGCGCGTATTCTGCTGGTCGGCTATCTCCGTTCTCTTGTAGGGCGTCAGCTCCAACTTAGATGTCGTTTGCTGCGGTCGCTTCAAGTTCCACACGGACGGAGTCCTCACTAAGGCAAGGCTCACGAGAAGCACTAGGATGCCGACGATCATGAACGATGCGCTGAAACTTGCCACGTACTTGTGGGACCGCAAATCCTGGAACAACATCGACATAATCCAGTGGTGCGTTGACATCATCATGCTCTCGAGCTTCATGTACAACCACAGGAGAGCGTTGTGATTCATTCTATAGGCGACAATCGGCACTCCTTACGGTGCATCGCATACGCTGGAGCGACGGGCATTGCATCAAATACACATCAGCCTTGCGGGCGCGTTGCTAAGTGGCTAAGCGGCTAAGCTGCTGAGGGGAGGCCAAGAACGTAGCCAAGCCAGGCCAAACCCTATTATGTCACGTGAGGAAAATGCTGCGCAACACCAGCGCCTCCTCTTTTTAAAAGGCTAAGGTGCCGTTGGCCCTCACCTGCATTCGCACGTTTATTATCTTGGCGCGAACTCAAAGGCAAGCCCCGACAACAGTAAATGTAAGTACTACGTAGCTTCTGTGACAGTTTGACCGAGGCAAACAGGAGTGAAATAGTAGCATAGAAGAGAATATGAACGTTGCAAGCTAGAGAATGGCACCATTAACAAATCATTCTGTGCAGGGGTGTAGATTCGCTCAGGAATATTGTGTAGGTCACATGCTGTCAAGGAAAATGAGCATATTTGCCATGACCCTTCTAACCAGCTCAATATGTGTATTTTTTTTTTCAATTGGAACAAGCCATGTGCGAATGCCACCTATTAGGTTCAAACTCGGAATGGACCCTTTTCATAATTGGTACGTGCTCTTCTCTGCACTGCGTATTTGCCAAAGAAATGGCGGCACCTGTAGTGCTTCACGCGGGAAGCGGTCCTAGTTGAACGTGCTGGAATATGACTGTTATGAGCGTTTGTATCAAGAGAGCAGACTACATTTTGCATGTCATTGCTTGAGCGAACCGCGCTTGAATAGGGCATTTTCAGTGACTAACAAACGTTTAAACTTTAAAAAAAAAAATCAATGTGAGGGCGGTATGTTCATTTAACGTTGAAGTTAGACTTCGGGGCAGATGTGGACATCCTTTGGATTGGTGTTTTTCACAGCGTAATATATTCCTGCACTGCATTGATATTGCTTTTACAGAAGAGGTACGTGTGGTTTAATTACGCTTGCGAGTATATTCGAACTCTTCAAATATACTGACGTATTCAATTCGAATCTAAATTACGGGAAATTTTGAAGTATTCGAAATGAACGAATATGCATACATAAAACCGCGTGTAACATTTTTGGAACGGTAGTTTGACTGCAACGCAGTTTTACTGTACCGTGAGCACGCCTTTCCAGAAAAAATCCGCACTGTCGCGAAGTTTTTAAGGTTAAGTCAACATGTTACCCCATATTGATTCTTCCTTTAAGTTTAAAGGGGCCCTGCAACACGTTTTGAGCATGGCCGCGGGAGGCCGCCACTTGCCCACGCGTGCGCAAGCGATCATACTGAAAAAAGCCGCACATTCGAAGAAAATAAATGAAAAAGTGCGAAAGATCACGAAGCGCTGTGATGTATTTTTTTTTTTTTTTTGTCCCTGCCATCTCTCTCTGCTTAGCTTCCAGCGCTTTCATCTGGACGAGAGAAAAGAGAATGCAGTTGCAACATGCGACAAATCTCCACTCGCACAGAACAGATTCTTAAAATTTTTGCAGCATTGATTTCGTGAGGCAATAAGCTTTTCCAGTGAATACATTTCATGGTTTATGCCAGCTTATATGAGCTAATTATTGTAAGTTTCAAAATGTAACATATTTTACAGGTTATCATTTGCATTTTACCAAAAGTAAACTCCTGCTACTAATCAAAGCTGCTTCCACTTTCTTTGAACCTAAAGGAATAACATTTGTGCGTGCCTTCCAATTATATATATATATATATATATATATATATATATATATATATATATATATTGTGCGGGTTAGCTGGGTCATGGCGAATAGGCTCAGCCTTCTTCCTAATATGTGATTTATAGCATCTGAATTTGATTCGATTTAGAATCAAATCACTATTAACTTCAAACCCAAAATTTACTATTCACACAAGCTTAACTCTGTTACATCTTTATGTGAATTTTCACCCAGGAAGAAAACCTCCATGGATATTACATCTCAATGGATCCTACGATCAATGTCCAGACGGGCTGCAGCAGGCAAGTCGAAATCAAGCGAGCCTGCAATTTCGCCCAAGAAGGCAGCGAGGAAGGGTCGCTGTGAACAAGCCAAGCCTTTAGTTAAACAACAGCCTTGCAAACAAGATTGCAGGACAGGCTTGACAAGCCAAGATACAGAGCCCAAAGCAAGTGGATCTACAGAGACACTTCCAGTTATTACAGCCCGAAAGGGCACCCAAAAGTATAACGCCCAACTCAAGAAGCTGGTAGATGCACTGGCGGCAAAGGAAGCTTGCGATGACATGTATCAGTCGCAGGTGTTGAAACAAAACATCCCTGATGACTTTTTTGGGGAAGCGGGGCGAGATGAGGTGTTCAATATCGACGTAACAAACATGAAAACGCCTCCACTCTTTTCGCCAGCCATTACATCGCCGAACGCCCGATTCTCTTTTCGAAGTTCTCCTAGTGAGCCATCAGGATCGCAAGAAGCAGCAGTTGCCATCACGCAGGGCCTCCGTAAGCAAGATCATGCTACCACGTTGGAGTCGGATACACCAAAGCGTAAATTTATAAAAAAAAAACTTGTGGCTCGAAATTGGCATAAACTGGAAATAGTCTGAGAAAAAAGAGCTAAAAGAAAACTGCGAAGATTCTAATAAGGAAGTGGAGGACACAAATGCTGAGATTTGTGAAGATGAACAAAATTTTTTTTAATATATTAAAGTTTTGCATCAGTGTAAATTTAACTTTTACCTTTTATCTTTTAACTTGACTTTCTTTCTTAGCAGCATTAGCAGATAAAGTTGAGTGATCTTAACATCAAGAGTTTTTGCCCACAAATTTTGAGGCTATGAAAAGCCTGCTGTAAGCTTCCTGTGAATGCAATAATGCTCATTGAACATTCGGACACAGGAAACATTTCGAAGACATTTTAGTTTGCTCCTAAAGAGCACCTAAATGCACATTCTCATGATCGAGACCAATTGCTAGTGCATCCAACCTTGACGAAGTGTCATGCTTCTTGATCTGGGTCTCGGGAACGGTTTGGCTTCGCACATCAGCTTCAACCAACGGCGGCGTCATGACAGTCCCCCAGGCTTCAAATGCGGTCGAAAAACCGTAAAGTCCGCTTGGTCTCGCGTCTAAAGGTCCTGTCTCCCGGGTTTCGGCACCAAAATGTAGAGAAAAGGATGAGCCGCCGTGCCCATGGCGAATCCCACCCATCGACCTTCTTTTTATTCCAAACACAGGTATCATCCCCTAGTGATGATACGCGACTATTTTCGTCGTTCACACAGTATTCAACAATAGCTATGTAAGAAGCTCAACGAAGGCTTGCGACTGCATACCAGATTAGTGAAGTAGGTGAGCTTTGCACTAGAATAGTGGCCAAGCCAGCAAAGCATCGGTTGCTACATCACTCACCAGATTTTAGTCAACTACAGGCAATGTGATTTGCATCTTAGCACGATCCTGTAAATACGCTCGGCATGCCCAATTGCTGAAGGCATCCCAACCATTCACAGGTATGGTCGATCACTTATGGCAACCATCCCTATTTACTATTGTTGGCTAGACTTCTGCCAGCGCAAAGTTGAAGACCGAGTGAGCTTTCATGAGTTGCCTCAAGACGAGGAACAAAGCAGTTGCTGTAGAGCCTTTGTTTGGGCTATCAGGTGGTGCCACTGAACACAGGGGAGTCTAGCTTTTGTGCTCTTTGCACTTCTGCGTCGACACTTATCCGAGCATTCGGCCAGGTTCGGCATTCCCAAGAGGTGTGTGTAGATGTTGGTGCTATGCCAAGAATGCATCCTGCTACTGCACAGAGCCTGCTGAGGTTCGAAAGCAGAGCAACTGCACCAAAGTATCAGGTTGGTATTGCGACAAAGTGTATGACCTGCACGCAGATTTGTTGGTGAGGCGGTAATGCTGGCGTATTTTGTGCGCACAGTGCCTGGCTGACTTTGGCAGAGATGTCGTTCATCTCTGCGAGGAAACAATCATGGAAGATACATATTTGGGCACAGGTACTTGATTTTCATTTTTCTATTTTGTTGTAAGCTTCAGTCTCGTCATATGCCTAGTGATGAAAAGTAAAATTAACACTTTCTGACCCTGCCTTTGAAGAGCTGTCTGTAAATATGTCGAATCTCTACAACGTTCTATTGTATTCACAGTATTCTCTTTCAACAAAAATTGAGATAATTGTTAAATTTATGTGTTAAAGTAACTCATTCTAATTATGTTTTAATTAAATGATACTTTATCCTGAAGTCATTGATGCTTATTTTTGGAATAAACAGAATTAAATATCAGGCCAAGAATATTGGGAAATCAATTTTTCGTTGTGTCAATCTCAAGCGAAAAAAAATTCAGCTTTTCACTTCACTTGCAGAAAGTGGCATGTTGCACGACTCGTCAAATGTTATAGTGCCTTCAGAAAAGCGATCATATGTATCAATACACTGCAAAATGAAGGGAAATAAAAGCAAATTTATTATGCAGGAGGTTCAATTTACCATAAGTATGGTATATCCTGCTCTTCCTTAGTCTCTACTTATGTAAATAACAAAAACGAGTGGTGTACACAATTGTGTACATTGTCTTAAAGGGTTAAACATGGCCGTTGGTTAGATTAACCCACTAGAATAGGCCACTTGGCGCTTAAAATTTTTTGCCTTAATAATCTGGATTATCGGTTTATACTCTATCATGCCATTGATGTACAAATCAATGGCATGATAGCGACAGCCACGCCACATATGACCTTGTTCTCTGAATGCACAAAAGATTAGCTACACGTGCCCTTTAGCAATTACTAATGGCTCTTTGAAAATTGAGAATGACTGGTATTTCAGCAACATATCTCGACGAAAAATATGCATGCCTGATCATTGCTTTACTCTTCATTATTTGTTGTGGTAACTCTTTGTAATGCTTCTACATTCATTTATGGTGTATTTCTTACACCACAAGTTGTGTGACGTAGTGAAGAAAATAATTGCCTCCTTATAAACATCAAGCAGGTGTCACAGTTGTGACAAATGTCAAGTTAGAATCCTTCTATTCAGTGCTGAACTGTTTTTTTCCAAAGACCTCATTTCTTTCCATGGAATGCTGGGAAGGTGTGGATGTAGATAAATTTCTCCACGTGCTCTGTTGTAATTATATGCTAAATATCATAAAGGGCAAGAGTAATGTGTTCAGTGTACCTGCAATGCTTTGTTGTCTAGACATAAATCGATCACGAAATGTCGACCAAAATTATAGCAGGCACTGTGCATGAAATTTCGGACTGCAGTGCAAGCACATAAATGCTGAAGTGAAGCTTGCCCACATCGCTGGTCTTCAATATACAAGAGTTTTTTCCTGGTGAAGTTTTCAACCACGATATTAGTGCAACTCCATGTGACATGGTCGTTAACATGACTAGGTATTTGTTATTGTAGTTTTTCTTGGATTTACTACCATGCTGATAACTTTGCTACACTGCACCATTTTACATTTCGCTTTAGCAATAAATGCTTTGAATTTGAATATACTCTTCAATAAGGCTTTCATATGAATACATGCTGTAGCAGTCATGCCTGTTGTAAAGGAGCTATAGAGATGGGGCTTTATAGCAGTAATAGTGCAAAAATACAAGCAGCTTTTCTTTACAGCAGTAACACTTGTTACCCTTGCTTTACAGCAATTACAACTGTTACACAATAAAGCAGATAGTGAGTGATCATGTGTTAGTCCAGAAGCTTGTCTTGCTGAAAGTGAACCGATGCCAAGAGCCATAATAATCTGATGTCGTACACTGCAGTCTATGACATCAGACAAAAGGAAAAACCAGTATGTAATTCAGGTGACGAATGCACTGGGCTGTAGTACAAAGCTGCAAGCGCTGCATTGAAGGAGGCATTTAATCTATATTGTGTTGTACGGCGTTAAAAGGCGTCATGCTTATCCTGAAACTGGCAGCGAAGTATGTTCTCTGTAGCAGTTGGTTAGGCAATGGTGTGCACATGTGGTATTCTGATTTGTTTGCACTGGTCATAACTCGCTGCATTGCACTGCAGTGAAAACGCAGACAGGCTACAAGTCTGAACTGCCGACGGAAAGCAGCAGTGAGCTATGAAGCACTCGAAACCAAGGAAAGGAAGCCCTGTGGCTTGTCCAGTCAAAGAGTCCGCAACGTATGGTATGTACATTACTGCACAGGGAGAGAAGAACTTGCATGTCGGCAATGAAGATTGCATGCTTATCACACTGTTTTCTGTGGGTGCACACATACGAGATTAAGAGAAAAAATCAAGACGGACAGCATTGAAGTAGTTGGGGCGTCACCAAATCCTGCTTCCAGCACTTCTGTATGCCTAGAGGAACAAAAAAATGACTGTGCACGTCAACACTAGCAGGGGCTCTCGTATAATGTGTCTTCTGTTGTTATACCTGTGTATATGTATCATGCACATGCTATAGCATAAGATACACCTGTTTGCTCAGTATGCACTTTAAGATGTACTCGAAGGACATCTTGTAAGAATGAATGTGCAATATAAATATGATTGCGATCAAAACGTTTCTCTCGCGAGAGATTTTTATCAATGCTCTATTTGTACTGCATTACATAATCATCAATGGTCAGCAAAGTGTCAACCCTAGTCAAGTAACACTTAGATCTACACTGAAAATTGTCCATAGCGAGGTCTGAGGAAGGCACAAATTGCATCAGTAGCATCCAACACGACCTGTTGGTTTGCGCCTTGTTTCACAGTGTGGCCAGCTTGTGGCAGGCTGTCTGGCAGCCCATGTCATGCGATACACTGTGCGGTACTAACTGCAATACACAACACTCGCAGAAGTTGCTGAGTACCTTTTGAATTCCACATAATCTACAAAGCAAAATTGCATAGTCATGTGTAGCTCTAACACCAGCAGCAAACCCAGCAAAACAGTGCCTGCGTCTAGTGCCATAAAATGTCGGCCTTGAAAGAGGTGTGTTCATGCATGGTGTGTTCAATCCGATGTTCGATGGGGTGTTCAATCCTGTCTGATCATGCATGGTGAGTTTGATCCGCAATGTCTTGCTGTGTGACATGATTGTCACATGGCGAGACACCATGGATCGAACACAGAACTGTGGACGACACTTAGAAGACAATGATACATGCCAGTGTAATCAGGGTGCCTACACCAACTTCATTGCTCTGTGATTGCCACAAAATTCTGTTAAAATGAGTCTGAAACGATTTCCTGACTGGAAAGCTAAAGTGGATGTGTGCGCGCAGCAGAAACAACTTGCACATGGCTGCCCTAGAATGCAAAACAGCAAGCCGCTATTCCGCTAGCATAAACAGTGATGCCGTGTGTGTTAAAAAAAAAAAAAAAAAGCTGTTGTCCAAACAGTTGTCCAAACAAGCCGAGTAGTAAAGACCCGCGCCATTGGATCATGGGTACTTATGTCAGAATCAAGTCTCACCAAAAATTGCTTTCTCTAGCTTTCTTTACTTTTCTCTTTTATTTCTATGTACTCATTCTCTCAACCATCAGGGCTGTTGCATCCCACACCGGCGCTTGTTGTGGAGGAGAAACAGAAGAGGGTGAAAAGAGCGTGTGGCGATAATTTTTTGTCTATGACATATGGCAAACCTCTGCTGTAAAACAGATGTGCTGTAAAAATAAAATTCACAGTTTCACTGCGAGGGTAAAGCGATTAGAAAGTTTTAAATAACCGTATGCAAACCTTGCAAGTTTTGCGGGGGTGCCACTTAATGGAAGCCTGCAAAAGTTAGCGTGTGACGCATGTGCAACGCCAAAGCAAAGCTGTCCATTCGCTATTGAAAAACTCTCCAATGAATGCGACAGCAACAGATTGGAATGTTATACGCAGCAAGGCCTGCAGCTATTTCTCTTGGAGCTAAATCTCCTGGAGCTAACTAAACAGAACACTAGTGATAGCAGTTCCTCTGTCACCACCTTGCAACTGGTAGTGCTTTTCAAGACGAAATAGAAGAACAATGTTTCGCAAGTGAAACTACCTAACTTGTGCTTGTGCACCACACTGGATGATGAGAAGGCCCCATGCTTCCCGTCATAGTTTGGCGAATGAAGCACAGTTGAAGTTTTTTATATCGTTATTTATGTCCGTTCTTTGTTTGTAGTTGCGTTTGATCTAGTCCAGCAGGTAGGAAAAAAATGTTCTTTGTTTGTAGTTGCGGTAAATCTAGTCCAGCAGGTAGAGAAGAAATAAAACCATTGCTGCCTCTTCGCTGCTGTTTGTCTCTCCAGCAGGTATAAAAAAAAAACGTTGCTGCCCCTTAGCTGCTGTCTGTCTTCAACTTTCATGCTGCCGGGTCTGTGTCCGTTGGGCACCTTTAAAAAGAGGTATCATTTGAAAGAAAATATTCACAAACTGTCGCCAAAGACCATGACAGTTAGTTTTGATTGACTCATTATACCACAATTACGCGAACTAAGGTAAGCTTGTATACAGCACGGACTAAAGCCTTCGTACTATTTTGTAACTATGTTCAAATGGTGCTTAGGACGTCACAGTTGAAATCAAGAAAGAGAATGGACATGGAAAGGGCACGTAGTTTGTAGGCAGGATAACTGCTGCTCATTAAGGATAATCAACTTGATTCAAAGGCAGGTGCACGGAAAAGGGAGACAAATGGACGGGAAGATAAAGCTGACAAAGCCAACCCCCCATTCTCCCCCTTCCTGAGATAGAATCACTATTTTAATAAAAAAGAAGAATTTCCAGATGTTCCAGCACAAGCCCATTCACCAAGCTTTAGATAAGTAAACCAAATGGAGCCTACCTTGTGACATCACTGTTCAGGTAATTTGTGAAATTGGGTGTGACTCACCTAATCAGTGGCCAAGACAGCCAAAGGTGGAGAAAAGGGTGGCGGGGACTTGTCTCTTTTTTTTTTTTGCTATCTTCACACGTAGTTGGCAGAAGCACGGGGTGCATCGACAGCATCAAATTGCTGAGATAGGTAACTATGCACTTCGCAGCTTGCTCATTTTCAAGTCCATAAATTACATGAAGTACCTTCAGGCCTTCAAATTCTTCGAGACTGACCATTATCTTGCCTGGAAAAAAGTACACAATGTATTCAGTATGTTTATAAACAGCACCAAAAAGCAGCATCATAAACGTTTATTTCTAATTGGTGCTAAACAAAACTGTACATCAAGTAGGAAGTAAATTGTTCAAGTATAAGTTGAAGTACGAAGTATATTGACACATACAAAGCACAAGCATCTAACTGTAAGAAAGTAAATTAAAAAGACGAGTAACATTGCTCAGCATGAAATGCACAAGGTTATGTCACCATGCTTCTAATCTATTTTGTTGTGCTTATCTTTTGTTGATGCCAGCGATGGCATGCTGACACATTTTCTTCCACATGAGCTGATATCAACTGACTCTATTATTGTGATGGTGCAGCGATCTCCGTGCTTAGAAACAATGCCACTTTAACCTGGGGCATACAGGGGCTACTAGTCTAGGTTTAGTCTCAGTAGCACGAAGAAAACATCTAGGTTTAATCTCAGTAGCATGAAGAAAAGAACGAAAAGCCAAGGCTTCACCTGGAATCTTTTCTTATGCATCAGTGGAACACTCGCTCAATTTCAAACTCTGGCAATCTACCTCCAATATACACCCAATGCTTGCATTATACACACATATGCACGGATGCTGGCAAGTGGCAACAATAGCAGCTATTCTTGCACCTTATTAAAGAGTTGCTAGTTAAGGTGATATCTAATTGGGCATCGGTCATTTGTCTAATACAAGCTTGCTTTAGCGAAATTACTCGTGCTGACAACAGACACAAAGCTAGTAAATTACTTGCTCAGAAGCAAACTGATGCATTGCGTGTGTGAAACTTATCTGAGTGCCTCAGTGTTCTTTAATCAGCCATTACCAGTTATCAATGATATTTTGCAATGCCACATATCTCAGCTGGTCAAGAGTTTTAAAAGACTCCAGACAAAAAAAGAGTTTACCTTCTTCTGGTGGCAGGTATTTCAGTTTACTCGGTCTGCCTCGCTTTGTTTTATGGACCAGCTGAAAAGAAGGGAAAGTGCATCTTTGGGGGTGAGAGTGTTGAGGAGCTTGTAGTTGCTGAGGTTGCACGTTTGATGGACTGGGGGCGAACGGTTGATTTGATTGATTGATTGATTCATTGATTGATTGATATGTGGGGTTTAACGTCCCAATACCACCGTAAGATTATGAGAGACGTCGAAGTTGTGGGCTCCGGAAATTTTGATCACCTGGGGTTCTTTAACGTGCACCCAAATCTGAGCACTAGGTGGGGGCGACCGGTACTATCACTAGTGGATGCATATTTGCCTAGGTTTTTTTGTTGCGGTTAGTCTGTGCCATTGGCAGGTTTCCTTTTCAACAGTTTTTTTTTTTTTTCTTCTTTTCTTTTTTTTTTTTTTTTTTTTCAAAAGATATGAACTGTACAGTCAGCATCTTCAGAGCGTTCTGCAAGTATAGTCGACATGACTGGCAAGCCCGCGCACTCAGCCTCGTCATGCTCAAGCAAAAAATCAAAATAGACTGACTGCTTTGCGAACCGTTAGGGGACCTAAAAAGGTCGAGAGACGCGAGTTGCTTCAGTTGCCTCAATTATCTTTCGTATCATATAGATCTGAAAAGAATCGCTGAAAAAGTACATCCGGTACTTTGTTGGCCAATAGAACTGGTTGAGTTGAAGTCCGCTACAGCTTGAAAATGACAAAACGATGGAGGTGAAATCTAAACCTGTAAATTAAAGCGGATGGCTGGCACACGTTTCGCACTATATACATACATTTTAATATAGGTACCGTATGGCAGTTGGGCATCTGTTCACAGGACACTTTATACAGGAAAAACGTAGGTTATCACTGTCGATTGTAAGAATGCACAGGAATTTCATGCAGTGTGCGATCGAATTTCAATGGCAGAATAAAACCTGAGTGCGCAGGAAGTAGCTCAAACCGTAACTATCCGTGACGAAGTGACTGACAAGCAGAATAAGACGCGGCTTTCGACACCCGGGTAATGGTTGAGCAGACCATACCATAAGTGCCCCGGGAAGACAACGGTCGAAGCGCACGAACTATGAATGCGGATCTATCTAGAACTATACTAAAAGCTGTGAAGCGGGCCTCAACTGCACATTCGAGCAGCGAGCATCGAGGAAATCGTCACCGTTATACATCGCACACAGTGAGCTAGGGGATAACTCTGGCAGTAAACTTCAAGAAAGAAAAAACAAGGTATCCCGAGCTGACCTTCTGAATGCCAGCGCGTGCAGGAAAACGCTCGCTCATGAATGCCGTGAATGCTCGTGCAGTACCGCGTGCATTACCCGAATGGGAATGTCGCCTTCGAAAATAGTCGGCCGCTATCCTTGTGTCGATCGATCCGCCGTCGTTTGCTCGTAAGCGGCCCAGTCAGCCTTTGACATACGCCGAGCGTTTCTGAGATCTCGAGAGATCATTGCGTTCGGCAGCATGTGGGACGAAAGCCAAAATAGTGGCGAACGCAATGACTGTGGAATTCCCGGTAGGGACGCTCACCTCTCGTTGCGATGGTGGCTGGCCGACCGTGGCTGCGCAGAGGACGGACACTGAGCAGCAGCGACGTGGAACAGTGACAAGCCTGCGACGAGCGTATGAGGAAAATGGCTTCTTGAATTTACTTCTTGAAAAGAAGGGCTGACTTTCAAAAAATTAACTTCTTGAATTCACTTCAATTTCACTTCTTGAAAGGAAGGGTTGAATTCATTTGGTAACATAAGTCATAATTTAAAGCTGCGCGTGAGAACGAGTCGGGCTGCTCGCTTCCTCGTCTTGCACAGTGCACACGTGCAGGCATGCAGCTATTGTTTGTCGACTTTGCTGCGCGTGGCAGGGTGAGCCAGCACCTGAGGCTGCGCAGATGAAAGCCCGGCCACGACTCGAAAGTTGGGCAAGAGTGATAAATTACTGTCACTTTGCACCGCCTTCGGCAGCAGTTATACTATATTAAAAAAATTCACCAAGCAAGACACTGCTTAATGTAAATTCTGAGCGAAGCTGTTGGTGTGTTAATATTTTACGATTAGTTTAGCGAATATCATGCGCTAATCATGCCCGGTCTTTGCATCCAGGTAACACAGTAACCATTAATTTAAATATCAGCTATTTCCAGTACGGTGATCACCCTAGGTAACCGCCTTTTCTTCATTTTTTTCCTCTTGAAACACGTGAGCCCCGCGTGTCGGTTTTGAAATGGGGCATATTTTAAAGCATTTGGCAATCTGACGGAGATGATGCTACTTCGTTAGGGCTTTAATGTGTCAAGTTAAGTTTGTTCCGGCTGCCATCGTTTTCAAGAGACGCTAGAGGGTGGGCCAGAGGTATTTTTATATTTATACAAGTACGTACTATATGCTGTTCCTACTATGTTGATAGTGCAGGAAAACATGTTGTACGAGTAGTTAACGATAAGAACTATAGATACTTTCACCGAAAGTGACCAGTAGACATTGCATGGTGGTGACCTCGGGTCACCATCTCGTATTTTTTGAACTAAAATTGCCCTTTTTTTGTTTGTTTCTTGCGAGAAGATCATCTGCAAAAGACCTCCCCATTTCTTTCAATAAAACTGTTCTCTACCAGAAATTGTTATGTGCGCGAAAGAGGTAAAAAATTGGCCACATTTCTCCATGTTTCGCTGCAAGGGACGTCGATAGACTATATTCTTCTACCTGGAGGCGCACGTGAGGCATGGCGGCATCTGGCAGCAATGTAAAGAAACGATTTTTTATTTTTCAGAACGCAGAGTCACTGGTAGGGGACAATTGTTTTTTTTTTAACCTCCTTAGTGACAACACCAAGTTGTTTTAGACTTCAGTTTTAATTAATGCCCCAGATTTTTTTTTGCATAAAAAACCATTTTTTTTTCTTAGTGTTGCATTGTCAGTGCAGTGTAATTAACACTTCAGTCTTTAGAGTCGTGTATCTATACATTTTTTAAATAAAAAGACACAATGCCTAACACTAATGAGGTTGCGTCTCAAATATACATATTTGCTTTTTGATTGACAATGTAAGCACATATGAACGCAGAAGCCAGAACATGGCTGGTCGTTAAGGGAGGGGTTAAACGGTCGCCATCCTGCTGAATTAGGTGACAAAGAAGCAGGACAGACAGACAAACCAAAATTTCTGCGTTGAAGTATCCCAAGAAAGACTGTCGTTTTTAAGCAATCCTTCAGCGTGAGTATGTGCCACAATTTCAGGGCCTTCTGTGCTCTACTCTACACATTGTGTGTGAAATGCTTTCAAGGACTCTTAAATAAGGGCCTTTATTGTCCGGCGCAGGGTTTGCATCAGACAACTATGGTGGAAGTTGACAATGTCAAGTTCACGCCGTTACCTTGACACCAAAACCGAGCCAATCGCGCTGTGTCGCCTTGACGCATGCGCATTTGCTCAACTATCGCAAAAATCGGAACACCCCAACAACTCCGCTCATAATACGCATTGAACAGTATCTTAATCGTCGGTGAATTTGTCGAATGTGTATCATGTGTCTCTTACTTGCTACCGAAGAAGACGCAAAGTGACAGTGATTTATCATTTGTGCCAATATTTGGCGTCGTGGCCGAACTTTCATCTGCGAAGCCACAGGTAGTAGTTCACCGCGCCGCGATGTCGAGCAACAATGGCCGCATGCCTATGTGCAGAATCTACGCGTGTGCACGGTGGGAGATGAAGTGTGCAGCCGAGCTTGTACTCGCATGCAGCTCGTGCCATTCCACCAGCAAACCGGCCATCTGCTCGGACGCTGGTCCGAGGTTCGACGTCGTGGCTTCTACTCGGCATCAGTCCTCTCCCCCAACCACCTTCGGCCAATCGCCACCGCAGCCAAGCTCCCAGAGGTAAGTGTCGTCCGCCTTTCGACCGCCATTGCGTTCGCCAGCGTTTGACGTAGACCGCTGGGGATTGCCTGGATGCTTGAAATGTTTGAGGCACTCTTCGCCGCTTAGTTCTGGTGGGGTGGTAGATATCGCTACCCTTTCATTATGCGCACGCTGCGACTGTTGTTCTCGAGGTACTTGATCGGCTGTCAAAAGCGGTCTTCCCGGAATACATTCATTATTCTGCCTTGTATTCAGATTTTGTTCCTCTCTTGTCGCTGATAGTTATGGTCTGAGCTCTTCCTGCAAGCTGATTCTATACCACTGTTAAAATTCAATCTCGCATTGCGTGTAATTCTAGTGAATTCTAAAAAAGAAAGGAGGGGTATACCATCGCCTGTTCTAACCTCTGTCTTTCCTGTATAAACTGTCCTCTAAACCAGGGGCGTAGCCAGGGAGTGGGACACCGGGCCCTTGTCTCCCCTGCACGAAATATTTATGACCATTTCAAGGCCCCCCCCCCCCCCCCCATGAAACTCCGGCTACGAACCTGCTCTAAACAGGTGCCTAATTGGCATATGAATGAATAAATTGGAAATGTACATAGTGCAGAACGTATGTCAGGCAGGGCCGTACTCAAATTCTTTTCGGAAGGGGAGCTGAGGGGGCACCATCATTATTTTGGGGAGAGCACCCCCTTAAAATGGTCATTTTCAGCTATCTATGCCATAACAAAAAATGGGGGGGTGGACGGGCCCAGTGTGCCACCCCCTGGCTACGCCATATCTGCTTTAATTGCCAGGTCTTTTATCTCGGCATTCAATCCCATGGGATCGCGTCGTTTGGGCATTTCGAAACTATAGCGGACCTCGACCAGCCCGCGTGGCCGAGAAGAGACTGGATGTACTGTAGTTTCATGGATTCTCATTGGATTTACACAATACGAAAGATATTTGAGAAGACAACAGATATTTGAGAAGACAACAGAAGACAACTCGTGAAGCATTCCATCGCTCAGATTTTTTTATGTCGCAGGTCATTGCAATGCGGCCAAGTCATTTTAAGCATACTTTCACTTACTGACTCTTAATGAAAATTTAAGTTTATTACGGTGGCGCTACGAGTTTCGCCTGCCGTGCCACATAATTCATTCTGAACCCGAGATCTTAGAGATTCCAATTTAAAGTTCCGCATCAACTTGGGTCAGGGTCAGCTCGCGGGCGCTCGCAGTGCTTGCTGTCTGATGGAATCCCGTCTGGTCAAGGATCCAAGATCGTTGTGAGCAAGGCAGGCACTGAAGCATCTTCTAAATCTTTGTTCATTTTACCACTGTCGGCGTTTGTTTTATTTCACAGCTAGTGCCTTTTTTTCGCTATTATTTCTTAACATTTACATTTCAGGTACTTCTAATGTCCCTTAAACTTCCCTTGGCACATTAAGGCTGCAAAGAGTTGCACGACGCGTTCGTCATGCTCCTGTTGACATATATCAAGGAGATGAAAGCGCCCGGGCGTACATAAAGTGCATTTTGTTCGCTAATGCTTCGCATACTGAACCACTTGTAGTGCGAGGATGTGAGGTGGAAAGTCTCTCTGTGCAGGGAACACCTTTACTACCACAATCGACGAAATTGCCAGGATGCCTAGCCGCAACTCTTCGATCACGGTGGAGGTCGTCGAGGCCACCGTCGCCGAGCGTGCGTATCGTGAGCGAGTCGTCGAGGCCTCCGTCGTCGAGTGTGTGCATCGTCGCCAAGTGTGTGCTGCGCCAGTCGCCCGATGACGTGTGCATAGTGACGGAGGAGAGGCCGCCGTCACCCGGCGTATGCACTGTCACCAAGACACGCAGGTGTACGTCTTCCGCCCGGGTGGAGTTCATCGATACACCCAAGAGCTCATCATCCTCGAGTGCCATCATCCAGGAGCACATGATGCAGGCCTGCTTCCCGCCTGTTGCACTTGCTGGCTAGGGAAACCTGCGGGTGGTCGCGCAGTTGTGGGCACATACCTCGCCTGCACAGTGCGAGAAGACTCGCGCATATAAAGGAGGCCTTCAAATTTCCTTAAACTGAAAAATAAAATTGTGGTGCAATTGTGCATTGTCCCGGCTTTTTTTTTTTTTTTTTGTCGGCTGAATGCATTCTCTTAGGGAAGACATGCGCTCTGCAGGAGCCGTAGGTGTGTTTGTTTTCGTTGCTGTGGTAATACCCGCCCTAAAAATCTGCGGGAAAGGAGGAAGCAGTTTCCAGAACCAGAAGGCATTCGTAAACGCCGTGCCAAAAGCGTAGGAGCAAAAAACAGCATAATGTGCAACCGGAGACAGCCACAGAGCCAGCAGGGACAGGGGTTACGCTGGGGTGGAGGAATATTGGCCTCTTCATAAGACTTTCCTACTGCCCACAGTGAGCGAATGGTCAACTATGCGCAATATTTTAACAGCGAATCTCTTTTTTCCACCGCAGGATGCGCCTGACCAGGATAGTTGGAGGTTTAAGGTCCTAATACCGGCATCACGGTATAATTCCTCCATGACCAGCATACTACGTATTACGAGAGACGCCGTGGTGGAGGAACCACGTGAGGGTTCTTTACAGTTGGAAAAGGCGGCTGGGATTCGTTGCGACGGGTGCAGCAGTGGAGCACCATAACGACCTTTCCTTGTTTCCCGTCAAAAGGTAGCATGCCTGTTGAAAGTGACTGCGAAAACAAACACAGATATAGAGCACAAATATGTTTAGTGTTTTTAAGAAGTTTAGATGTAATGTCATCCACACCAGCCGCCGACGAGAATTTTATATTTTCTATTAGGTATGAAATACTGGATGGGAAACAAAATGTAATTGGTGGCATAGTAGTACGTTTAAAAGTGGCATGGGTAACAGAGAATGATGGTTAAGTTTCTTGAGTGAACACTGATGCAAAGGCGGCGTTGAAGACATGGGCGCATTCAGCGTCTGCCAGGGCATCACCTGACTCGTTTGATAAAGCAACAGGACGTGTGTCTTGAGGGTTTATAACTTGCCAGATTTTTTTTTTTTTTTTGGAGTTTGGTAAATCATAGTGAAATAATGAGTGTTTGACGTGACGGATGGCTTCCAGATAAGCACTAAGCGTCTTTGTGTGCATTCCATGCATCAAGTGTATTACGGGACTTGGCTGCGCGGAAGCGACGTTTCTTTTTGTTTTCTAGTTGCTTCAGGGCTTCAGTGAACCAGGGTTGGAAATAATTAGAAGAGATGGTAATTAAGGGAATGTATTTTTGGCCTACCAAATTCTTTATCTTTAAACATGCGCCAATTTTCGCCTAGGGAATGAGAAAGAAAGGTGTTTTTAAAAATGGGATAAAACTGCCTTATGCATGGCTAATTTCCTCAAAATTTCCCTTATCATATAAATGAATATTTTTTTCACGGGTGGGGTTAAGCCTAGCGGGAATAGGAGTTGGGAATCGTTTTTTTTTTTTTTTAACATGGTGGCCATTTTGTCAGCACTGCTGCTTCGTCTTGTGCTGAGCGTTGCAAGCGTTTTTTTTTTTTTTTTTTTGCGCGCGTTAATGCGTTGCGCATGCAGGCAGGACCTGCTCGCCAACGCCGAAATGCGCGCGTCGTGTGTTTCGCATGGGCACATCTTGGGTGAATCTTTGCCCTCGCATGTCAAAGTAGGCCATTTTCGGTATCCTGTGCGACCGCGGTCATTCAAAGCCATTCAATGCCAGAAATGCATGAAGTTTGCAGACGTGAGCGTCATGTGTCATAACACGATAGTTTGCTCGCGCTGCGCCGAAACACATGTTGCAGACACCTGTGCTGCGATGGTACTCAAGTGCCGCTTGCTTCAGGCCCCACAACGCTTCTTCAAGTGACTGCCCGATGATCCAGAAGGAAAAGGAGTTCCAGCAGGACTTCTTTTTAAAACGGAGTTCCTTAAGCCGATGGTGCGAGACCACTCGTTTTACCGGAAAGCTGTGACTGGGGCTCTGGTCAGACACGTCCGAGTCGATTGCTGAGTACTCGAATGCACCAAAGCACATGGTCAACTAGGTTTAGTTTGGGGCCGCGACTGCTGCAACCCGGTGAGAATAGGCGAAAAAGCTTATTCTAACCGGGTCAAAAAGGTCCGTGTCGCAGCAGTCGCGTCCTAGTTGGGGTCATGGGACCTAGATGGAGGCCAGGAGACCGCCTCACCGCCTTGTAATAGTTCTAGCACACTAGTGCACGTGCTCCCGAAAGAATGCAGAGTTCATCAACCGTACGACTAGTGAAACTCCCTATCACATTGTCTCAAGCTTTTAGTGGTGCATTTTTTAGTTAACATAAAACGAGACAATCAGTAAACCACAGCAGAGTTTCGAAACTTTTATTGTGTCCTTGTGTTGGTTCGCTCACCACTGAGGCCACCTAGTGCTTACGAAGGTCAATTCTGACGTCATGGATGCTATTTATACATTTCTGACTAGAGCACTAAGTCAAGTCAAGTATGAAATCAAATCCAAGTTGCAAGACGGTTTTCCTTTGAATTCTCGCTGCGAAGCTCGCTTTCGCGACTATCATGAAATGGATTACAGCTTCCGAGAAACTGTATTATCTAGCCTAATGTAATAACTCGAAGGTATCGCATGCGCCCTGCTGTTGGTGCGGCGTAAGATGAGCGTAAGTCTTTTGTATCTGTCGCATAGGCATTCTCTCTTGCGGTGCGCTTCTGCTACAGATTCTCATTCGGCGTTTCGTTGTGTTTCATTTTCCCGCTACGGTTTGATATCGAAGTGGGTCAAACCCGCCGATGGATTTTGTTTGGAGCCGCCACCGAATCAAAGCACCCGCAAGCGAGTGACAAGAAAGCGGCCAGCTCCAAAAGACACCGGCGGTCCCGCGGATCTGGCTACGTCGGATCCAGTGGAATCACTTGCCCGCATCAATGGAGGCTCCTGGGTGGAAAAATTCGCTCCAAAGAGTCGTGTAAGCATCCATGAAATGAAGAGTGAATTTGTTGGCTGGTTGGCTTAGCATATTGTGGTGTTGAGTCGCAACTGGAGTGGCCAGTCAGCGCTACGTGTGGTTGTATGTGTACCATTCCTAGCTGTCCCTGTCCTTCGCGCGGCCGTAAAGTGTTGTTTGTTCTTGTTACGTTATTCCGTTTATTTCGTTCCCATCTATCTACAGTATCGCGTAGACTGAGCTATGCTCTCAAGAGAATACAAACATCGGAAGCAAACTTTGTTTACCGGACGATAAAAAATACTGACAGTCATCAAATCCTTCAAAACGATCTAGAAGCTATGAGTTACTGGTGAGACAAATGGCTAATGACCCTTAACTCAATTAAAGGCAAGGTAGGTTCATTCAGTCGTAACCATTCTACGTATAACTTTTCTTATTCTATAGGTAATACAGTGCAGCCTCTTGCTTCTTCATGCACTTACTTAAGAATAAATTAAATCTCTGTGCTCCCTTGGAAAGAGCAAATAACTACAGTTTGTGCTAAGGCATCTAAAACACTTGGATGTTTGCACCGTAACTTGCATCATTCTGACTTACATAAAGTAGCCTAATAAACCTTTGTTTGCCCACAGCTAGAATTTTGCCTCAGCAGTGTGGTCTCCTCATCAGAAATGCCTTATCAACAAGGCAGAGTCAGCACAAAATAGGGCTACTCGATTTACATAATTTAACTACAATGGATATCTCAGTGTTACTAACCTCAAGCAAGAACTAAATCTATAGCAATTAGAGGCCCATCGCTCTACTTCCTTTTATGTCTGCTTCATAAATACGTCCATGATCTGCAATGTCATCAATTACCCATTAACGTCATAATGCGTACATCACGACGTTTAGTAAATAGTCTAAGCATTGAACATATTTTTGGAAGTAGCCAAGGTTTTAATTCATCTGCACTGCCACGTGCCATTGCACTACAACATGATCTTTTCAAAGCCATTGTCATAATCACTGACCATGACCATTTTTGTGAGCAACTAAACAGACATTAATACACTTGCTTACAGTGTACTTGTGGACTAGCTAGACATTCTATTATTGTGTAACAATTTTCATTGGGACACTGCTTTACTGTTTTTGGCCTGTTTTGTACTTTTGTGTACATTGCCTGCGCTCAGATTAAGGTTTTTTTTGTTACTGTTTGTTCTGTACCTCATCACTGAATGCTCATTTGAAAGCTCTGTGATGTATTCTTAACAAAAAGAGAAAAAGGGCACAAAATAGTGGTACAGTTGTTCACAACGGCAGTATAACATATTGTCACGTCGCTCTAGGGGCCTAGAGATGGTTTATTGAGGTCTGAGCAACAGGGCTCTTACTAAGCATGTCGGTTAGGATTGCTTGCCAGAGCGGGGACACGCACGCACTTATTTTTTAGTGGTGTGATTCCTTTGCCTTGGCATACGACCCGCTACTAGAAGTAGGTGGGCAGGTGACAATATTCCTCCTCCAAAAGAAAAAAAAAGAGTATCGTGTCGATACTGTAAAGTTATTGCGAAAAAAAAACCCTTAAAAATACAAAACAGCTTAAACAATGGAAAAGGACACTAATAGTTAAATGATACACGCGAACAGTTCACCAATGATGAAGCAATAGCCATTGCACAAATAAAAACACAGGAAAAATGTTCTTTTAGGAACGCGCAAAATAAGGTTTCATGTGCAGATTGTGAACAATGTCAGAGCTCAGCTGTCTTTGTTGTACCCATGCTGACAATGCAGTGTCCGGAACCACTTCGTAGTTTACGTCACTCACGTGGCGCAACACTTTTGTATGGACCGAAGTATCTGCTTAGCAACTTTTTAAAGAGGCCACGGTGACGAACAGGGGTGGAAACCCGAACTTGGTCTAACGAACTATAAGATACATCATTGTTGACGCATGTTATAACGTCATTCATCGACCTGTTGCTGCTGACCAATGTGTAGCCAGGCGAGCTGGAGAGCTTATTCAGCGCGCTCTGCAAATTCTTTGGTGTCAGTTGTTAATCGATCGGTGTCTTCACAAGAAAGCATGGTATTCAGCGTCGTCTGAACTTTGCGGCTGTAGAGAAGGTGAAACGGTGTAAATCGCATTGTTTCTTGAACGGCGGTGTTATAAGTGAACGTCACATAATGCAAAATGTGATCCCGTGTTTTGTGTTGGACGTCGATGTACATGGAGATAATGTTTGCGACTGTCTTATTTAGTCGCTCGGTGAGCCCATTGCTCTGCAGATAGTAAGCAGTCGTCAATCAATGCCTGGTGTTGCTCAGTTGAAAAACTTCATCCATAAGCTGTGCAGTGAACGTTGTTCCTCTGTCGGTTATCACTGTAGATGGAGCACCGTGGCACAGAGCAATGTGGCACTTGAAGAACTCCGCTACCTCAGAAGCCGTGGCTCGTGGTATCACCTCTGTCTCAGCATAGTGTGTCAGATAGCCAGTTGCAACAATGACTCATTTGTTGTCGTTGGTCGATAAAGGAAATGGGCCAAGAATGTCTATTCTGACTTGGTCAAATGGCTTGTGAGGTGGATCAATTGGCTGAAGTAATCCTGCCGACTTGCTTGGTGGTGACTTGCGACGCTGGCATTCACGACAGCTCTTAATGTACTGCTTCACGCTTGCTGAAAGTCCGGGCCAGTAGTGCGTTTCGCATACTCTGGCGAGCAGTCACGAGTAACCTAAATGACCAGATGTGGGCTTGTCATGACACGCGGAGAGAACTTCATCCAGCATGTCCTTCGGAACGACAAGGAGGTAAGCGCGGCTCGTAAAACGGCCGTTTTTCTTGTACAGGACATAATCGCAGAGGCAGAAAGACGTTGCAACGCGAGACAGATGGCGAGGTATAACGGTGCTACGACCCTCTAAATAGTCGATGAGCGGTTGAATCTCTTCATTCTCTCGCTGCCGTCTGCTCAAGTCCGAAGAGCTAAGGGCGCCCAGAAAACCATCACCGTTCTCTTCTTCCTGATTGACTAAATGTATGGGCGCATGCGACAGTGTATCAGCGTCTTCGTGCTTCCGTCCAGACTTATAGACGATGGTCACATCAAATTCTTGTAGACGCAAGCTCCACGCTCCACAGGGCCAGTCGTCCTGAGGGATCACGTATGTTCCCCAACCAGCAGAGGGCATGGGGGCGTGGTGGTCCGTCACCACTTTGAATGGACGACCATGGAGGTACGGGCGAAACTTGGAGAACGGCCATAGTACTGCGAGACACTATTTTTCTGTGGTTGTGTGATTCACCTAAACACGAGACAGTGAGTGACTGGCATAGGCTATGACTCATCTTTTCCATGTTGATGCTGGACGAGCATGCGCCAAGGCCGATGTTACTGGCGTCAGTGTGCACCTCTGTGTAAGCATCATCGTCAAAATGCGCAAGAAGGGGGGCGGACTGCATCCGCTGTCGTAGTTCAGCAAAAGCAGCCTGTTGCTCAGTAGCCCATACAAACTGTGTGTGGTCTTGTGTAAGGCGAGTCAAGGGTTCCGCTATCTTCACAAACACTAATAAATTGTCAATAGTAGACGCACAAGCCCAAAAAGAACTGAACAGCCTTTTTGTCTGTAAGAGGCGGAAACGCAGCTACAGCGACAAGTTTGTCGAGATCGGGTTGGACTCCTTTGGCGTTCACTACATGGCCAAGGAACTTGAGCTTTTCATAACCAAAGTGACACTTTTGCGGTTTGAGTGTAGGATCTGCTGATCAAATAGCCTCTAGCACACTCCTGAGGCTGGAAAGATGTTGCTGGAAAAACGACTACATCATCAAGGTATACGAGACAAGTCTGCGACTTCAGACCAATAAGCACTGTCTCCATCATTTGCTGAAAATGATGCGGGCACGGTGTCCATTGCGCTGGAAAGGAAGGACTCGAAATTCATTCAAGCCGTCAGGGGTGTGGTCTCGCTTGTAAACCTCAATCTGCCAGTACCCACTTTTTAAATCCGAAGAGGAAAAATAGGGGGCACGGCGTAATCAGCCTAACGAGTCGTCGATGCGTGGCAGCGGATACACATTCTTTTTAGTCACCCTGTTCATCTTCCGGTAATCGACGCAAAGACGTAGTGTTCCGTCTTTCTTTTTGACTAGGGTGACCGGAGAGAACCATGCGCTGTTAGAAGGCTCGATGATGCCGTCGTCAAGCATTTCTCGAACTTGTGTATGGATGGCTTCTCGTTCCTTCGTTGACATGCGGTAAAGCTGCTGGTGTACTGGCGGGGGTCGTCGTAAGTGGTGATTCTGTGCCTAATGATCGAAGTCTGCCACACCTTAGAGGAAGTAGCGAAGCATGACTTGAATTCAAACAAGAGTTTTCGCACCGCTGTTTGGTTTTCTGGTGAGAGGTCAGAGTTAATATCGATGTTGTTTAGAGACGTATCGATGGCCTCCACTGCGTCCGACGTGCAGCAGGTTGAAACGGTTCCTAATTTATCTGGAAACACTAAAGAAGTGCCACAGATAAGGTGTCGGTGATCGTTACTGAAATTTATAACCGGCAGTTGAGATCGGCCATACTCCTAGCCACACAGACACCTCGGGTCAGCAGGTATTCAAAATTCCTTTCTGCAATCGATTCACCATTTCGCAATCCACAGCATGTGACGTCGACTATAACACTGGCTCTTGGAGGGAGCGTTACACTTTCAGCAGAAACACGAAGTACGCCAGCACACTGTTGATCGGCCTGCTTGCCGATTGCTCGGTGGGCTGAGAAAGTGATGCGATGCTCTTGAAGATCAATGACAGCTCCATACTCCTGCAGAAAGTCAACACCAAGAATAATGTAGCGTGAACATTCATGGAGCAGAAGGAAACTTGCTACGAAAGTAAAACCGCTGACCCGAACTCTACTCATGCAGGTTTCAAACGAAGAGACGGTGTGGCCACCAGCAGTTCGAATCATGGAGCCATGCCAGGGCGTGATTACCTTCTTTAGTAGTGTGGTCATTTTCCCGCTTAGTATCGAATAGTCAGCCCCGGTATCCACCAAAGCACCAACTGCATAGCTGTCAATCAGCACCGGTATATCCAGAGAAAGCTGCACATACCGTTCAGTCGAATCTACACCCTTGCCTGTTAGTATTGATCAGAGGTCTTCAGCACGTCCACTGCCAGCGACCTCGCATCCAAAGGTCGCTTTCGTTAGTTTTCCCGGCGGGGACTTAAGGACCACGCGCCAGCATCTCGCTGGGGCGGAGATGAAAAGCGCCTCGGCGACGGGGAGTGCGACTGCCAACCAGAAGGCAGTGACATGCATTGCTCAGCCCGGTAGTCCTCAATGTCCCGGGCTCACTGGCCATACCGAGGAGGCGCTGGCGCTGAATATACTGAAAAGCTCCGCAGCCCGAGGCGCCGTTATAAGCTCTGGCAGTACAAATGGTCTGCTTCACCGCAGTGCTAGCACAGAGGTCGGCGGTCAGGAGTGCGCCAAACATCAAATTTCCGAGGCGATGCGCGTCTGTCGTCGAGGTAATGTGCTGGTTGTTTGGCAAGATGTGCAGGACTGGCATAAAGAAGGGCGGCAGCGTGCATGTGTTCTCGTAGTACTGGAGCGGCTGCGCCGACTGCAGTGAAGCCGTAGGAGGGGCCTTAACGAACAGCGGGGAAGAGGAAGAAGGGCGCTTCAAGGCTTCCGCATAGGTTGCACGGTGGTAGTCAGCCAGGGTGGGTGTGGTGATATCCAGAATTACAAGGTCGTAAACGGCCTGCTGCATCTCGTCCTTGACGATGCTCGCAATGGACTCACCATAGGGAGTGGTGGTGATGCTTTTTGCAGCTCCTTGCGTACTATAGAGTGGATAAGGCCGCACAGACACTCGGTGTTGCTTCCAATAGCCCTGAGAACTTGAACAGCAGACGTGTTGTTCACTTGCCGCTCATACAGCGTGGATCGATGCTGAAGCATCTTTTTTATCGTGACGGCCTCGGACAAAAACTCGTCGACTGTTTTCGGAGGGCTCCGTACAAGGTCAGCCCAAAGCTGCTCCTTAACTCCCCGCATCAGGTGACGCAACTTCTTCTACTCTCTCATTCTCTGATCAGCCCGTCTGAACAGGCGCGTCATATCTCCGACATAGGTTATGACATAGGTTTTTTTGGGCTGACAGTTTCATTGGGATGCGGGCCTGGATTGCTCGTTCCGCTCGTTCATGGCGATCAGCGCTTGTGTAAGTATCCAGCAGCCGACGGCAGAATTTGGGCCACGACGTCATCTCATGGTTCAGGTACCACGTACATGCTTCGTCCTACAAGTAGAAGTACACACGTCGTAGTTTGGCTGCGTCGTTCCATTCGTTCAAGGCAGCCACGTGCTCGAAGTCCACTAACCAGTCCGCGACGTCTTCGAGCTCAGTGCCATGAAACTCCTGTGGAGTTTCGAAGGTGTGCCAAGTTGCTGTTGGGTTTTCCATACCTGTGAAAGTGGTTTGAATGGATGTGCTCGTCATACTGACATGAACTGTAACGTCAGCTTCGGGTGGTAATCCCCTGATCCTGCGCAGCACAGAGTGCTAGCACAGAGGTCGGCGGTCAGGAGTGCGCCAAACATCAAATTTCCGAGGCGATGCGCGTCTGTCGTCGAGGTAATGTGCTGGTTGTTTGGCAAGATGTGCAGGACTGGCATAAAGAAGGGCGGCAGCGTGCATGTGTTCTCGTAGTACTGGAGCGGCTGCGCCGACTGCAGTGAAGCCGTAGGAGGGGCCTTAACGAACAGCGGGGAAGAGGAAGAAGGGCGCTTCAAGGCTTCCGCATAGGTTGCACGGTGGTAGTCAGCCAGGGTGGGTGTGGTGATATCCAGAATTACAAGGTCGTAAACGGCCTGCTGCATCTCGTCCTTGACGATGCTCGCAATGGAACTCACCATAGGGAGTGGTGGTGATGCTTTTTGCAGCTCCTTGCGTACTATAGAGTGGATAAGGCCGCACAGACACTCGGTGTTGCTTCCAATAGCCCTGAGAACTTGAACAGCAGACGTGTTGTTCACTTGCCGCTCATACAGCGTGGATCGATGCTGAAACATCTTTTTTTATCGTGACGGCCTCGGACAAAAACTCGTCGACTGTTTTCGGAGGGCTCCGTACAAGGTCAGCCCAAAGCTGCTCCTTAACTCCCCGCATCAGGTGACGCAACTTCTTCTACTCTCTCATTCTCTGATCAGCCCGTCTGAACAGGCGCGTCATATCTCCGACATAGGTTATGACATAGGTTTTTTTGGGCTGACAGTTTCATTGGGATGCGGGCCTGGATTGCTCGTTCCGCTCGTTCATGGCGATCAGCGCTTGTGTAAGTATCCAGCAGCCGACGGCAGAATTTGGGCCACGACGTCATCTCATGGTTCAGGTACCACGTACATGCTTCGTCCTACAAGTAGAAGTACACACGTCGTAGTTTGGCTGCGTCGTTCCATTCGTTCAAGGCAGCCACGTGCTCGAAGTCCACTAACCAGTCCGCGACGTCTTCGAGCTCAGTGCCATGAAACTCCTGTGGAGTTTCGAAGGTGTGCCAAGTTGCTGTTGGGTTTTCCATACCTGTGAAAGTGGTTTGAATGGATGTGCTCGTCATACTGACATGAACTGTAACGTCAGCTTCGGGTGGTAATCCCCTGATCCTGCGCAGGCTGGTCCGATCAACGGGAGTGTTGACTCGCACTGGAGTTGTGGTACGCCTTCCAGGAGGGGTCTGAAATATCCGTGAGAGGCTACCCAGCACCTCCACAAATCGTCACGTCGCTCCAGGGGTCTAAAGAAGGTTTATTAAGGTCTGAGGAACAGGGCTCTTACCAAGCTCGTTGGTTGGGCTTGCTCGCCAGAGCGGGGACATGCGTGCACTTCTTTCCTTAGTGGTGTGAACATTCGCCTTGGCATACGACCCACTATTAGAAGTAGGTGGGTAGGTGATAATATACAGCTGTGATGAGGCGGCATTGCACTCTTTGCTGAGAGTACAGAGTGGGGGAAAAGGAAAGACAAAGATTGTACATAAAATAAGCACTTGTGCACTATGTGCATCCTCTGTTTTTTCCCCTTTGCACACTAGGTTCTTTACAAATATCAAATGTAAGAATTCTTCACCACCACTACATAAATTGCATACCTTTCGTCAAAGCCTGAATGTCGCTTGTTAGGAAGTGCTTCGTGTTGTCTGCTCATTAAGCTTTCATGTGGCAAGGGTAGTAATGTGAGTTTGTCAAAAATTTTACCGCACTGAAATGTTTATTGGGTAGTGTCTTGTTGTACACACAGTTCTTTATTCAAGCTAGCTGGCATGGTGCAAATGTGACTCTCAAAATGGCCCTGTATTATTTATGAAACATTTTTGTTTTGCAGGACGATTTAGCTGTCAATCGGGATAAAGTGGACCAAGTTTCTCGTTGCTTCAAGGAAAAACTCAAAGCCTCTGCAACGGTAAAGTATGGAGTAGCTTTACTTATTAATGCGATGGTATGAAAGAGCTCGTTTCACAGAAGCTTTGTTGTTCAAGTTGTTGTCGATGTTGACATCATTGCTTATGAGTGAAAAATCATCTTGTCCTCAACCGAAAAGTGGAGAAAAATGCAAAGAAAATAAATAAATAAAATGTTTGGTATGAATGAGAATTGAATCCAGGCCCTCTAGAGGCAAGCAGATGTACTACTCCAGAGCTATGCTATTTGTTTAAACAGCTTTGGAAAAAAACACTGTGTGATTGTCATTTAGTGGAAGTAGTCCGCTCAATGCAATGTGAGATAGCATGGCAGAAATGTAGAATCATGCCAGAACATTGGATTGTATAACAAATGGTTGATTTAAAGGCCCAACAGTTGCAAAGTGCTCAGACATAATTAATCATCAGCTGCAAAAACATCAATGAAGAAGAGCAGCTGCATAGGTTCGCATATTGCCTTACAGACGTTTAGTGGGCCCTTTGTTGATTTGCAAAAAAGGTATCTTGGCGTAGTGGGCACTTAACAACTGTTCTTGCTGTAGGTATTCTGGGATAGCTTGAAACGGCCAATGATAAGCATACAGTAATTCGTATCCTTACAGCATAGTTGAGAGGTGCACAAAGTACCGAACCTATGTCAGCAGTTCAGAAGGCGATATACGTAATGCCCAATTACGCTATTGAATTCTATTCTTGATGATGGTGATGATATGTGGGGTTTAACGTCCTAAAACCACCGTATGATTATAAGAGATGCCAAGTGGAGGGCTCCGGAAATTTCGACCATGAGGGTTCTTCAACGTGCACCCAAATCTGAACACACGGGCCTACAACATTTCCGCCTCCATTGGAAATGCAGCCGCCACAGCCGGGATTTGATCCTGCGACCTGCGGGTCAGCAGCCGAGTACCTTAGCCACTAGACCACCGCGGCGGGGCTCTATTCTTGAAGGCGAAGCTCAAGCGTCTCTTAAGGTTTCGTTTTTTTTATCCACTAAAACCTTCATGGTTAAAAGGGTCCTGCAACACTTCTTCAAGTAACATTTAAAAGTAATTTTGAAATTATATGTGGGCTTCACAAAAAGTTTAAAAACATACTCATCATTAAGGTTAGTGTAAACATCGGCTGAATATGTATGATTATATGTATCAGCTCAATATAACATCAATTCATGTGGTATTAATTTATGGAAAATTAATTTTTTTAGCCGTGGTTTCGAAAGCACATCACAGGTCCCCAGTGATAGAGTCGTGAAAGGGATGGAGTGGTGAAGCGTGACTTATGAAATGTGACATCAATGCTGGCCGAGTCTAGTTAAGGTGTTATATTTTCTTGAAGTGCAGTAAGACCTATTTTCTGTGCGAATCAACGCTCGGTGAACGGTGGCACGAAATAAAGCAAGTGAAACACATCACACTCCCCGTTTTCAGAATGCAGGTGCAGTCATTCTTCTTTGCGGACCTGCTGGTTCGGGAAAAACAGCGACGCTACGCTGCCTTGCAGCAGAAGAAGGCTTTACCGTCTGTGAATGGATCAACCCAGTTTCCCTTACTGCGAGAATGGGTATGCTATGCTATTGAGAAGGCGTAGTGTGCCATATAGCATGCTGTGGTATGCTGCATAGAAAGCATTATGCTATAAGAACCCTAGTTACAGCACAACAATGAGAAGATAGTTTTCTAAGTATAATTTGCGAGATACTTTTATCTCAAATTTCTTGAATAAAAGGTTTCTGCAATCAAATATTGAAACAAGGCCCCTGTTTTTCTTTTTCTTTCTTTTCTGTTATCTTCAGTAACTAAAACTTGATATGGCTATTTTTTTAGCACTTAAAACAAGAAATACAGATGGTAAATAACAACAGATGTAACCTGTGTGATGACGTTTATTGAACCGGAAAAGTCGCAACGATGTCGCAACGAAAAATGGCCGTACGACAAGTCTGGCAAAAGGCAGCCCAGGTTCTCGTGCAATCAGAGCACGGGGTTTTTCCTTCTCTTTGGAAGGCGCATACACGTTAGTGCGTATGCTCCACTACAATACCCCCCCCCCCCCCCCGGGTTGAAGAGTAGCCATTCTGGCGACTCAGGGAGTAGGCACAATGAGGGGGTCGTAGTAGGGCTTGACTACACCTGTAATTAGCAGATGGCTAGGAATAAGGATTTAATGCTGTGCCATTTTGGTAGGAAATTTCAAAGTTGAGAATTCGATGCCTCTCTTGCCCCCATCAGTATGGAGGCGAAATGTGAAGCACATGTCAACATTGCTTTAGATTTGCTTCCCATAAATGATGGCAATTTTGCACTCTTTTTCTAAAAAAAACCAATGAAATAACTATGCCAGTGCCATTTGTTACATTAAAAGACCCAGAAACAGGAAACCCGATCTTTCAGCAAAATTTTCAGCCAGTACTTAGCAGCTTTAAACTGAAAATAACATGTGCAACTGTATTGACCACTGCACGCTAAAGTAGTCATAAACCCTTTAATATCATTGCAATTCTGCCCGAAAAACCAAAAATGCTAGAAGCACAGCCATTTGGTTTCATACTCATTTTGATTGTGTAAGGTACTTTTGAATGACATTATTATCCTCATTAGTTTAGCTAACTATCATGTAAATTTATACTGAGATATACAGTAATTAAGTCATCATGTGACTAATACCATTTTCATTGTTACTCTTGCACAAAGTGCATTTGTATATTACTACAGGACATTGTAATATTTTGAGAGCTGAAGTTGTATTTAACATAACTAACGTGGAGTTTATTGATTGATATGTGGGGTTTAACGCCCCAAAACCACCATATGATTATTAGAGACGCCGTAGTGTACGGCTTCGAAAATTTAGACTGCCTGGGGTTCTCTAACGTGCACCCAAATCTGGGCACAGAGGCCTACAGCATTTTTGCCTCCATCGAAAATGCAGCTGCCGCAGCCGGGTGTTTATTTATGAAGTTAATTATTGAGTAACCTTTATTTTGATCAAATCCTGTGTCGTGGGCTTGTGCTACCCATGTTTCATTTCTTTAGAATTCAATACAAACTGGGATTTTGGAAGAAGCAGCGGACAAGTTGAGGAGTTTGAAGACTTCCTTTTTCAGTCGAGTCGCTATGCCTCACTTCTCACTGGAGACTCTGCAAAGAGGGTTGTGCTTGTAGAGGTAAGAGTTTGTAACTGCATGAGCTACACAGCAGCTACACAGCAAGGCTAAATGACAAGACTTGCCTCATTTGTGCTATTGCTGCCTTACTAAAGCCTCCGCTCATGTTGTTGACATGTACACTCAAACCTCCATATAACGATGTTTTATCTTACACAAAATTAAGTTCATTATACATGTATTTCATAAAATTTATTATAAAAGTACATGTAGCTAACACTATATCTATTGCAAGACTATTCTTCATTTACTTCGTTATAACCAATATTTCATTACATCAGGGTTCGTTATATCGAGGTTTGAGTGTAGTCCGCCTATAGGGTTTTGCCATTTGAGTTGTTATGCAAAGTTATTATGCCCCTTAACTCATTGGGCACTTTGTACACGACTTTGTACACAATATGTTTGTTCTACTTGCGTCGTTTAGTCGCTAAAAAGCAATGTACGTATAGTTTGGATGAATTGAACCTTTTGAATAGTAAATTATGCCTTTATTTAGCTTAAGGTTTGCAGTGTATGAATTGTTATGTAGGCTTATGCCACAGGAGCGAAAGAAAGACACGCCTGAACGATAACCGATGCCAGCCAGGAACGCGAGCCGTGGCTTCACGTGCCACGACCTAGCGCCTTCTTTATTTTCTTCTGTCGCCATCGCGCGCTCTCCGGTTTGCGCGCCGCCCGAACGAGGGCGCTACAGGGCCCCCCGTGTAGACTGGAAGTCGGAATGTGACATGCCGTTTGTGGTGTTCCAACGGAAGATCAGTCGTAGATGAGAGGCTTTCTAGGGCGGTCTCCAGGTACGCCGGCTTGAGTCGGTCCAAGCTGACTGTCTCTTCACGGCCGTTCTGAAGTAGAGTGGCAGTTTTGGGGGTGCGGTGAAGGACGCGGAATGGTCCGTCGTAGGCTGGTGTCAAAGGTGGTCTGACCGCGTCGTGGCGCACGAAAACATGTGTTGCAGTGGCCAGATCAGGGTGGACGAATATGGTCTTGTGTTCGGAAGGTCTGGGTGGAGTGGGCCGGAGGTCTTGAACGCAGTCGAGGAGGCGTTGTAGGAATTGCTGTGGCTGGTCTGGTAGCTTCGTCGACGTGAAGAAGTCTCCCGGAAGCCGTAGAGAAGTGCCATACACCAGCTCTGCTGTTGAGCACTGCAGGTCTGCCCGGATGACAGCTCGTAAACCTAAGAGCACCAGTGGCAAGGCATCAACCCAGGTGGCTCTATTGAGGCGGGTAGTCAAGGCGGTCTTCAGTTGTCGGTGAAGGCGTTCCACCATGCCGTTGGCGCAGGGATGATAAGCCGTGGTACGGCAATGTCTGGCTCCGAGGATGCGATTAAGGCAAGTAAACAGCGAGGACTCAAACTGACGTCCACGGTCTGTTGTCACGGTGCCAGGACAGCCAAAACAGGATACCCACGTAGAAATGAAAACGCGGGCAACTGTCTCGGCTGTGATATCTTGAATTGGAACTGCCTCTGGCCAGCGTGTGAAGCGATCGACCATGGTCAATATATAACGGTACCCCTGAGACACTGGTAGAGGGCCCACAATGTCTAGATGAACATGGTCGAAACGACGGCCGGGTGGAAGGAAAGGTTGGGGCGGCGTCTTAGTATGACGGGAGACCTTTGTCATCTGGCAGGGCAGGCACATGCGCGTCCAAGCGCGCACATCACCGTTGATTCCGGGCCAGACATAGCGCTGGGTGAGAAGACGCTGAGTAGCCCGAATGCCAGGGTGACAGATGTCGTGTAAGGAGTGGAAAACAGTGCGTCGTAATGAAGCGGGAACGAAAGGGCGGGGAAGGTCAGCTGAGACATCGCACCACAAGCGCTCAGATGATAATGGATGAGGCACCAGGCGTAGTCGGAGAGAACGGGGGTTCTCCAGAAAAGCGGCAAGCTCTCTATCATCCTGCTGTGCCGAGGAGAATGAGGCCCAGTCGATGGTTGGCGGTGGAGAGTCAACCGCGGCTATACGAGAAAGGGCATCTGCGGCGGTGTTGTCAGCTCCTTTCACGTGGCGGATGTCAGTCGTGAACTCCGATATATAAGCCAGATGGCGCAGTTCACGGGGCACGTACTTGGATGAGTTAGTGCGGAAAACATACGCCAGTGGCTTATGGTCAGTCAGCACGTAAAACGAGCATCCTTCCAGGAAATGCCGAAAGTGCTGTATTGCAGCGTAGATGGCTAGTAGTTCCCGGCCAAAGACGCTGTAGCGGGTCTCAGCAGGAAGTAGCTTCCGAGAGTGAAACGACAAGGGTCTCCACTCGGAGTTAATGCACTGCTGTAAGACGGCTCCGACGGCCACGCTGGATGCGTCCACCAACAACCGAGTAGGGGCGTTGCTGCGTGGATGAATAAGAAGCACGGCATTAGCGACCGCTTGCTTAGCAGCAGCAAAGGCGGCCTGGGCCTCTGACGACCAAGGAATGGCGGAGGACGGGCCGGCAGTCGACCGAAGGAGGTCGGTGAGCGGTCGTAGCAGTTCGGCACAGTGTGGTATGAAGCGCCTGGAAAAATTCACAAGCCCCAGGAATTGGCGTAATTGGCGCAGTGTTGTAGGCTGAGGATAATCCTGAATTGCTTTAACGTGGGACCGGAGAGGGCGTATTCCTTTGGATGATATGTGATGGCCCAAGAACTCGAGCTCAGATGCGCCGAAAGTACACTTAGAGGCGTTCACAACGAGGCCGTACTGCTGAAGACGTTGGAACAGAGCGCATAGATGGTGCTCATGATCTTCAGGTGTGCGGCTGGCGATGAGGACATCGTCAAGGTACGCAAACACAGTAGGAAGACCCCGTGTGACCTCAGAAATGAACCGCTGGAAAGTTTGAGCCGAATTGCGGAGTCCAAAAGGCATCCGCACGTATTCAAACAACCCAAAGGGCGTCGTGATGGCGGTCTTAGGTATGTCGGCGGGCTCGACAGGAATCTGGTGGTACGCCTTAACAAGGTCCACTTTGCTGAAAATTGTGCAGCCGTCGAGGCGCGATGTAAAATCATGGATGTGAGGTAGAGGATAGCTGTCGTGGACAGTCTTGGCGTTCAACGCTCGATAGTCCCCACAAGGACGCCAGTCACCAGGATCACGCTTTGGCACCAAATGCAGCGGGGAAGCCCAAGCGCTTGACGACGGGCGGATAATGCCGAGCTGCAGCATGTGGTCAAACTCCCGTTTAGCAATAGCTAGGCGGTCTCCGCACAGGCGGCGTGGTCGAGCGGCTGCCGGTGGACCCCGGGTGACGATGTGGTGTGTCACCGTATGTTTAGGCGGCTGAGTGAGGTTGCACGGTTTAGTTAACTCCGGGAAACTCGCCAAGATTTTTTCGAACGGTGAGGAAGGTATCAGCATGCGGATGGCCATTGGAGCGATGTCGGACAGGACTCCCGAGATGGAGAGACGAGTCTTACCATCTATGAGGCGGCGCCGCCGCACGCTGACGTCCAAATCGAAGTATGAGAGGAAGTCCGAGCCGATGATCGGTTGAACCACGTCTGCGATGACGAAAACCCACCGGAAAACGCAGCGAAGGCCGAAGTCGAGGGTGAGAGATCGGAGCCCATACGTTGCTATAGACGAGGCGTTGGCAGCACGAAGCACTTGCCCCTGTGACTTTGAACGATCAGCCTTAGTCGGGGGCACAACGCTAATTTCCGCGCCCGTATCTATAAGGAACCTGGCGCCCGATAGCTGGTCCGTGACCATGAAAAGGCGGCTGGGACGAGAAGGGAGATCACACGCCGCCGTCAGTGATCCCGGCAGGCGTTTCCCTGCCACGAACATGGGGGTGTACACTTCGTGGCTCGGTGTCGAAAACGTTGATGGTACCAGCAGAGGGGTGGAGGGCTGGGACTCCGAGCATCTCGTGTGCGTGGAGGAGCTCGACGACCGGAACGAGGCGAACGAGTCTCCTGCAGGGGGCTCCGGAGTGCGGCAATGGAGGCGGCGAGTTCGTCGATGCGGGCCTCAAGGCGCGAAATCGCTGTGTCTGCTGGTGGTAAGACAGCGTTGACAGATGGGGAGGTCGCTTCATGAACCTGATCGGCGAGCTCCGCCAGGCGGTCGAGATTGACGTCGCCGGCCGCCGCGAGGACGAGGCAGATTGGCTGAGAAAGGCGTTGGAGGAAGAGCTCGCGAAGCAACGCTGAGTGGGCAGAGGCGTCGTGTTTCCCAAGAAGCTGTCGCATTCGGCGCAGTAGTTGGGAGGGGCGCCTGTCGCCAAGGTCCCCCTCTGCAAGGAGCTGCTGTAGGCGGACGCGTTCCGAAGGCATGAATCGTTCCAGCACCTTGGTTTTAAGGTGCTGATATGGCGTAGTGTCCGAGGGGTTGGAGAGGACGTCGGAGAGCTCGCTGGCAACGTCAGGAGGAAGGACGGAGACTACGTGGTAGTAGCGTGTCGTTTCCGAGGCGATGCGGTACAGGGAGAATCGCGCCTCGACCTGATGGAACCAAACTTGCGGGTCCTGTGGCCAGAAAGATGGGAGACGCAGTTGCACGGCCGAGACGTCCTGCGGACGTGAGGCTTGTTCGGTTGAGGGTGCATTCGAGTCAGTCATTGTCTTCGTCCGGGTCACCACTTGTAGGCTTATGCCACAGGAGCGAAAGAAAGACACGCCTGAACGATAACCGATGCCAGCCAGGAACGCGAGCCGTGGCTTCACGTGCCACGGCCTAGCGCCTTCTTTATTTTCTTCTGTCGCCATCGCGCGCTCTCCGGTTTGCGCGCCGCCCGAACGAGGGCGCTACAGTTACACATGATGATTTTGTGAAGGCACTACCACATTTGACGGGCTGCTTTATGCGAGCCATACATAATTTTATTTTCTTAGAATTAATATACAATAAAAGCTTATTAATGTGAATTTAACGGGACAGGGAAAAAATTTAAGAATTAACTGAATACTGAATTATTGAAAGTATGGAGAAAGTAATAAACAAGTGTCCATTAGACGAATGCATTTGTTTTGTATTTAATGAATATATGTATATTCAGTACTTATATTGTATTATAGCGGTGAAGCCATAATTTTTATCATTCACGACTTTGATCACAGTCTCACTGCCACTCAAAACCCCCCGTTCAAAGCCGAAATGTGCTCCGAACTCTCTTTATTAAACCTCTGAGGGTCACAATTTTTTGTGAAATGCATGCTAAAATCGTGTAATTATTTATTGATGAAATAAATTCTCTATGTCATTCTATGTCAGAAAAAAAATTGTCTTAAATTTTTTTTTTCGTGACCTCAATGTGACAAATTATTTTTTGTTACATGCACATGGTTTATTCGTGGGTAACATCATACAAAGTGCCCCCTCCCTAAACACTTGCACAACTTTTTATAAATAAAAATTACGCATTGCATCAAAAATAGCTTATAGACCTACAGAAATAAGTATACCAGAGTACTTTTTCGGTAAAAAAAAAAAAGTTTTTCCTCGAACACTTAACACTGGGGAATAGTCACTTTTTATCCAATCCGGATCATCTCACCGTTCAGGCTTTCGAGATGTTCCATCTGGAAAGCAAAATGAGTGGAAAAGCTATAATAATCCTTCGTCTTTATTGTCAACGAGGCTGAATTCGTTTTTCTGAGTCCCCAAAACTGGAAACGCAGCCATGGCAGTATCGTTCGTGTAATTTAGCGCCACACGGAAACGGATGTAGTTGCGCCTCAAGAATAACTAAACAAGAGAGTAAGAAGTGGTCACCCTTTTAGAGATTACAAACCTGACAGCCATCAGCTTTGTGGGCGTAGGAAGCGATCGCCACCTTAAGGACGAAACTGGAACCAGCTGCACCACGTACGCGTGTTCAGATGCGCAAGTAAAAGCTGGCACGCCGCTTTGGGAAGAAAAAAAAGAAATGGAGGGACATTGGCAGCACAAGGAAAAGATTTCACATATTCACTAAGCTTGGAAGTAACAGTAATGATTGAAAAGAAGTGTGGGTTTTAAATCAGCCACCCAGTAGGCACGCTCGAATGTGCAAGTGATAGCTGATGCATCGTTGTGGGAAGCAAAAAAAAAAAAAACTTAAACACATCAGTGCATAAAAAAATTAATAAAAAACACGTACTTCCAAAGCTTGGCAGCACATGCAAAGCAAGAGAAATGATAGAAAAAGATGCTTGTTTTAAACAAACAGGTAGTGCTGTACATGTACGGTGAAAACTCTTTGGTGCCTGTTAGGTGATGCCTTGCATGTGCAAAGAAAACTGTCAAAGGGCTGAGTACCGTCACCACAAATGCCACCTCATGCACATGGCGATAATGTTTTTTGTTGAAAAAATGGCTGGCAGTGGAGCTTTTTTCCGCCAAAATGTAGCTGGTGACCTTATTGGCTTGCTGCTCATGTTCATCAGATTCCAGCATATTTGAGTTGGGGGGTTGTGCTCGTGTTAAACGAAGCTAATGAGTGCCACATTTGTGGTGGATGAAACCGTCATCACTAAGAACAGGATCACTGCGTTCACTCATTTTGGTTGTTTGTGAACCCCATTTTTGCTCCTTCACATTGCACATCTGGAGCACCTTGTGCTTGTTGCAATCATCCGAAAGAACTGGGTTGTGGTCAAATATGATAAAATCAACAAGAGTTTCATCCTATTAAGCAATACATATAGGGGCTAGAGAACACATCTGAATTATCTGAGGTCATATTGACGAGCTTTTGCTGTAACTGTAAACAAAATCGACTATATCTATATGATGAAATTTGATTACTTTTATACAAATATGGAACATGAATGATGTCAGGAGAAAAATATGTTTAATTAGCAGTTAATTAACTTTGATTACACCAAAGCACGCAAGTCAAACTATTGTATGATTATGTTTGTTGTTATTGAACATAGAGTACCTTTGAGTAATGGGCAAATTTGATGCATTAGTGAATGGTTGATTATTTTATACAAATATGGAACATGAATGACGTCAGGAGAAAAATATGTTTAATTAGCAGTAATTAACTTTGATTACACCAAAGCATGCAAGTGAAACTATTTTGTGATTATGGTTGTTGCTATTGAACATCGAGTACCTTTGAGTAATGGGCAAATTTGATGCATTAGCGAATGGTTCTCGATGGGTCACGCTTGAAAGAGTTAAGTGCCCAAAATAAATTATGCTGGCACCTGCTAGAGCCACATGTGAGGCTCTTAGAGCCCATCTATAGCTTATACAACCAATATTTTTAATGACAGCTGTGTTACAGGGGTTTTGCCACACTTTTCAAACATGGCTAGAAAACGGTGCAGTCTAGGCTGCTGCTAAGGTGTGAGCAAGCTGTTATTGCACCACACACAACCGAGAAATCGCAATTCTTTAAATTTACTATTCAATTTTCTCGTGTACCTGGGGTTTTATGTGGGTTGGGGGAGAGGGCATATCTTCTTCATGTTTTACATTGAGCAATAAAAGCAAGAAAAACGAGACAAATCAATAAATTTCATGCTTGTACATATGCAATGTCCTATTCACACAAGATTGGAATGGCAAATAAAAACATGACACAATGCAAACAGTAATAGGTAATCATAAAATGCAACTGGTGAACTGCAGATTTTGTGTCAAAAACTGTCAATATTGTGTCAGAAACTGCCAAACATTGCTTTCCCTCTCCTCGGCAATGTTGTCAACAACGATGCAGCAGGTGCAAGCAAGCGGACATGGCAATTATTGGTTGATTTAACAAAGGCTGTGGCAGTCGAATCTCAGAGGCCAAATGTTGTGTAGGTGCTACAGTTTCCCACAGGGCAATACCACATTTCACCGATGTGTGCATCTGAACTGGAAAAACCGGCCAATTAGATCAAAGAACTGAAAATGCACAAAGCCAGGGCATGAGGTGACGGGACATAACCTTTTGGTTGTTATTTCACACTTGGTGTGCCCCTGCCCCTCCTCTATGTAGCTTCGAGTGTGTTCATGGCAATGAATTAAGAAAGAAATAGATTTCGTGTGAAAAACTTTGCGAGTTTATACCAGTACTTGATGTACACATATTAGAAGATTCTGCGAGAGCAGATCCATGGAGCAACAGTGTTCAGTACTGAGGTCTTTCTGCGATAACTTTGAAAGGTGTTGTGGGGTCCTTGAAGTTTCTGCATCTTTAGTTGAAAAATTGTATTGCTGCACAAACTTGAAGGAAAACAAGGGAGACAGGAAAGAGCGCAGACTACCAACTGTTTATTGTCGTTTCTTGAAGCCAATATATACGCATGCTACGCTGCGCTTCCACGATGCGCCTAAAACCAAAGATGCCGCAAACAAAGCCGACCCAAAACAAATCAAATCAAAATTGACTGCCACCACAATGACAAAAGTGAAAAATGGCAAAATACAAAAGTGATACCCACCACAATCTAAACTGCGTATTCCCAAGGTGTGCGCTCATCTTTTTTTAAATTTATCTTTTATTATTTATTGCATCTAGCATCAACAAAGGCGTGAAAAAATGAAAACGTACTCTAGAAACTTTTGTTTAAAAAACACTAAAAATAGCGCTTAGCACCGAATGAAACAATAAAATAACAATTTTATATTCACTCTAAGCAGCCCTAATTGAGCAACCCGAAGAAGCAGTACGCCGAGAGAGTCAAAAACTATAATAACATAAGACTTTACAAAACATTATGTAGCGTCACATGGGAAATAAGACAAGAACATTAATGAACAAAACAAAAGAAGAGAAATGGAAGAGAACACAATGCAAGGCGTTAGCCACAACATTACACATGACCATGTAGGAAGACCATTTCCCTGTCCGAAAGTGAAATTGAAGGCATGCTTATGCACTTGTCATTATATTGCCTAATAAAGTATGCTTCGATAATCTCCCTTTTGGTCTTTTCAGGTGCCTTAGCCATGACTGACAATAAACAATTGGTAGTCTGCGCTCTTTCCTGTCTCCCTTGTTTTCCTTCAAGTTTGTGCAGCAATTCAATTTTTCAAGCATGAACCAACTAGTCTGCAAAAAAGTATTTCTGCATTTTTAGCTTTTTGAAGACACATTTCTTATTTTCAGGACATACCAAACATTTTTATCAGGAACGTTGAAAGTCTGCACCGTGTCCTGAGGTAAGTGCCAGATGACTGAATAAACAGTCTTCAATGTGGAGATAATTAATTTTGATGCCATTGGTATTTTTCTTGTTTACGTGGGGATTCTCTTTCTTTTTGAAGAATGTGCCATAGAGTTGCTGTTGCACCTCTCGTATTTATTATCAGCGATTCGTCCGACAAACTGGAACATCGGCTCTTCCCCGAGTCTTTTATCAAGGAACTAGATGTCACAAAAATCACGTAAGCGAACTTTTTAGGTAAAGTTGCGAGTGCTAATTGCAAAAAAAAAGAGAAGACAAACCTCTCTCATTCTGCTGCTTTATTTCATACTTTCCAGGTTCAATGCTATTGCAACAACCTTTGTCACAAAAGCTCTTTGTGCGTTGCTTGATAAAGCTGTGGTAAGTAAACCGTGTGGCATGCTATAGAAGTAACATCCTTGGTAACTGTTGAAGAAAGCTTTAACATTATATGCAGCTGGTTGCGAAAGTTTATGAGGCAGGAGTTGGGAGTATTTGCAACGTTAATTAAGGCTTGTAATTTCTTAGGTAACTGTATATGACATAAAAAACTTGGCAGTAAGAGCCAGGTCTTGCCTGCCAATATTGTGCTTGGACTGTAGAACAAGAGCGAAAGAAAAATAATACATACTTGGTGTCTTTATGTGCCCTGGCATCACTTCCTCCAGCATTGAGTTGTTTTTATTGTTGCGACAGCAGCAGTTACAATAACTTGTTTGTTCCAGTGTGCTAGCGTCCTCTATCCCACTTTTGGTAAAATTTAGGGTGTCACCGGTATGGCCGTAAAAAAGTGAAAATTGATAGAAGACACAACACACGACTCACGCATTGTTAAGAAAATGTAAACAAAAGAAGGCTGTATTTAATTAAGAAAACTAGGTTACAATTATTACTCGTGCAACCGTTCAATTCCGCACAACGCACAACCGCTCAAGTCGCTCGCAATTCGCAAACTCTTGTTCGTTCGCCGTTCTCGCTGCGTCTCTGGCTCTTCCCGCGCTTTCTCGCTTTCCTCTCTCGACCACAGATCCGAGTAAACATACGCGCACGCTGACACAAACGCACATGCACCACACACACACACGCCTGTGCACAAATTGTTCCACGAAGTCAGTGGGAGAAGTCCGTCGCTTAAGGAGAGACGCGGGTCGAAAAGTCGCGGTTTTCCGGAAAATTTTCGCTTTTTTTTTCCGGCTGTATTGGCATCCTTGGACTATAATCTATTACTTCTGAAAATATCAAGCTGAAATTCGCACGAGAAATTATCAAAAAATGCTTCCAAGTGGGCAGTGGTGACGCGAGAAATGCGGGAAAGTCGCGAAAAACGGCGAAGTTCGCGTCGTCCTGTCGCGAAAACGACGCGTTGGCCGCCATTTGCAATCGTGCACGCATGCTGCGAAGGCTGTATCCTTCATAATCCACTAGTAGCCAGTCTCGTGCCTTCACGCAGAATAAACAACAAAACGAGAAAAACAACGCGTACGTCACGCGTTTTGAATATCGCGGCACACAGCGCGAGGCCGCCATTGGACAGCGGTGCGCTCCACGCTCCTCCCCCTCCTGCCTCTCCAGCAAAAGAGCGAAGCCTCGGACGTCGCGATCGAGTTTTTCTGCGTTTCTCTGCATTTTTGCGTCATGGCAAGCCCGAAGAAGTGCAGTTCAGATAATCGAAAGTTCAGAACTCGCCACAAGTATCGAGGGAAACGGCGTCGGACGCTTCGCAAAGCGACAGCGAACGACGATGTCGCCCCCGACCAACGCCCCGACGCTCCGACTTCGGATAGGCCTAACACCGTCACCGAACCCTGCGACAGTGGTTGTGAAATAGCCGCTGCCGTGGAATTCGTCAGTGCATCCCAGAGGAAGATTGGATTCTTCGAGAGTGAACGTAGACCGGTAGATGCTGCTCCTGCGAACATGCTGCTTTGCGAAATCGATGCGCTGACGGCACTTGTGGCGGGTGCGCAATGCCCAACTTGCCGCGAACGGAAGCTCGGCGTGCGAGAGGCAGCTGGAAAGCGCAAAGGACTTTCGGCATTCCTCGAACTGTGCTGTCAAAATTCTGATTGCCCTGAATCTGCACTTTCGTTCAAGCACACGTCGAGACGTACTGCTTCGGCCGGGGACCAAGGAACGAGCGCTCGTTTTGACAGCGGCAGCTCGCGTGACAGCTTTGCTGTAAACGTGAAGGCAGTTCTGGCAGCACGCGCTATAGGCGCAGGCCACGACCAACTTTCACGATTTTGTGCAATTCTCGGTCTTCCGAGCCCGATGCATCACAAGACATTCAACGGCATTTGCAAGAAGCTCCATGGTGCGGCGATGACGGCAGTGAGCAAAAACTTGCACCAGGCACGAAACATCACGAAGGACGCAGTCGGCGGCAGAGATGTGCCAGTCATGTTTGATGGCACCTGGCAGAAAAGAGGTCATAAAAGCCACAACGGAGTGGGCACAGTCGTGTCCCTGGACACGGGGCTCTGCCTCGATTTTGAAGTTCTTTCGAACTACTGCCATGCTTGCAGTACACACAGGGACCTTGGGGAGGATGAAGAGATATGGCGAGCTTTTCATCTTCCAGTTTGCCAAAAAAACACTGACTGCTCATCCCATGCAATGGAACCTGCGGCAGCTGTCAATATATGGCAGAGGACCTTGTCTTATGAAACTCCACTGCGATTCACCAGCTTCCTAAGTGATGGTGACAGCAAGGCCTACACTGCAGTCTGCGAGGCAAATGTATACTGTGACACCCCCATTGACAAAAAAGAGTGCACGAACCACGTTGCAAAGCGCTTGGGAACTGCCCTACGGAAATTGGCAACGCCACTGCCACGAGGCGAAAAACTTAAAGATGCGACAATAATAAAACTACAAACATATTACAAGATCGCCATCACGAGCAACAAGGACAGTGTCCGAAATATGTACACTGCCATATGGGCATCGTATTTTCATTGCTGCTCCAGTGATGGTGCCAGTAGCCACAACTTTTGCCCCGCGGGACCAAATTCGTGGTGCAAGCACAAGCGTGCGGAAGCACTGGGGGAGCCTGCACCACGCCACACCCCACTGTTGACGAAGGCTCAAGGATTGGCAATTATGCCTATCTACAAGCGCCTTACAGAGGAGAAACTCCTTATTCGGTGCCTTCATGGCAAGACACAGAATGCAGCCGAATCGCTGAACAGCAAGATATGGCTGCTATGTCCAAAAACAAAGTTCGCCTCCAGAACAACTGTGGAGACAGCCACCGCTCTTGCTGTACTCTGGTACAACAAAGGCCACAGGGGCTTTGAAGAAGTGCTCGAAGGCATTGGAATTCTCCCCTCACAAGATCTGGCCACACATGGTGACCACTGTGACGTCATGCGCATCAGGAAGATGAACCTGAAGCAAACTGCAGAATCGAGGGCACACCGTCGCAACACAGCGAAGAGAGCTCGTGTTGAGGACACTGACCGCAAGAGCCGTGAAGGACCAAGCTATGGTGCAGGGGACTTCTAGACACTTGCAGTGCATTCAAGGCAAGGTACTTTTCATTGTGCCCCAATTTGATGCAAAAGGAATGATTTCCTAATAAATGCCAACTTTGCGAACTTTCAAACTTGTTTTTCTCATTTTCATTTTTTCTGACAGTTTCACGTTTTCCGGGCAGCCTTTAAGAAACTTATATTCATTGTATAGTAACGAAACTTGGCACACATATTTTTCAACACATGCAGAATGCAAATATCTACTCTAAATTGCAATGCCTACCAGCATTAGTTGTGAAAATATTAGCTTATTGTTTTAAGGGAGATTGAAAATAATAAGTCATTAAATACAATTTTTTTTTCTTGATTCCAATATTTCTGTGACATATCTATATAGATATTTGCACTTTTCAATCTACCAAGAGTCAAATAAGATCAGACACAGTGCTTTTACTGAAAGTTTAGTACATAAAAGAGTGCCCGCAAAAAATGTACCTTTCTGCTATTGTTTATGGCATAACTCAATAGTTATAGCAGCTACACAAAAAATGATTGCATATTTGAAATCTGCATGAAAAACTATACTAATAACAAACTTTTCAAGTCTCTATTACTAGAAATAAAAAAAAAAAAACTTTTTCGAGGAGCGTCTCCCCTTAACCATTCGGGGAAACAGTGTCGAACGTCCCACAGGCCACGGATGCACAAAGCGGAATGTTTCCCTCTTCTTGCACCCGAACTCGTTGTGCTGACCCGGCGCCCGCAGGTCTGGGAGGCTCGCCGATCGCTGCTGCCCGTAAACAAGAAGGACGGCCCCCTCGAGTGACCAACGGACACTCGCACGGCACAACACACGCAAAAAAAAAAAAAGAAATAAAACAAAACTTAGAAGATTTGAGGCAGTCGCGTAGAAGTGTAATGCTTCTGCTTTTTATTTCTTTGACCTTAGAATGGTCAGTATTTCCCGACAACCTGTGAGAACGGTGCCTCATTGTGGTTATTCTTACTATTGTGTCACCACAGCATAACTAATTTATGCTATAGTCAATAAATTTTGAATTTAGCATGCCTTGTTGCATAAACAATTTTTGTTATTTTTTGTTTTCTCTGCTGTGTTGCAGCAATTGCAAGCCATCACCCACGAACCTACGGCCGACGATATCGATAGCATTGTTGCTGCAAGCAATGGAGACATTCGTAGTGCCATCAACGCTCTTGAGTTCTTCTGTTCTCCTCGACAGTGTGAGTGTTGTTCAGGCCCTTGTTTGCATCCTCGGCCACATTCACTAATGTGTGCTCTTTCAATGTACCAGGCATGGGCCCTGTAAAGAGTAAGACTGCTGCAAAGAAACAGTGGAGTGGCGCCTGCAAGAAGCGGCGAAAGAAGGCGGCTAAACCTGATGTGCTTAATTGTGGCATTGGACGAGACGTGCCTCTGACCCTGTTCCATTCACTGGGCAAAATACTGCATTGCAAGCGTAAACAACCTGACTGCTCCAAAACAGGTGTGTTTGTGTATGCGTGCATGTGCATTTGTGTGTGCACATGCTTGTGTGTGGCTTCTGATTAATTTGATCAATGTGTTGTAGTGCTTGTTTTCAGGGCTTGTTGAGGGAAGAGGAAGTGATATTAACATATGTATGTTTGAATCTTGGTGCTAGCTTTTCTACAAAAACGAACGCATAAGTTGTGAAACTGCTTGAATAGCTTGCATTCGAGGATTTTGTTCAGTAGCAATGACTTCAAAACAATGGTACAATACTAATGTCAACAAAAAAGTGCAGTACATGTAAGGTGTTACTAAAAGCTTCCAGAGCCATGCAACAGTGTTGCTTACCTAGTATTTCTGGAAAATTCCCAAGCCAAGATCAAATTACCCTACTTTACTCTCCTCGCAATTTCGTTAACCTGCGGTTTAGCCTACGCCTAAGAATAGCACAGGATAACAATAGTAGAGTACAAACTACCCTATTTATGTGATTGTAACGCAGCCACAATTGTAACACGACATGTGACTTCTAATTGCATCCGGGAAAAAAAAAAATAGAATTTCAGTATTTAATTGTAATGTGAGGTTTGACTTTTAAGTAGCGAAAATCTGGTAAAATGTTGCGTTAGATTTGAGTAAATATAGTATACTTCACCGTACGACGTGCAGACATGTTCTAGTGCTGAAGTCGAAAGGGGTTTGAAAATTAGTTTTGAAGAGAGGCCAAGGAATTTGAAAGGCAGCAGCTGGGAAGAGAAAGTGTTTGGGTAAGTGTATGGGAAAATTTTTGACTCATTCAAAAAAAAAAAAAAACAAGGAGGCTCATTACAGAGGATGCAGCTGGCAGTGTAAGTGGCATGGTAGCAAAGAGCATTAAGTGAAACATCATAGCGATGGAAAGTATCCACTAGATACCAATGATGGAAAGAAAACCGGCTCTGAGTAACTACCAAGAGGGTAAAGACGGAATAAGCAAGAATACTTACGATAGTCACTGCATGAAGCGAAGTCGGTTTGCCTCAGAGCGTATAGTTATAAATTGCGATGAAATGCAGGAGCACATGCGTGGGGAAGGTAAGGAAACAACAAAGCATGTGTTAAGTAGACGTGTAGTTGTACACTCGTGTGTATGTATGTCAGTGCACAAGCCTACATAAAGCCTCTGGTTTAGGAGTAACATTGCTGGTGGGCAATAAAAATAAGTAAAAGGCGACTTTTGGATTGGTGGCGGAACGGTAGGCAGAAAGCAAGAAAAAGAAAGGAGCAGAAAAAGTAATGTTAATCTGCGATAAAATGCAGAATGTTGGGCAATCAGTACATAAAGTTTTTTTTTTTTCAGGAAGAAATTTCGGCTTAACAAAATTAGGCAATAATAATGTAATAATAATAATAAGACAAAGAAGAAGAGGACGAAGAAGGACAACAACAACAAGATGTATAGCATGGTAGAGTATAGGGCACTATTCAATTTTGAAAGCGACGCTCTTTCATTCATACATGTCACAGGAAAAACTTGCATGGCCCTCTACTAGAATTTTTTAGGCTTCCGCAAAAATTCAAATATTTCAAATATTTGAACAATTATTACAGCATTCTAATTCGCTTCAAATTGAATTTAAGTTACTGAAAATTTCGAAGTATTCGAGATGCACTAATAGATATACAAAAATGCGCATGTCATCTTTTGTAGTCGCTTTCTGCAGTGGATGGGTGCTAAGCCGTGAAAGCATCTGCTCAGGTGTACACAAATCCACATGAGACTTTTGTAAATGTGGCTTCACTGCAGTAGAGTGGTGCTAAGCCGTGAAAGCACTTATTCAAGTGTATATTAGTTTGCATGAAACTCCTTGTGAAGGTGGTTTAAGTGCAGCAAAGTAGTGTTAAGACGTGAAAATGCATATTCAATAGGAATTCGCACTACTTCGAAGCCCCACTTCAAGGTTAAATGAAGATACCCTCATCGATTCATTTTTTTAATTTTAAAAGCTTGTTGTGCTGGCTTATGTGATCTCGGTATAGTAAGTTTTAAAACGTACCATATTTTACAGGTCATCGCTTGCATTCTACCATAAGTCAAATACTATTTCTATTCAATGTTGCTTCCACTTCCTTTGAAGCGAAAAGAATGGCATTTGCACAAGCGTTGTCGTCCCAGGTGGTCTTGACCGACCTTGTGCTTAGGCCTGAAGGAGGAGGGGTGGGGGACACCTCTCACGAAGCGTTTTTGGTTGCCTGTTAATAAGCCTGATTATCTCCGGATTTCATCTATATCAATTTGAAAGAAGAAAAATGGCCCGAATCTGCATGTTACACTGTAAATGTCGTCGAAAGACAATAGACTTGCATCTGGAGAGAGTGAACAAAATGTTTATTTTATGTTCTGCGCAAGAAAATCGGTGAATGGTATTCTGAAGGCACTGCATTAGAGTGCCTCGAGCGTGTAACGGAGGCGAACAAGTGCATTTGGGCACGTTAAACACGAGCGCCATCTGGCAGTTATCTTCGAAAACAAAAGCGCGCGCGACCGCGAAGAAAGATAAGCGCCAGTCGCGTAGGTGATAAGGTGTAGAATGCAAAGCGGCGGGCAGGTCCCCCCACCGTGCCGTCGTAGCAAAGGGTTGGAAACACCTTCTTGAGCGTCGCGTTGCACTGTCAGCGCAGCGCAATAAACGCTACAGTCCTTAGAGTTACTTATGTGTGTCCTCTTCTAGTATAAAGGCACACCTACAAAACATAGACATGTTGTTATGGCACCTCAGATATGCGCAATATTTGCTTTTTTAATTGACAATTGCACAACTATGAACGCTAAACCTTGAGCAATATTGGTGGGTGCTGCGGATGGGGTTGGCCGTTCGGTGCCATTTGAGGTATCGTTAGGGCGGACAAACAGACAAATGTTCAGACAGACAGACGGACCAAACTTTTTTTCTTCGAAGCTCCCCAAGAAAGACTATCGTCTTTAATATATTGTGCTGGTTGGTTATGTCATAAAAAATACCCATATTTCTTTATAATACTTTACACATACTATCCGAATTCAATTCGAAATTATTTGACCAATACCACTATTTGCTTCAAATTCATTTCGAACTTAAAATTTACTATTCACACAAGCCTATCATTATTGCGTTCTATGGTTTTAGTTTTGTTTGTCTTTATCTTTGGAAATCAGTTGGCTCGTGAACAAGGACAGCCCCGCAGTGGTGGTTTAGTGGCTGAAGTACTCGGCTGCTGACCCGCAGGTCGCGGGATCGAATCCCGGCTGCGGCGGCTGCATTTCCGATGGAGGTGGAAATGTCGAAGGCTCGTGTGCTTAGATTTGGGTGCAACCCCAGGTGGTCGAAGTTCCCGGAGCCCTCCACTACGGCGTCTCTCATAATCATATGCTGGTTTTGAGACGTTAAACCCCACATATCAATCAACAAGGACAGCTCAGATTTGAGTAAAAACAATGTCTACACTGCGCTGTTATTCATATGTTTTGCTCTGAAACACACAGTATGTTTAACTGTGAACTTTGCAATTTGGCCTGATTAGTTTTGGGGGAAAAACTGTGCTCCATGCTTATCCAGCTTTTTCTGTTCTTTTCAAGACGAGTACTCAAGTGGAGTCTCAACAGCGGATCTTAAAGTGTTGTCTAGCCATGACCTGAGTGCTAGTATCTGCCTGAACCGCTTACTATTCATTCCCTTTTCATTTAAGCTTTTACGTTTCAATTTTTTGGTGTCACTGAGTGTCGCTTCCTTTCTTCAATCCAGATGGCAGTACTGAAGCATCAGCTGGTGATCTTTCCCTGCCATCAGTGAAGGATCCAGACAAAAACCCCACTACTGACATCGCTCCTGAGGTATCTGAAGTAGACTCAGTATAATAAACAGCTGTTGAATCACAAAATGGTAAAGATTAATTAGTTTTTTCACCAAAAATTATGCATGTTTGTTAAGAGTTTTTAATTGTAAGTGCTTTAGCTCACCACCAATAGGTTTGTAAAATAGCCACATCTATGCACTGTATCTTGTGAACAAGCTCAAAACAACGTTAAAGGTATGAGCATTTGTTAAATAAAGACCTAAAAGAGGGTTAATCTCAAATGGTAATCAAAATTTTACTAAAATTCTTTGCATATTGCGTAGGTTGCATGTTTACACTCAGAAAGGCACCTTTCAAGACTTGTAAAATGTTGATTTCAACTTGTATTGAAAACTCGCTCTTGGTCCTCCAAAATACTCATTGAAAATGCCTACCTTGGTCGTCTTCTTTGTACAGGAGGTGTTTGAGCGGGCGGCAATTTCAGGAGAGGCGTTTGCTCTCTTTCTCCATCACAACATGCCCGACTTTGCTGCTGACATTCACACTGTAGCTGAATGCTCGGAGTGGTTCTGCCATGGTGATGTCTTGCTCTCTGAATGGACTGTAAGTTAACAGACCTTGCCTCGCTAAAGAGTTGCAGCTTGAAGTGCTCAGCTACGAGCAATTTTTATGTACGATCTGGTAGAGTGGTCTTAAACCATGTTCTTCATCGACCATCAGCTACCTTGCCATGTCATCTGTCGTTGCAACTGTGATTAAGGACATTCCGCGACATGTGAAAGCCTGTGTGACAATGACAACCTCAGGTAGCATGCAAGGGTTTAATGATCAGCTACCACCTCATGCAATGGTCACGTGCCACGTGGTGCCATCTGGCAAAAAGTGTGATCCGCACTCATTCCCTTGGCGAGAAGTGGTGTATCGGTTAGGGTGCTCGTCTGCTGGCCCAAAAGGTTGCGGGCTTGATCCCAGACACGATGGTCGCATGTCGATGGTGGTGAAGCGCTATGGGCCCTTGTACTGTGCAATGTCAGTGCACGTTTAAGATTATCAGATGGTCAAAATTTTCGGAGTCCTCCACTACGGCACCCCTCATAATCATATCGTGGTTTTGGGATGTTAAACACCAGGTATCGTGCCGCCTTGTTTCAATCACGTGCAACGAGCAGAATACTGGAGAAGGAATCGCTGAACAAGTATTGACGCTCCTACTCTCTCGCGGTGTTGCAATTGCCAGAAGTATCGTCAATGTTGTGTGCGGTGAAGCAGATGTTCTGTTGACGAATTTTACCAACGAGCGACGACACATTACACAAGGCACTACAGTTGCCTACTTCGACGAGATCACCGAAATCCGCGAGTGCTGTGTAGTACAACAGGACGAGCTGCAAGCCACGTCAGCCCCACCACCTATTGACGAAAGCTCGGATTTGTCACCAGCGCAAAGACAGCGTCTAGTAGATCTTCTTCACCAGTTCAAAGACTGTTTTTCATCGACCTCGAGGGTCAGTCAAACGCCACTGACGAAGCATCGGATAATAACGGAGGAGACGGCAAGGCCAATACGACAGAACCCATACCGCGTAGCACCGAAAGAGCGTGAAGCAATCCAGGAACAAGTGAAGAAATTACTCGATGATGACGTCATCCAGCCGTCAAGAAGTCCTTGGGCATCGCCGGTAGTGCTGGTTAAAAAGAAAAACGGAAGCTTGCGATTTTGTGTCGACTACCGCAAGCTGAACCGTGTGACAAAGAAAGACGTATACCCATTACCGCGCATCGATGATTCACTCGACAGGCTGAGGTATGCACACTACTTTTCGTCAATGGACCTCAAAAGTGGGTATTGGCGAATTCAGGTCGACAAGCGAGATAGAGAAAAAGCGGCTTTTGTAACGCCCGACGGGCTTTATGAATTTAAAGTCTTGCCATTCGGATTGTGCTCAGCCCCCGCAACATTTAAGAGAGTGATGGATACCGTTCTGTCAGGCCTTAAGTGGCAGACATGTCTGGTCTATCTGGGTGACATCATTGTTTTTTCAAAAACATTTGAGGAACACCTGAGCAGGCTGCTATCGGTATTCAGGGCAATAAGGTCTGCCAACCTGACACTGAAACCCGAGAAGTGTCATTTTGGTTTCAAGGAGCTTCAATTTTTAGGTCATGTGTGGTGAGCCATGACGGTGTTCGCCTGATCCCTATAAGATTGCGGCCGTCAGAAAATTTCCGGTACCAAAAGACAAGAAAGCAGTCAGGCGTTTCCTTGGCCTATGTGCATACTACCGAAGGTTTATTGCCAATTTCTCCCACATAGCCTCACCGTTAACACGACTCACAAGAGAAGATGTTTCGTTCACATGGGGCGACGATCAACAGGTGGCATTTGACGATCTCCGACAACGCCTGCAGACTCCGCCTGTGCTTGCTCACTTTGATGAGGATGCTCCTACCATGGTCCATGCAGATGCCAGCAACGTGGGTTTAGGCGCTGTACTGGTCCAGTGGCAAGACTCAGCCGAGCGTGTGATCGCATATGCTAGTAGGACGCTTTCCCGCACCGAGTCCAACTACTCCACAACGAAAAAAGAGTGTCTTGTTGTCATTTTCGTCCGTACCTCTATGGTCGTTCCTTCTATGTAGTCAGCGACCATGATTCCCTCTGCTGGCTGACCAACTTGAAAGACCCGTCTGGTTGGCTCGCACAGTAGAGCTTACGCCTTCAAGAGTTTGATATGACGGTCGTGTATAAGTCCGGACGGCAGCACGTCGACGCCGATTGCTTATCAAGGTCACCGATAAAGCGCGACGATGACACAGAAGATGACAGCATGGCATTTGTAGGAGTTGTTGACACCACTACGATTTCGTGCAAGCAGGAAGAAGACAGTGAGTTGCTTCCTCTTATTGAATTTTTGAATGGCCGGACAACAACCGTCCCTAGAAGATTTGCAAGGAGCCTGCTGTCATTCTGCTTACGTAGTGGTGTTCTCTATAAGAAGAACTTTTCTCCCAGAGGAAGCACCCACCTACTTGTCGTTCCGACGTCACTTCGTGAGGAGATACTTTGTGCTTGCTACGATGAGCCAACGTCTGGTCATCTCGGATACACACGCGCATTGGCCAGAATTCAACAGAAATACTACGGGCCAAGACTTCCAGCTATTGTGAAGCATTACGTGCGCATGTGCCTCGATTGCCAACGACGAAAATCGCCACCGTTAAAACCAGCTGGACTATTACAACCAATTCAAGTGCCCACGGTACCTTTTGCCCAAATTGGAATGTATCTCCTTGGACCATACCCGACTTCCCATGCTGGCAACAAGTGGGTAATAGTCGCCACTGATTATCTTACGCGCTATGCGGAAACAAAGGCTTTGTCAAGTGGCACCGCCGTTGAAAGCGCACGATTCTTTGTAGAAAATATCGTCCTGAGGCATGGTGCTCCAACAATCGTAATAACGGATCGAGGTGCCGCTTTCACGGTTGCGCTCCTGAAGACAGTGCTTGAGCTCAGTGGAACAGCCCATCGGAAAACCACTTCCTATCATCCACAAACCAACGGCTTAACAGAACGCCTCAACAAGACTACTGCCGACATGTTGAGTATGTACGTTGACGTGGATCACAAGAACTGGGACGACATTCTACCGTACATCACGTTCGCCTATAATACAGTGCAGTAAGAAACTACACGAAGAACGCCGTTGAGTCTCCTTCATGGCCGTGAAGTGACGAAGATGCTTGACGCCATGTTACTGCATGACTGCAATGACATCGATTTGGACGCTGCATCTTTTATCCAACGAGCAGAAGAAGCGAGGCAGCTTGCGCGCGTTTGAATCACCCAGCAGCAAAATTATGACGCCCAACGTTATAATCTGCGACACCGACATGTCGTCTATCGGGCCGGCGACAAAGTCTGGGTATGGAGTCCTATCCGCCGCCGGGGACTGTCTGAAAAATTGCTGAAGAAGTATTTTGGCCCCTACACAGTTTTACAACGCCTGAGCGACGTTAATTACGTGGTCGTTCTTGACAGCCCCTCGACAACTCGCCAGCAAAAACCAGAAATCGTGCACGTTGTGCGAATAAAGCCCTACTTGTCGGACTGATTTACACCATACATCTACTACACCGTCTTTTGTAGAAGAGCATCGGGACGCTGCTCTCTGGAGGGGGGCAAATGCCACATTGAATATGCAGCACCAAGAGAACAACGAAGAACACGCGCAGCGAGAGAAGAAGACGAGGTTCTCTTTCGATCAGTTTGCCAGTGTTCTGGTACAATTAAAGTGATTTTCCTGGATTCGACTGCTGCTGTTTTTGCATTGTGACAATATTATTATGGCTATGAGCAGTGCCGACTTATGGTCCCAGGGATTAAACGCACATAAGTACCCCATAAAGTGAATGAGGGAGGGCTCTCTATATCTAGCTCAATTGGCAGAGCGTCGGACGCATAGTTTAAAGATTGTGGATCCACTTAGGGAAAGAATGATTTTTTGTCCATTTTAATTCTTTTCATTATAGGTCACAATCATTACACTACAGTTAGAAAAAGCAACAAATAATGTACCGAACGCTTTTCTTGGATTGATTGTCTGTTGGTTTCGTTAGTAATGATAGCCTTAGTAGTTTACACTGACGGAATTGTCAGTACTCGTTGCATTATGTGCCAAGGGGCAACAGGCAAGTATCGATGACAAGTGTGAAGTTTGTCCTGCTGCTTACGCTATGTGCTCAGCTTCAGCAGATGAGTATTGGCTCTTCTTTCGTTGTAATCTGCTAAGATTTTCATAGTGCTTATGTTAATGTGTTCACCATTTTTTTCCCCATTTTTACTAACAGAGTGAGAATGTGATGGAAAAACATGCCATGTCAGTGGTGACAAGAGGAGTAATCGCCAGCCTGTCACAGCAGGGTACCAAAGGTGTTGGGTGGAAGCCACTGAGCAAGCCGCAGTGGTCAGCTGCCTTCAGAGATGTAAGCACCGGTGACCGCTCTATCGTTTGATTTTGTGGTAGGGAGGTGCCAGTGCCAATAGCAAGGATTTTCATTTTTGCTAATTTATATAGTCCTCAATGTTTTCTTATAACGACTGGAACGATTACGGTAGAGTACGGGCTTTTTGAATAATTATTAAAAGCTTTTTTCAGTACAAGACAGGCTAGTAAAATACATACGCAGTGTGAAAAGAATAATTAAGGTGCAGAGACTGTGTTTGGCAGTGCAGAATAAGAAGCTAGTTTGAATGAAGAAGTTTAATACTGACAATAGCATATGATGTGATCAACCAGTCAAGCAGTGTACTTTGGGAACTCCTGCAATTTGTAATTCTACCCTTTGAGTAATGAATGTTTTGAAAAAAAAAACATAAAAGAACCTTGTTTTTAGCATATCAAATTAGCTTAGTGCAGATATTAAATGCAAAATTTGTGTGGTCTGGAAAAAATTGGGGAAAAAAAGGCATATTATTTTGATGCCAGCATCAAATGAGGGCTGCAATATGTTAAATAGGGATGAAAAATTCGTCAACACGAGGTGTCGCTCTAGCAGATTACTCAAGCCCTTAAATGTACACTTCTTTTCTTCATTCATTCATAGCATGGGTCTCGTTCTGTCAGACATGGTGCCTTCGGGTAGCATATGAGGGATTATTGGGTCAGCTGCTTGCTCTTAATATCTTCACGTGCTGCGTGACGCCAAACAGGCATATAAAGAGCGTTCCACACTTGCTGTCATGGCTACTGGCGGCACTCAATGAAGCCCTCACACATACGTTATAAAGTGGACAGGGGAGATAGCTGCCGTGGTAGCTCAGCCGGTAGAGCATCAGACGCGTTATTCGAAGGTCGCAGGTTTGGTCTGTCCTAGCAAGATATTTCTAGGTCCACTTTTCTTTCTTTACATTTAAATCACAGTTACTTCTATTAACATCTCCTATTCTCTCCTTGGCATGATTGTCTGTTATATCTCACTAATACTCCGTGTTAACGAATATTTCATCCCATCATGCTTCTATCTTCCCCCAGACTGCTGCCTATTTGTCCAATAGTACTTTAGAGCGTGGCATTCCTTGAAGCACGGGTCTGTGCACAGCGCTTTATCTCGATGTGCACACATTAAACGCGTGTATGTTCTCCTTGTGGAGTGATCAGTTGAGTCGGCACGCACATGGCATCTTCCCTGCATACAGCTGCCCCGGGCAGTGTAGACTCTCTAAGCAAGGTGAGCGAGAATACGTCATGAGTGCTGGAGAGGCACAAGCTAAGAGTAGCACCTATAAAAATAGAAATCAAGTTACAATGCCCCTGCGAGAAAGTGCTCATAGAGATAAGTATCAAGTGTCGCGCGCCTCCATTGTGATCACGTGGCTGAACCAAAACCACAAAAGGGCGCTGCCCGTCGGCATTGTCGCAGAGGACGCAAGGCATCAAAGCAAGAATTCAGTTCTGCTTTATAGCTTTAAGAAGGTAGCACGATCGAATTTCAAACTCTTTTTGTAAATTTTAGGAGGTGGCAGCACCTCCAAGTGAGCATGTGTTATCATTAAGGTGCGAAATTTCAAACGCTGGGTCAAACCCTTTTTTTTATGCCAGAGACCTTGGAAGACGAAGAACTGCCACCCTACATATACGGCAAAACCTTCTGAGAGCTAAATCAATAAAATTTTTAAAAACACTTTCTTCAGAACCAGCAAATGATGTTTGGCTGTTGTGTGCCCTCCTGAACAAATGTCATCTGCTGCATCTTTACTAGTTCATTTTCAATTAAACCTGCAATCTTGGCTTACTCATTTGCTTGAGTGCAAAATGCAATGCTCTTTCACTCTTAGGCTATAGAGTCATTGTCTTGCAAGCGATGTCGATTGGGGAAAACAGGGACCTCATTGATTGTTTTGGTAAACCACAAAGCTCACTTTTCACGATGTGGATGTCTAAAAAAAACAATTCTGGATTCTCTAAAGAAAATGAGAAAGGAGCAACAGCATTTTCACACACAGATGCTCCTACCAGAAGTAAAAGTTCTTCAGTTTTTTGACTGCTCCAGTGAAAAGTTTTCAGTTCGAGACACTTCTTTATATCTCACCTTATTTTAGAGACATGGTGCACACACTATGCCACAAAGTGGAAAATGCGGCAGCTTAGAAGGAAATTACAATCACTTTACAAGTTTATTTCCTCAATTTCAACCCATCTTAAAGTTTGTTTGTTTTTGCTTCATCTAACTTGTTTTAATTCTGTGTTCATCTAACTTTTTTTAGAGTGCCAATTTTGTGCGGTGAGCATAGCATTTGGTGTCATACTGCTACACCCAGTCATACTTGCACCTATGCTGGTGTAAATGAATGGAAAAGCTTCGCTCATCTTTATCACTGGAAATTAGTGTACACACATTTTTTTTGTTTAGCTGCATGCAATGAGGCTTAATTAGTGAGGCATCACACCATACATAATGTAACTGGCACTCTGGTTTGGCAAAATTGATATTTTTCTCAGTATTTTCAATTAGTTTTTCCAGGCTGTTCAATTATTTAAGTATCTTTTTGCAGTCAATTTTTTGCCAAAAGAAGGTTCTCACTGTGACTCTACTTGGTATTTGAATTGACTTGTGGTTTTCTTTCAGATCAGGCAGAAACTTTATGACCTGCGAGTGGCATTTAAAGGCAAGATAACACATTCTCTTCCTCAAATTTGCCCATTACAGACAAGCTCTGATAAAATAAAGTCATGCTGCAGCCTTTACCTAAGAATGGTTGAGTTGTTGTAGTACTAGCTTAATAAAATCTTTGTTCACATCTGCTGGAACCCATCAGGGTACCCACTTAAGTTAAATATATTTTTATAGCTGCCGAAAATCGACAGTAAAAGCTGAAGAGACTGATCTGGACATACTGTAACTCAGTAGCAATGTGATGGTAAAAGAATTTTACGCGTGAAATAAAATAATAAAGGAATGGGCTTGCTGGTGTTGCAGGCACTGTCAGAGAAAAAGAAAAAAATGCAATGTGCTTAACACAAATCGTAATCCCTTGAACTGTTGCTCTAGAGTAAGCACTTTCATTCCTAACAGTTTCCTTTTTTTTCTTTTGTATTTTTGTTGTCACACAGGACAGCACAGTTCAGGACGGGAGCTGCAATTGGACAGGGTGCCATACTTAGCTCTGCTTCAGAAAAATGGACTTCAGTTGTGTGAGTCTCACCTTAAGGGTGTGCAGTATAACTCTTCTAATACACTCTTCACGCGACTGCAGAAAAATGAACACAGTTTTCAGGATGTCTAACGTAGACCTGCATTTAAAATCGTGAGAAGGTACTGCTAAATAATATAATGGATGCATTGTACACTGAAGAATTACGCAGTGAAGAAGAATTTAATCGTCAGGTTAAGGCTTAAACGGGCCCTGCAACACTTTTCCTAGTAAACAAGGAATGACAGCGTTAAAGGAGTTTGTTGTGCCATAAAATGACTGCAGCAAGAATATTTAGAATATGTCTAGTAAGAGTGGAGTTGTAGGGATTTGTTGTACGCATTAAGCGCTTTTGCTCTCCCTTCGTACCAGTGAGGGCATTGCAAGCTGCAGAGTGGTGGATATCAATGGATCAAGAAGCTATACCCATTCCTAAGCATGCATCATGACCTTTAGCACGCTTTTTTTTTAGAATGTGTGGCTTACTTTCAGCGTGACCGTGAGCAGGGTGTTGCAATTCTACACTCTAACATCAAAATATTAGGAGCATGAATATAACGAAATATCAGTTATAACAAAATAAATGGAAAATAGTCTTGCACTCGATGCAGTGTTAAAAGTAACCTTTAAACTGAGTTTTTTGATATAATGAACCTATTTTCTTGTACGATGCAATTTCGTTATATTCAGGTTTGAGTGTACATTATAAAGCTCGTGTTATACAGGGTGTTTCAAGAAATGTGTCCAAAATTCTCGAAAAATTAGACAAAATGTGATATTTACTTCCTGTGTTCACAATGCCTTTTCCTGTGGCAGCTTGCACCCTAAGATGGTTGAAGACATCATTTAAAAAGTAATTAAGAAAGGTAAATGAAGTTTCTAATTAGTGGAGTTATGCAGTTATGCCATATGGAAGAATAGAAATTTTTTCACATGAAAAACCGCTCGCAGCTGAAAAATATAGAAAAGGCGGCCCCCGTTAATTATTGTGGTGGGATGAAATTCAGGCAATTTCAACGACGAAACCAAAGCACCGATGAGTGCTACAAGCAGATGGCTAGAATGATGTCACTGTTCAAGACAACAACTACAGAGGTGAAGTTCCTCCCTCTTTGTTAACGTATGTGTGTCATGAGTGATATTATTGCGAGTGCAGTGCGCACACTCACTCAACTAGGTCAGTTGATGGTTAACATAATGATGCTCACTCATTCTGAAAGACTGGAACGGGGCAGTTGTACTCGTCTGCGTTTTAGTTTGGCTGCTGAATTTGGGAGCATTTCATTATTTTGCAATTATTACTAGGGGTCGCTTTTGTGAAACCTCCAAGCTGCAACGGGTACCTCACATGAAGGACTTGAATTATTTCTTTTGACTTAACCAAAACTGGGCTAATTAAAAAGTTAACCTAATTTTATTGATTACTGTCCCAAAGGATGTCTTCAACCGCCTTAAGATGCCTGATGCTACAGAAAAAGCTTGTGAAGACACTGAGCAAATACTGCTATTTCTTGATTTTTTTAGGTATTTTGGACACATTTCTTGAAACACCCTGTAGAACGCAGCACAAGCATGTCGCAACATCCTGCAGTGTCTGTGGTAATCATCCGGATCAAGAAGCTCAAATCAGCCAATGGACTTTGTGTTTAGGACGTGGTTGTTTTGAGGATATCATGTACCATAGAGAAAAGTGTGAGTAGCTTCTAGGTGACTGATAATTCATTGTGAATTTGTAAATTTCAGATTAATGTTTGGCTGACATATGCTCAAGAGCTTCGGTTACTGATGAGTGTTGTTAGACCTACCTCAAAGAGTGCTGAAGGGCCTCTTCGAAGGAGTCCTAACATTTCTTTTCCACTTCTTACGGAACCAAACATCTCTTGAGTATTTGGATGGCCTTTTGGCTGTCTACATTACCAGACTTATTGTCGTACCTTCTCAGCACATCCAGCACAGTGAAGGGTTGTAAATTCTGGCAGGAACATTGCGGGAACGACACTTGAAAAGGGGATATGTGCATTTTTTTCGGGGTCAGACTTCAGGAGCATTATTCTCGATAAAAATGGTGAGGAGCATATTGAGGGGGGTTCATTGTACTTTGCCTAAGCAAGATGTTGCCCGCACTTTTACTCAAGTTGGTTCTTGTGGTAACTTTTGTACCATCTTTTTCTAATGTTAGCAAACACCAGGAGAGCACTCGTTGAAGAAATTGGCACTCTGTCGAACAGAACATTCTTTCGGTAAGTAATTGCCCCAGCAGTCGTCGATTCTTTTTTTTGTGCCGCTATTTGAACTAATTCAGTCATTCCTGAATTTGCACGACGACGGCAGTCAAACAAGCCTTAACGAGCAAGACACCCTGGATGACAGCGAAATGGAACTTTCTGTGAACTACACTTGTAGGAATGTGGAGGCAGTTTTGGATGACCATGACTACTCGGATGAGGAAATCATCATTGAAGAGTACGATGATTGATCGGCAGTGTCTGCTTTTCTCAAGTGTAGCTACACACCTAGCACACATTTACACTTGCACTTCTAAAACATACATAGTGGTATCACTTCTTTATCTGTTAAATGGCATGTTTAGTGTGCCTAAATATATTTTCATATCCAATTTATTGGCATATTATGTAGAGTTTTTCGTTTTGTTGTGTAGTATTTGTATATATAACAGCACAAGCAGAACTGCTAGTTACGTTTTAAATAAATGGAAAGCCTCCAGTGAAGTATTATTCATGAACAATATGATGCAGCTGTCTTGAGTGGAAATGTGCACTTGTAAGAAGTACACCGAGTGCCGAAAACCTTTTTAGATTTAGAATCGTCAGGGTTTGTGAATAAGTTCACAAACCATGACGAAGAACAGTCCACCGGTCAAAACCGTTGGAAATAAAACTAAGACAATTGCTAAGTTGTGTCTCTTCTCTTCTCATATATATATATATATATATATATATATATATATATATATATATATATATATATATATATATATATATATATATATTACATACACATGTATTCCCTAATGAATCCAATAGACAAGCCGAGGGAAGCATAGGGGACATAATTGTTTATAATGGCAATGTCATAAAATAATTATGTCATAATTGAAATGAACTAAACTTGATGGCATCATAGAAAGAGCTGAAATCATGCCTGTGGCAAGCTTTTGCATAAGGGGGAATACTTTGCGTGTCATTGCGTTTAAGTAACCATGAAATTTAGTGGGAGTTGCAAAATGCTAAAGGAAAGAAGCGATCTCCTTTGTGAAGTTGTACACTTTAGTGCTGCACCTATGAAAATATTTGGATGAGCTGTCCATATTCTTGTTCAAAAATTAAGTGATTGTACTTACCTCATTCACATTAAGCTGCAGGGCCTCAAGAGGTACAGGCAGATGTTATCCAGTTTGATATAGCATTACCTTATGGATTTTGCGGCTGCACTTTAGTTCCACGAATCTTGCATTGTTTCATGCCATGTAAAACGTATTTGCTGGCACAGGGAAGTGTTACGCTTAAGTACTTTATAAGTGCATGTCGTGTATTTGCCATGTATACCTTTAATAGGGTAGAAAGCGGTGCCGCCGCCACCTCACGGTGCTTGTTGTTGGTTGCCCGCATTGCGCCACGAACGGCGACACGGCATCTCAAAACACCGTATCACTTACTGAGCCTTTGACTGCAAGACGCCGCCCTACGGATTTGTACACAATTGAACAAAAAACTTACTTTATATTATTCCTGTCGTAAGGCACTGCATGAATGGCTCTCTTCCCCACGATCGCAAAGCACACATGAAGGCTAGGCAATGGGCGAGAGCAGGAAAGGGCTAGACGAGAAGGTGTGAACAGCTGGACCGAGCGGCATCGATAAAATAGAGGAGGCGCTGCTTTCGTGCTCACGAACTTACCGTGAAAGCTCGAGACGTAAAAACCACCTCCGTCACGTGATAAGCGAGCGCATCGCAACCTGCGAATCATGGTGTGGTGCGAGACGAGCGACGCTCTCCGCCTCGTTTGTTGAACTTGGTAACGAGAACTTGCACGTTGAATCCACCGAGCTCCGAGTATTGACAGCGGTAAATGGTGTATATAAATAGCTGGCCTTTGGGAAGCTGATATGAACGTATACGACCTCTTGCCGATTCAAACCGGCCCGCGCACTGTGGAGCGAGGGTGGTTCGACTCCCGATGACGGAACCTTGATGATCGGTGCAGTGTCCGTTCTGCGTCCTCCGCACTATACTGCTCACGCGCAACTCTCCCTCATCCTTCTCTTCTACGCAGGTGTACGTTCCCCTCCTCCCCTCTCCACCGTTGGTGCAGCGTAGCAAATTATTGCATATAACTCCCCCTCTCTCTCTAAAGGTATACACGCAGGTGGGTTGCGCAAGTGACGCGGCGCAGTACAAAGCGTCCATTCGCTCTCTCTGCAACAGTGTGCGAAACTCCGTGGACAACGTCGGGCGGCAGCGCCACAGCCGCGGGAAGCCGAACGTAAACGTCGACCCTGGCAGGAAACTTCTACGGAAGAAACACGGGTTCGGCACGTCCAAGTGGAACGCCGGCGTTATAAAGCCGACCTCGAACTCCGGGCTCGGAAAGTCGAAGCGCAACAGCATCGTCGAGCGCCATCGTCGACCACAAAGCTTCCGCAATGCTTCCGCATCCCACCATGGTTGTCCGTAGGAGGAGATCTGCAATTTCTTCATCGTTTTTTTTTTTTGTCGGAACCTTACGTTTTCAGATTTCTGACAAGCGCCGGCAGCCATAGGGTCAGCCAGCTAGTTTCCGTCGGGACAGGAAACAACGTCGTGGTCACGTGTGTTCCCAGGGAATCCTAAAAGAACCCGCCTCAAGATTGCAAAATCGAACGCTGGGACAGCCACCGCACTGATCCGAGCCATCGTGTACCGCCGTTGAAACAAACGAAACTACGCCGCGCCGCTAGCGCGTTGTTTTTTTTTTTCTGCAATGCCCGCTTGGAAGTATGTGGCTAGGAGCTAGGTATACGCTGGAGATAAGGTGGAAGAGCAAGCATCTGGGATACAATCAGACAATATGTTAGCAAGATCACGCGCAACTCGCCCACGATACGTGAACAAAATACAGCTTCGATAACGACGCCAGGCAAGCTGCCGCATCGCTAACGGCTTAATACGTCGAAGTCTTCTTTGTAACAGCCCATGCACAGCACGACGCGCAATCTCGTGAAAGAGCTCAAGGATGTATTCCTACTCGGCTGTCGCGTACTACGTCTCAAACAAGTGTTGACCAGCTTGCGTTTTGTCTTGACTTCTGTTGTGGTTTCGGTACCACGAGTGCGCGTTATATCTCGAATGAACTCTGTGGCGTGACTTCGATCGACTCGTTCTGGCAGATGTTGCCTTGGCCTCTTGTGCAGTCCAAAGTGACCAAAAATCTTATGTAGCCGAGCTTTTATTTCAACTACTAGGTGATAACGGTACATATTGTGTGGCATTATTACTGAGAGGCAGAAAAACTCAAAGCCGACGATGGAAACCTATGTCGACGTGCGACAATACCGTGCTGCGTATCAAGTAGATCAAAGGACACTCACGTCACGTCGTTCGAGACCAACGATCGTCGCACAAAGGACACTGTCGCGATGCCCTTTTCAGTCAGTGAATTCTAATATATAGAGAGAGATTGTGGTTATAAGAGGGAAAAGAAAAGTGAGCCCCGTAACTGTCTGCATCAGCGCGCGACACCTCAACAGTAGCTCACAAGGGATGGGGGTGAGGAGGGATTAAAAGGATAGGATTAAAGGTAGAGAGATGCGCAAGAACAGCGAGCGACGACATAAGAGAGATAGGAAAGATGAAAACACGGTCACAGGAGTCCGAGGACGGGGCACCACTTGCGAGAGCTCTTGTCGGCGACAGGAGATGGCTTAGGGCTAATCCAGTCGGCCAGAGCTGCGCTGACGTCGTCGTATGGGACCGGCGGCAGAAGGTGACGTAGGACCAACCCAGTCGGCCAGAGCTGCGCTGTCGTCGGAGATCGCGAGGGCACAACCGGTCGGCACGGAATCCAGCGAGCGAGTCATTCTAACATTTCAACCTGGTTGCAATAATTAAGTTAAGCAGGGGTTCACGCACGCAAACATACAACGGAGCGAAATGGCTATAGTTCGATCACAATAGTCTTCACACACAACACCGCAATCGAATACTACTAAAACTCTAGTGGGGTCTTCATGCGCTCCTTCGAACGTGTATACTTTTGGGACATGTTCACCACACAGAACGCCGCGTTGTTCGCGCAAGAAAGTTTCACGAGACACACAAGCAAAGCGAAAAATTCGGCAGATCCGACGTACCGTGGAAATCGATGTTATTCGAAGCATGCCGTGTGGTAGGTGACCGTGTTGTATTTTTTGTTATTGAGCGACAGGTCATGGAATGACGCTAAATGTGTGTATAAATGTTGCACGCACAGACATGTGTTTAAGAATTGCAGACGTTTATATAACCCATTCGCACGTGCCTATCCATCGATGTCTACAGGAACATTAGTATCAGCAACACCAGAAGCGATAAGCCGATATGAAGTGCCAGTGCTCTCGAAAATGGTAGCCCTGGACACTTCTACATAAATCAACTCCAGCGCATGGCGTCCAACTACAATTGATGTTAACCTGACGTGACGGATGTATCAAAAGAGTTTACATGTAGTAAGCTTTATAAAATCAGATAGCCAGCACTGCGACCACAACTGACGTTTCACGAACATTAGGGCCTATTCGAAAAGCAGTTCCGAGGCTTGGCGTGGCTCTGTGGTAGAATGCTTGATTGCCACGAAAGCAGCTTGGGTTCGATTCCTGCTGGGACCCCGGCATTGTTTCTTTGCATTCGTCGAGTCAACGCTGCACACGCCAGGGTTTTTCTTAACGCTCACGCGTTAAAGTTTCCATGTTTGTTATCGTTGTTCCTGGCCAGATGCGAAGTTTCAATCACCTGTGGCACATACCCGCTCGCGGGAAGTGTTTGGCGACGTACGGGACGGTATTTTGACTTGATACACGTGTTGACAAGCGCGTCGAATTAGTCATGCCATCTTACCCTTCGATACTAATTTTGGTTCGCGCCAAGTTAAGCGGGTGATCACGAGAGCTCCCAGACGTAAGCGGCTAGATACGCAGATCGACACCAGAAGGGCTTGCAGTACGTAAAGAAATGCTTCGCATTTAATAAATATTTGCTCCAAATGCTCGCTGCCACTCGTAATCTCACCACCTCGCACGGTGAAACGGACTTTAGAAGAGAATGACAAGATGTTGCTATACTACCCGATTATTCGTTTTTCGGCCAATCTCCCGGAGCCGATGTGAGCCATACATATGGATGAGGTCATCATCAGTCCCCAAGCACCCGTATTGCAATCCGCCGAGTCCTCGCAAAAATGATAGCGAGCGCATCTTGTGCGAGTCTGCTAACCGGAGTCCTTTCATAGAGCCTCCAACATCCTGGAAGCTTCTGGCAT